ACCAAATGTGGGTGTATGTGTCAGTGTGTTTGTGTTCAGTTGGAGTTAGCTTCAAATGATCATTGTAGTGATGTGCCATATTGTACCAAATGTGGGTGTATGTGTCAGTGTGTTTGTGTTCAGTTGGTTTCAGCTTCAAATGATCATTGTAGTGATGTGTCATATCATACCAAATGTGCAGCATATTTGTCAGTGTGTCTGTGTTCAGTTGGTTTTAGCTTCAAATGATCATTGTAGTGATGTGACATGTCATACCAAATGTGGGTGTATGTGTCAGTGTGTCTATGTGTTCAGTTGGTTTTAGCTTCAAATGATCATTGTAGTGATATGCCATATCATACCAAATGTGGGTGTATATGTCAGTGTGTCTGTGTTCAGTTGGAGTTAGCTTCAAATGATCATTGTAGTGATGTGCCATATTATACCAGATGGGGGCATATGTGTCAGTGTGTCTATGTGTACAGCTGGTTTTAGCTTCAAATGATCATTGTAGTGATGTGCCATATCATACCAAATGTGGGTGTATGTGTTAGTGTGTCAGTGTTCAGTTGGTTTTAGCTTCAAATGATCATTATAGTGATGTGCCATATTATACCAGATGGGGGCATATGTGCTAGTGTGTCTATGTGTTCAGTTGGAGTTAGCTTCAAATGATCATTGTAGTGATGTGCCATATTATACCAGATGGGGGCATATGTGCCAGTGTGTCTATGTGTTCAGTTGGAGTTAGCTTCAAATGATCATTGTAGTGATGTGCCATATTATACCAGATGGGGGCATATGTGCTAGTGTGTCTATGTGTTCAGTTGGAGTTAGCTTCAAATGATCATTGTAGTGATGTGCCATATTATACCAGATGGGGGCATATGTGCCAGTGTGTCTATGTGTTCAGTTGGAGTTAGCTTCAAATGATCATTGTAGTGATGTGCCATATTATACCAGATGGGGGCATATGTGCCAGTGTGTCTATGTGTTCAGTTGGAGTTAGCTTCAAATGATCATTGTAGTGATATGCCATATCATACCAAATGTGGGTGTATGTGTCAGTGTGTCTGTGTGTTCAGGTGGTTTTAGCCTCATACAATCACTCTGGTGGTGATAGGCTATTCTTTACCATAAATAGATAGTGAATGAATATTAAATGCAAAACTCAGAGATGTAGAAGGTGACAAATTTCTTTACCATCTCAAATATATTATTAGGGCACCTCATGACCTAATCAAATGGTGAAACTATTTAACATTCAAGGTGCAAAAATTTCCCGTAAATAATAAAAGTGGATATTCTGATATTGTTAAGTTCCCGCAATGTCAACTTTCATCTACTGTAAATTAGCATGATTTATCTAAGGGGGCCTTCTTAATCTCAGGTCTCACTAATTGCAACTATAGATTGAAATAATGATATTTTGTGTGAATTTAATAATTAGTTGTACTTGATTACAGATAACTTCTAAGAAAGATAAGTGCTGTTTAAATTTAATTGGGATGGTGGTTAATCTGAACATCACTTCAACTGCCAAAAAAATTTCAGATTAACGGGTGTTCACATTTCAAGTTTTTTAACATGGAGCTCAACAGGAAATAAGAAAATTGGGATAGAGAAAAAGTGTTCTTCTAGAGGTGTTTGAACCAGCGAGGTGTTTGGATATACAGGTTGCACTGAACAATATTGACAATGAACAAACACAAGTGATTATTGTGCAATGTACACATTATATTCCATTCTGAAAAAATACTTTGTATATGTGCATCTATCTCTATATGTAATCTCTTTTATATATCTCTGTACATTTTAAAATAATTCTATGTATAATATACATGTGAAAGTATGCACTGTATTAGTTAATTTGTATACCTTATACATCATAAAAGTATACATCATCCAATACTGTCAGTTACAACAGTAAAACTGACTTTAAAAGTTTAAGGTAACAAATACATTTCTTGGCAATTCACCAAGAACTTTCTCTCGAAATGTAAATACAGTATAACATATCTATATAAATATGTTTATAAATTTGGAATTGTTAACTTAATGTATATCAAATATAGCTTTTAACCCTACGCATTCTACAATAATGATCCTAAGTAAATGTTACTGACCGCAAGGACCAAGTCAAACATATCATATATCATGTATGTATCCCGGTATGTATACCATGTACATACTGGTGAAAGTGACCAGAAATGACAATGAGAAGAGAACAGAGTGAGGTCACTAACAGAGTAAGGTCACTAACAGAGTAAGGTCACAAACAGTTCACACTGACAGCTCACATCCCATATTATCTTTGTTTTTCCAAAAGAGTACAAGTTCGGAAAACTAAATTCTTATAGATTTGACAAAGCCATTGTTCTAAAGCAGAATTTGATTGCCTTATATGACAGTAATGAAGCAAATTGAAACAGATGATGAGGGAAAAGGACATGAACATTTACTGTTTGCTGCGTTATAATGGCTTAAGTCAGCTACAACATAAATCTAAGTCAGCTTTATCCCAAGCAAGGCGTTTCTTCACAAATTCTCAGACTTCTGAAACCAATACATTTGTAAGGAATATTGAGAAATTCTATGTTTGAATGGCAGAATTGAATGTTAAACAAAATGAACATAATATTGTCTACCATTTGTGGTGATGAGACTAAAAATGTAAAAGTTCAATATCCAATTCCCAAATGTGTAGACCATTTACTGTTTACTGTTTACCATTTATCAATATCCCATATTCAGGGGGTGATATATTGGAGAATTATGATAATCATGGACACTGGCATGGAGAGGCATGAGAGGCAACTGCCTCACCAACATTGTATATTAATATATTTTGTATATGTTTTTCAATTAAAACTGTGTAAATAAAGTCCAAACATAGCAATGTACCTCCTTTAACCTAAATTTGCCTCATCATTTAAATTTTTGCATCCCCTTTAGACAGTGACAATGCATTTTTGTATCTAAGAACAGTTTATATGTGATGAAGTCCATTGAGCCCTTTGGACAATGATTGTTGGTATATAAACTGCCCCACTACTAACAAAACTGTCTGAGACATATTTGGAAGGTTGAACAGAACAGTTGGAGTAAAACCAGTTCTCTAACAGAGGCTTGCTCTAGCGAGACTCCCTTCTCAATGGGTTAGGTCAAAAGTTCATTAATAGATCCTGTAATTGAGCGAGAGAAATTATGATAAAGTCCCCTTAAGGAAACTAAAACAGACTGTCCCGCCCCCTTCCTCATTGCTATTCAGTGCTGCATGTTAATCAAAGGAATATTTTAATATTGCTTTTGAAGCCTCAGGCGAAATACTTTCATTTTATATTCTGTATGAAATCACTGTATAACATCTAGATGCTGACAGCAAAATATCCAATACATTTTCATATACGGATAGAATAAATGATATTTCCAGAATTTACAGCTAGTTGGGGATATATGATATGCTCACTACACATGTTTCACATCTCATCACTAAAATTGAATTTATGTATAATTGAACTTTATGTTAAAATATGAACCACAATTTTCTATTTTTCAATTAATCCAGCCACCGCAATATTCGTCTGAGAAAGGCTTGAAGTTCATTCAATTTACTTTTCTGACAAAATTCTGTACTAATTGTAACTTGGCAGAACAACAAAATGACAAAAATATTAAATCATTTTTGCTGAACATTATATCACACTAGCTGAACATTTTTTCAAATAAACTTATCAAAAATGAATGATTACCATCTATTAAGAGAGATATGAATTCTTAAGTTAGAATATTTTTTGTTGATGGACAGGAGTGAATGACTGAGCAGACATATATCTTAAATCACCTTAATTTTGAAGAACTAAAACTCATATTGCATAATGCATATCTCGATCAGAATCATGTGAATCTTAGTCACACCAGAAAATATAATTACAGATTTTATGCAAATACCAACCCAAGTAATATTGGCTAATGTCACATCGACTCGTGAAGTGAAAATTGGATTCTGTCTCCTTCTTACATTGGTTTACTGGCTCAACTGTGCAAGAATCATTTAGGCCCATGCAATTAATTGTTTGTGAACTGAAGTTCAATGTCAAAAATGACAGTTAACACCAAACACTCATGATATCCATACTGAGCGTTTTTTTGCCTTGTCAGTCTTCATAGGGTGGGGGGAGATATTGAAAATATCAGATAAATTCCAGAGAGCTCAGACTCAATTTCCAAGGACCTTAGGCTAAATGCAGTACATTTCAGTAAAATTTCTACTATTTCTAAACTTAGAACTATTTAAGCCATACAACATGTATAATTGTATATATTTTGTCAACCACACTCTCAGACAAGCTGTCATAAAGTATGGTTATATATTCTTAGCCAATTTCTATTCTTTTTACTATAGGCCTATTTGGAAATGGTGAGTGGCAAATGGTACAGTGAACTATGCATGTATGAGAAGGTCAACGGACTAAAATTGCAACTCAAAAGAACTTTTTCCACAATACTTAATATCTAGAATATATATTCAATGACCATAAGGTCTTCCAGTACATAATGGCCAGCTTTCGCACTGGAGTCAATGGGAGAAATTTGGCCTCAAAAAGTGTTCTCGATCAAGAGGTGTTCAATAACTCTTAGTACATGTTTTCATTTGCAAGTTTCACTGCACCATTTACCCAGTAATATCCATTCATGATTAGTTAAAATTAAATTTTCTATTCTCAGGTATTATTTCTAGCTACATTTACTGTATTTGTCTTTAATTTGGCGAGCGTCTTAATTAAGCGAGTTTGGTGAATCAAAAAATCACCAAATTAAATATTTGCCAAAACCCCCAGGAATTTGACATGGTTTTTGTTTGGTGCACTCCTGGTTATAAGAAATATACCAGGATCAGGGACCATTCAAGTTTAGAAATTTTCGAAGATATTGTAAATCAACAACACTGACAATGAATATCTTGAAATTAAATAGATACGAGATTTATCCCCTTGAAAAACCACCAAATTAAATAGACGCCCGTAGGTATGATATCCCAAAATCGCCGATTTATGTATCGCCAAATTAAAGATGAATACAGTATATACTTGGACTATACTCTCTATATTCATGGTGTACACATGTTAGATAATTTATAAACAAATTCTTATGTGGCACATCAAGAGGTCACTGTGACCTTCAGCAGTTAAAATATTGCTTTTAGCATCTAGTTTCTATCTGGTAGATAACACTGTATCCATATTCTCCCTTCATAAAAAATGATTTTGCCTTTTCAATAATATTATATCATTTTGTCAAAGTGACCTGTGATCATTTTCAAATCAGCAAATAAATTAATAGAAAAAGAAGATCAATATGTTCTCAACAAAAGCAATATTAATCTTAACAATTCCCATGACTAAAAGCAGAAAATGCATACAGTATTTCATTACAAAGTACATGTAATACTGTTTGATTTTAAACATGTACATATTATACCACATGTGTACATTATTACTGTACCTCTTACTACATGTACAACTAAGTAGAACTTTCAAATTTTGTGATCAAATAAGTAAGTAGAACAATATAACAATTCTGTTACACTTTTAGATGATTTCAAGTTTGTATAGCAACCAATAAAATATCTCCTACATCTCCATGGCAACGGCTTCAGATTAAGTAGTTGTACTTCCCCAAGTATCGCTTGTCGCGCCTGAGCTTTTGTTAGTCGCATCATTGGCTGGTTGATGCCATAGTCCAAGATTTAGAGTCGTTAAATGAGGAATTTGCATTATTTTTTCCAAACCGACTGTAGTAATCTTTGTACATCCATATAAGTCTATTGATTTCAGCTTTTTGAGATGTTCTGATATAAGGCCTAGACTTCTGTCTGTGACCCGGTTACATTGACCAATATTCAGAGTATCAAGGTCATGAAGAGTCTTCACAAAACTACTGATTCCATCATCGCTAATGTTACAGGCACTCAGGCTTAATCGAGTCAAATGAAATAGTCCTTGAGATAAATGCAGCATACCAGAGTCACCAATACGGTCACAAAAACTCACATCTAAATTTGTCAAATGTGACCCACCCTCGGATAAGTATCCTATTCCCATATCGCTGATATTGTCACAACTACGAAGATTCAAATGGCGCAAACTAGTCATTTTACTCAGATATTTCAGCCCAGTGTCTGTAATTCCAGTACAAAAGCTGAGATTTACACTGCTCAAGTTATGAAATCCATTGCTTATGTGTTTTAATGCTAAATCAGACAGTTTCTGACAATCTTGAAGGCCTAGATATTCTAATGATAAAGTACCATTAGCTTGGCAGTGCGAACTTAGACCACAAAGATGCCCAACACCAATATCGCCAATATGTCTACAACTTCGCAGATCGAGACGCTTCAGTTTGACGAGTCCCCAAGCAACGAGGAGAAGTCCTGTACTGGTAACATTACTGCAACCACCAAGCTCCAGAACTTCGAGATTCTTAACGTGTTGTCCTATCCTCCCAAGGCTACTGTCTGTCACCTGTTTACACAGGCTTAGGTTCAGGGCAGTCAATTGGGGCAACTGCTGGATGAATGCATGGCCAAGGCCAATGTCAGTAACGTTATAACAGCCACATAAGTTCAAACTTTCAAGATTAGGTATACCAGTGATAAGATCCCTCAGACTTCGTCTCAAACTCAGTACCTGTACTCGTTTTATCCCACGTTTTACCAAACTGGGGAACAAAGAAGGGTTTGCTCTTCGGAGATGCAATTTAGCCTCGACATTTCTCCAAACGTGGCGGTTATAGGCAGAGTCCCTCCAGGCCACACATACCTGCGATGCACGTCCTTTACCCCGTATATCCAGATAACTAAATATCATAGCCAGAATCTCGGGAAATAGGCAAGAAATATGAGATTCTGGCTCGCCAGAGTTTGAATTGGCATCCTCCATCTTGGTGCACTTCCTCTGACCTAATTGAATCACGTGATCAATTTATGGTTCAATTTGATTGGTTCAAAGTTTCAGCGCGTAATTTAAATTTTGAAGAGATTTAGAAACTTATTACTGCGCGTAGTTTATTAGGTTTTGATTAAAACCATATGATTTTGATCGAATAATAGGAGCTTTTAAGACCATGGAGACAAAGGCCGGGATAAAAACCTTGAATAGCATGGAGAATCAAAGAATACACCGCATTCCAACACACTTTTTGACATGGGTTTGTCAAGAGTTTTATTCACAGATTATTCATAACCAGCAGGTTCCTTGGTTCTTATTCACAACTAAAAGCCCGGTAACTCAAACAGATCATGAAACGTTTACAATTTACAATGAATGTATTAACAACAATTATGTTCAAATTGAAGGGAATGTAGTGCAGGACTTATCGACAAATCAGATCGTTGGAAAGCGCCATTAACATTTATGAATACCCCAGTAACATCAGTTGGTCCATATTAATCGGTACCTTCAAGTGATTTATTCTAGCAATCGTGAAGTCGATCTGATTATATAAAGTCTTCATTTAGACATTCTATTGGTTTTGGATTTAGGTTTCACATCATTTTGAAAGATGTCTCTAGTGTTAACGTATTTCAACACCTTCGTTCATGCATTTGTACTCTATCTTACTGTTTCACCAAAAAGTTGATTTCATGTTTTATCGTGATGACTTTTAAATATAACTTGCGTTGTTTGATGCAACAGAGCTTTACTTATCAAGTGTCAAAAGTTAGACATATGTATTCATTGAAATAGTACTTCATTGGTACTTCGTTTTGTTGATGATTCAAAATGAGGTCATGTGATCAGCGTTTTAAGTAACCACGTGATCTACATGTCATTGTCTCCCGAAGGAGATTTGAATATTTATTTTTTTGTTATCCATTCATTGTTGCCTTAAAGCCTTAAAGTACAAGCTAAATAATTTGCCAATATATTGTCAACCCATTTCCCGGACTCACTCATTCTTTGAAGTTTTCAAATTGAGTGTTAGAACATATTGCGTCGACATCCAATTTGCTATGAGAATAACTAAATTACGGAACCTCGAATTTTTACACTAAATGTTGAAAACCTGTCTAAATTTGAACGTATTGCACAACGTTGTAATAAGATTAACCTCTTAAGCCATCCATTCGTTTCAAGATAATCTTTGATGTTGTCTCAACTCAAGTGGAAATAAATTGAACAATATAAGTGAGTTGGGCTACTTTTCTTCTTAATGAAACTTCTATGCAACTCTCAATATCGGTCCCTTTGTTACGTTAACTATGATCTCCTCTTATGAAAGACATAAGCCGTGTATTATTAAAATATAAAATGAAGCGACATTTTGAAAATGTAGACCTGAAATGTTTTATCAAGTTGGATAACACGTCTGACGATGTTCACGAAAGACTGTTATTCTAGATAAATTTAACCTGTCATTTTGGGAGTTGAGATTAGGCTGAAAATGCAATCGATTTAAATAAAACCACTCAACAATTATTTTCAGAGCTCGTCAATGCATATTTGGAAGTGAGTAATCGGTTAAGCTGATTTTTCTAAGGTATTATCCAATATTGTTAATTCCTACATGCATATTTCAGGTTTTCAGATAACAACATTTCAATAGAAATTCTAATTTCCTTACGCATTCGCACAGGCACGTATACTTGTATATGTGGTAAGATATTATTTTTTTCTTTGCTTATTTTACATATTATTCCAATACACGTCTCGTCAAGAGTATAATTTGCTCTTTTTTGTCTGTATTAAACGTGGAATTCCAAAATATCATATTTGAATTTTAACAAGTGTTAATTTGAATAACACAAACCGTAGATCAAAAACATTATTGACAGGTCTATCGAAGTTTAAATGAGCACTAACAAGATGTGAAGAAAATGTCTGAAAGCCATTTGTTTAAGAGTGTTAAGATCAGTATAGACTTCTTGTAGATGTATAATATTAATTACAAGCGTGGATGGCGAAATAAAATGTTTCATTGAAGACATGGTGAGATTTTAGAAGGGACCGTAAAAGGTAAGAAAACGCCATATGATGGCATTGATAGACTAAATCCTGTCACGCCGAGTCGTTACTCAGTAACTAGACATTTCTATACCAAACATTCACGACAACTAGAAAGTACTATTTAACATTTAACATTTATTAAGATAAACATCTACATAGGAATGGTAACTGACTTTGGGTTCAGCAGGCTGCACACGATGGATTAATTCACTTAACTTTCATTAGAGAACATTAGAATGGAAGCTTTGTGCCAAACAGAGGTAAGCCCTATGTTGTCGAAAAATGTTTCTAAAGAAACTTAACATGTAAACACGTAAGCAGCTTTTTATTTCACAGTACTTCAAACTTAGTAAAATACATCACCGGACAAAGTGTCTCCGATGTACCTGTTGTCTCGGTTGGGGACCAGAAATACGACAATCAGAGATAGCCTACTTCGCTGTCGTAGACCAGGACTGGTGGTGGTTTTTAAAAAGCTGTTTTAAGCAGCTTCGAAGATTGAGATTTCATAGCAGATGACATTGACATTTTATCGAATAATTTAATAGAACGCTAAAATATGAGAAGTTTTAAACTCTCAATATGAAAAGTAGCTGTGATGTCTGGAATCTGGATTCTTGGAATTTGAATGTACTAATAGTATCTGGATTAACATTTACACTGTACGAAATCGAATCTTATCAATATGAAAAACAATTAGTCACATAAAAAGAAAAACATTATTTATAATTCATATTAAAACATACAGAGGTAAAATTGCACTCACATGCAATGTACTCGCGTTTTTAGATATAAACTTTGATTTTATAATTTTACCACGTAAAAAACACCGGCTAAAAGGAACGTAAAGAAATATACAAAATGGTGTCCTCCCACGTTTAACATGGCATAATGTATGTAATTAGGTGGGTACCACACGGAGATTTTGTTATTAACTCATGGACTTACAGGTGCATCACTAATTTGATGTGTGGTATAGAAGTACGGATTAATATCAAAGATCAACTAAATAACTTTTTATCAATTAAATAAAGAATTAAGAGAATATGTCCTCAAGATTACTCCCTAAAGATCCGTCCACTCATTATGATTACTTAAAAATCAGAAATTACAATTTACCTCAATCTCAAATCACGTGAAATCTGGAGCAAGTTTTATAGCCCGTTTTCGGGCAGTTTGTTCACCGTGCAGATTGACGGAATGATAGATGCCTCCGGCCCAGGTTTTTGAGAACAAAGACTTTTGACAAACAGACTAACTGGTGAAGCCTATTATGCTTTATAGAGCAAATAAACGCCCCTAAACTACAGTCATCACATTCATCCTTATTGAATGACGCTAGTTAGGAATATAGACATTTTGACATTAAAATAAAGAATAGACAAGTTGACCGCCGATGAACAGTCAGTAAATGAACCAGTCAAAGTCCAAACTGAGAGTATCCCAAGAAGAGGAAATAGACGTTTCGAAAAACTAAAAACGCCAAGCATAGTGTATGGAATAATTACAAAGATGAAATGAATATATATGATTTAGACAAAGCTACAATGAAAGATGTCACCCAAGAGATACTTTTCGGAGTTTTGATACGACCCCCAATATTTGAAAAATTATGAACTTAGTGTGATCACAAGTAGACATGAGATGATGGACTGAACTTTTACTAGCTCAGGTTTCAATACACTAAGATTGGTTATGGCAAAATAAACTTGTATGTGTGACACAAAAGATAATTGGCGGCTCAACATTTTTACATGTTTTACACAAACACTCAAGAACTCTTATTCCATCTAAAGGGACCAATACAACAGAAAAAACTTCGACATACAACATGCTGCAGACCAAGTGAGTCAGAGAGACAATATGGAATAGACATACAAAGGTACCCAGCATTTAGATATTTAATAATTTATTTTTTTCAACCGCGTATAATTCTCGAAGATGTCAAAATGTACCTGAAAATTTTGTGAATTCAATGTAAAATTTGTTTTTGCCTGCGAGGCATGGGTCGGCATTCAGAGCGAAAATATCTGTATATTCGAACTGTATTCTTTTTGTGGGAGAAAATTTGTTAGTAAAAGGAAGCTCTTTTTATTAGTTGTAAGTACGGTTTCATACCGACTGGGCACATTGAGAATGTGCCAAACAGCATGTTATAAAGGCGTTATAATCTTGCCATAGGCTTAATTAAATCACGTGAAAACTCAAAACAAAATGCCTAAAACGTAAACTTGTATTTTCCCCACACACATCGTCAAATTCGGGTCAAAACGAATCACTTCTGAGTATGGATTAATACAAAAGGCTCTCTGTAACAAGAACGTCTGTTTCGGGGATTAATGTTTAGAGGTGAGATTTATAAAGTTCTGCCAACTGGCAGGGCCAGAGTATACTGACGCATTGGATTTTTATTTTATCAGGTGATGCAGAGATACAATGAATGAACATTGGGTACATTGATACTTATCATATTTTTGTTTTGGTGACTGAACACCAAAAACGGGAAATACACAGATATTAAGGTCAGATATGACACAAGTAAATCCCTCCATATAGTATTTTGTTATTTTAAAGCGTGAAAACTAAAGGATTAAAACAATAATACGCTTTTCTGGCTCATCATTCTGGCAAAAAGTCCCGCTAAAAGTTCTTCAATGATAACTGCAATCATAACTTAAAGGCCACATCTTACTTAGTTATTACATTAAATAATTGAAAAGGGTTTTTGAACAATTGCCATTCCAAAATTAAATAATTAATTGATAAATAACAGGAACAATCAATGATATTAACTACAAAGGATAATTGAACACAGTAAATATTAATTGAATATATATTGGTTAATACATTAGTCATTATATATGTAATTTCGTATAGTTTTAAAACAACCTACAAAATAATTCATATTTCGTATGATTCCATGGCCAGGTGTTGTACATTTCCACGCAGGCCTCGGTCAAGTTTTAGACATATACAAATGTTTAAAATTGTTCAGACTGAAAGGATGATTAAGTGCCTCTTTAATAGCCAAATGCATAGAGTCACATCCTACAACTTAAATAAATGAATAAAATCCTGAAAAATGACAACGAAATTATTCAAAATATAAACAATGGCTAACCGACATTCGTCACAACCCATTTTCGGTCCGAATTTTTGCCCATTCCAATTAATTTAAAATTTCACCTGTCCCTGTTAAACACATTAACTGTAATCGGATTGTCTTTGACTGTAGATAAGTTACACATGTGTATAAAAACAAATATCTTAGTCTCCAACGTGTTATACAAATTAGGGTATTTTACCTTGGGTGATCCTATGGTAGACTAGATTACTTACTACGATAGCTTATCCTTTATCGTAATGCAATTAGCTGGGCACCAATTTGATTAGTCTAATGTGGCCGAGATATCTTCTGTTAATTAGCACTTTACCTGTTGAAATGATATTACCTGAAGAAGCCTCGGGGTAAGAGCAATGGTTCTACAGAAATTCTCACACTAAAACCGCAAGTGTGGTGACACATTATAAATCGAAAAAAATCAGAGAAAGAATTTCATTCATGAAGCTGGAGTTCCCGAGTCGGAGTTCAAATATTTCTATGTAGCGAAGAGGATCTCGATTCAACCGGTTTCCAGGATTTTTAAAGACGTGTACTATATGGCTTCATTGATGGCATTATGACCAGATCGTCTCAAACTCAATTATGAATTGTTGTAATCTATTTTGAGCAATGAACTTGATTTTACCAGATAAGAAGCCACACATCTCGTATAAACGATCATCTGTGAAAATTGGCACACATATATTTCTAACGCATATTAAAAATATTTACTCTAACTCATGTATCATGGACTTTTGACAAGCATTTCATAGAAGCAGCGCAGAATTTCGAGAATTTGGATAAATTATAAACTAACATAGGATTTTCATATGATTTATGCCATAATTAGGGATCTATAACAGGTAAGCACAATAGGAACGCACAATTTGTAGAAAATCGATTAATTACACTTTGAAGATGAGGTCTCGTGAGATACAAATTCTTGATCCTGGTCCAGTAGTTATTAAGAAAATTAGATTTCAAATATTGTCACGTTTGTTGAGACCGTAAGTTTTGATATCGTGAATAATGTCATTTTTCTTCCGAGGGCTAATGGGTATAGTACTGTCGGTATCATGGGCTATGACATGTGAGGGTCGTGGACAAGCAAGAAAAATTAATAACATTTAGCAACTTAATGAATAAGCGGCAACACAATTTCAATATACAAAGCAGGCAGTTACCCATGATTCTCAATGATGACACTTGATAGTTGTTCACCATTCATATTTGAGTCACGATCGAAAAGTTCATTTTGGTGATGGATTCGAGAAAATGTTGTCAAATCGGTAATATTTCAACTTTGAAACCTGCGTGAATATAAAAATTGTTCCTGAATTCGTGGGATCGGGATTGTGGTTAGATGGGCTCGTGATTTGTTTATATGTGACCCCTGAGTTTCCCCAATTCTCCTGTTGGAATCACAACGTCTACGAAACTATCACAAGTTTCATGGTTTCAATTTCCCAGTTGAAATACTGACTTGTATTTGACTTGATTACAGAGATAGACCAATACGAGCAGGTATTTATTACTGTGAACAACTAAGGCTGGTCGGATAAAATTTCAGAAAATGTTTTAGATCTGTTTAGCCGAGTCAATAAAGAGTTCGACAAATCACTTGAAAATGTTCTCATAATACTATCGCAGAATCTGGTTAAGTTTGGTCCTATCAATGAATACATTAATGTGATATCTTTCCTTTCACCCCGGGTAGACGCTTTGGTATGATTGGACCTAAGTTAAAGGTGACCGCGAAGACAAGGGGTTATTATTATGGAATAAGGACGAGGCAACATGTTGCAAACAGAACGCTCGGGGCAATATAACAATCTCTGATAAGGACTCAGTTGTAGCTCATGTAGTTCCTTCTCCTGAGCTTGCCCCCGAACGTGTTCAAAGCATTGCTATCACAGGAGCGTCTATACAACCACCTTATGAAACAACCATTATCATTTACTATCTTATTTCTTTTCACAGAGCAACACGAGAAACTGGCTCCGCAGGCAAAGGGAAGGAGTGAACTGGGAAGGAATCTATTCAACTCAGGGATGCACGCAATATGTAGCCACTTCACTAAAGTAAATGATCAGACAAACAATGGATTAAAAACATAACTGATTGATCCGGGATAGGATCTCATAGTACGAAATTAAGGAATTCCACAAATATGTACCTTAACATGGATAAACAAGAGACGATGGTGAACATTATTATAACTGTGATATTTTATAATATTTTGACAACAAATGCAATCGAGACATGGTGGTAAGTAAAACAATAATCACAATTAATTAAGATGTCATCATAATCCTGGTAGACACTTACGTTTTTAATTAGTTTAGTTTTTAAACGTGTTGTTGTTTAGGAGTATTAAACATTTCAAACTTAACAAAATATTTAACCCAATCACATTTAATATTATTACAAATACAAACATAATCTGACTAGACATTAAAATGCAATCTAACACATTGTATGTTTTTATAAATATTGTTGTTATGTTTTACTAATTCCAACTTCATGTTGTATTTATCTGGCAGATGCGTATAAGGACATATCAGGTGTATTATAATTAATGAACTGACGTATCATCAATCAAACTGATTACAATTAAGAAAACTCTCTTTAATATTCCTAACTTAATTAACTAACAAATATAAACCAATTTAATCAAAATAACTTTTGGGATGGGGGTATCATTCTAACTCGAGATATGACGTTTATCCCATGTGTTTTTCTCTAAAAGTTATGTATTGCGTCACATCGACCGATGGTGAGTCAGAATAGATAGTAAAGATATACACTGTAGACAACCTTTACCTGTGAACCATTGCCTCGGTAACATAGTAAATTACGAATTTATCTACAGACGCTGAGATTAAACATCAATTTTATTTATTGGACGTCCCTCGTAATATCATGTTTCACAGGCAGTAATCATACATGCTCATGTAATCAGATACCGAGCCGACACAAAAAGTAAATTGTAAACTGAATGTGACCGTGTTCGACAAGACCGGAATTCTTTGCTCGGCAACACTGTTAAGTACACTGTGACAGACCCTCTTCTCTTTGAGGACCTACAATATTTGTAAAAAGACTAAATCAAAGAAATAAAGGTACTAAACACTCGACTAGGATCACTTTTAACATTTTTTCAATCTTGTTTAAAGACGCGTTGAAAGTTCGCGGTTCCCTTTGTGGGGAAGTTTGTATTATAGACACGATAGCTTCAATGCCTATAAGTGTTGTTGCATGTAAAAACCCAAAGGAGATCATTACACCTATCTACCAATACGAGGCTCGCTAAAAAACTTTTGAAACATCTCCTGTTCTATCTACTCAGACATTATGTATTACACGTTCCCAGGTAATTTTGACAACCCTCGTAAATTATTAACAAAAATCTTTCCTCTTGAATTATCCTCAAAATGAATAAGATTGGATTTTAAAATTGATAGAGCTTCTTTTAGAAGCTGAGTGAGAAGTGATTTACAATATTCCATTAATTTGAATAAGTTAAATTGACGATGTGTAATTTCTAGCGTTTGATCTTCTTTGTTCTGGAAACTTAGCATTTGTAGGTGAAACATAGGTGACGATGTGTTGCATTATTGTCCATTTATGCAGAAAGACCTTTTTGACTTTGTTGAAGTTTCATGTTCGATTGCCCAATATCTGGCTTATCTATTCAGTCGTGAGATTGCTCAATGTGTGCTTTACGCGTCGATGTGTGTAGAATTTAAGACTTTTTCAACAACTTAGGGACATTTTCTTTTAGAAGTCACCCGTGTAGGGAATCCGCACCTTTGAAAATCCTTAGTAAAAACATCTCGAGGGGATTGAAACTGGACCCAACGACTTAGCACTCTCGAGTATTGTTACTTAAAGATTACTTCTCAAGATAAAGCTAGGACTTTGTGAAATACGCTGTTATTTCTTTAACTAATAAATATTTGGGGGTTTCATTTATATAAGAGATCTTGGAATAAATATTTTAGATTTCTTACAATTACTTCGTGATAAAATGTCTGTAAACAATGCATCTGATATTGAAATTAAATTAAATTGATTTAATAAATACCATCTAGATACTGAATGCAATTTAAATATCCAATCAAGCGATATACAATGTTTTCCCAACAATCGATCGTTTGATCTCAAAAGACATTCTTTGTCACGTTTATTTCCTAAATTCTGAACTGTCAAAAGTCATTTTAATTTCCAAAAATTAGAAAAAGTGAAACCATTCTCTGTTCCTCGTTGTATTTTATCGCATTTTTACGACATAAGAAATGTGAAGAAGTTGTTTTTGTAACATGGAAACTGAAGCACGTAGGTTCATAAATTGCAACGATGCATTTCATTCCATTCACCAAATATCCATCAAAACAATTTCGTAAAAATAAAAGTCACGTAAAATATCTCAATTAGAAGCTGTGGTCACAAAAAAGTGGCAAGATTTATGATCCACAGAAAGGCGAAACTCAAATGGCGCGAAATGAGGGTATATCCTTACCCCCTCCCCAAAGGAGGTTCGTACCCGGCTGAAACTCCTAGGTGATGCATACTTGGTTTACCAATGCGGTAAAGACTAAATAAATTCGATATACAAAGTATGATGGGATTGATTGGCCTCCCGCAATGCCTGGAACCCACTTATGCAAATATGTATCATCAAAGAAAAAACTGACTCGTTTGGTCTGTTTTTTACTTGCCCTATGATTTTTCTACCCCTTGGGCTAAGTCTAAAAACAGCACAACCAATAATAAAAGAACACGTATATCTTAAGGCATTTCGAGTAATTTTCCTATTCGTAATTACATGTTAATGAACTAGCTATTACTCAAACATATATAATTGGACATTTAGTCGAACACATTAGCAAAGGTGGTCTTACCCTGAGAGTAAAAAGTCTTGATTTTTCGTGAGTACCTTATAATATGAAATAATATGTTGATGAAGCATTGTGTTAAGTGCCTGGGACTCAGAGACTGAAATCTAGAATTTCAATCTTTGATCGACGATTGATTGACTAATATTTCACGTCAACAATCCGGACCCAACGTCAAGTTATTGCATTCGATTGTGCAACACATGCCCTGTGGCTCAATACGAACGAACATTTATACAATCACACTAAGATTTGATATCAATTACAATTACGCATGCATTAGACAAAGTTCTAAACTCCAAATATGTTCTTAACCACTGCAATCTAAACAAACCATTGATTGACTGATTGGATAAAATCAATTTCCACAACATATCCTTTTTACCACGGACAACCAAATTATTATCATAAGATAAACATTTTTTCACGGAACACAATGTTAATATTTACTAAATCTTGGAGTATCCTGTTTTTGCTATTTACATTTTTAAGTTCAAGATTATAAGACCTCTGGTGTAAACATAAGATTTTGTCCTTGTCGGATCTAATGAGACTCGTTCGAAGATTTGGTTTCCGAGATCGTACTGATAAAAACGGGTTAATCTGTTACTTTTAGTCACATGGAATCTTATTTTTCAAAACATATTTTGAGCGAGTAGCCTGTCGTGGTTTGTATATGTAGTCATTTTTGTTCATTTCATGATTTTTTATCATTTGTCACATCTGAATCATTGTCTAATATCCGTTTTTCTATCGTGCTTGTCATCATGAATGCTAGTCATCCAAAACGTCATCGTCGTTATGCAAGCCATGGTATACTGTCTCGTGTCATCGATCAGTCGAGTGTTGTCAGTGCAATCGTGTTTATCATCATCATCAACAACGTTTAGTTGAGCAGTATCGTTACAAAATAATATGCCATCGTTGTACTAGTGCTTGTTGTAGCAAACATGAATATTGTTGTTCACGGTCCCAAAGTCTCAGATAAACGTCCAATAATTGTCAAAAATGTCAGCGTTGACAAGCATAATTTGGAACATGTTTTCAAATACTACAATGGGCAGTGTATTGACCATTGACATGTTGAAATATTCTTGTAAAGCCTTGCCTGGAGCAGATGTGAAATGTTGGTAGGTTCACATCAGGTTTACGATAACTTTATCAATGAAAGACCATACAGGTTCCAGTTCATACAACAGCATCGGCATTTATCATCAACTCGGTGCAATTTTTATGTTGAATTAATCTCCAGGAAAAGAACTTAATGTGGAACTGAGCAAGGATGAAATAAAATGAAGAAGACGACATTCCAACTCGAAATAATATCTCCCCACCCACAGCGATTCGTATCTCAATATCGGCCTTTATTACAGACCGTGACCAGGCACTCTTTCAATACATACATCAATACCTACTTTCACTTTACGTTCCGTGTTCATACCATTTTGTTTTTCACGTTCGTAAATTTAAAGCATTACGAAACATTACAGTTCTCCACAATGCCCATTACTCATCAATAAGAACGAGATTCATAGTTTTATTGCACAGAATCACCCCTTCCAATCAAAATATTTGATATCAAGGTTTTTCATCAAAATGACTCATTTGATGTGTTTTTATCAGAAACTAGTTCCTTATTTCTTTCGCATCTTGATATTTATGATATTTGTTTAACATCAATTCACTAATTTTCAGGAGCCTTGGTATGAATGGCTTTGAAGCGTGGAGGAACCCCCAATTATTTATCTTAGGAGCCCAGCCAGTATGTACACACCTACGAGGCCTCTCCCCGGGCCAGACCAAGCTATGTCAGCTCTACCAAGACCACATGCCCGCTGTTAGCCGAGGGGCAAAGCTGGGCATACACGAGTGTCAGTACCAGTTTCGTAATAGACGTTGGAATTGTAGTACCGTCGACGATGATTCAGTCTTCGGGCCAATTACTGAAATAGGTAGGTACCTCATGGCGATATATATATACTCTTTCCAATAGTTTAGGTTTGCTTCTAAAAAGAGAGTGACGTTTCGTATTCATTCCTGTGATTTCCCCAGCATTAAAGCAAGTGGGCGCAGCACCCAGTTGATATTTTGAAAATAGGCTTGCATCCACCTGAAAATGAGAAAAATCATGAAATATTGGCATAGTTTGACCAATTTTGGTCTGAATTGTGAAAAATGAGAATTTTGCACCCGCCTGAGAAAAAATCCTGAGGAGATCACTGCATTCAAATCCTACTGTACTTTAAGCTCTGATCCTAGGGTTGGTGGTATATTTTGTCATTATTATGTCGCTATGGTAACTTGATCTCTTCAATCAACAAACAAACGAATGAACGAAAAAACACACAAACATATGAACATTTATAGACGTTGTGTGTATTTTTGCTATTAGTCGTAAGAAAATAAAGGTTCCAGAACAAGGGAATTCATCTTCACACATCATCAGATATGTTTACGTACAGGTGTATGGGGAGATACAGGTATATGGGAGTCTATAAAACTATCATGCTGTTTACAAACATCAAACAATTAACTGCATCCTAAATCTCATTGTTTTAGCACCACTCGTGGTTAAACAAGTTAAAAATCATGTCTGAAAATTATCACACAGGAAAAAGGTCTGTGAAATCAATCCGGATTTTCTGGTAGACTAGGAATACAACAGTTTCTTTATTAGATCTACTAGATCAAACATTTACAGACATCAGTCGGGAAATTCTATCTGGGCCACTAACTTTGGAGAATGTCACACGTTGAATCTGGTCATTGCTTTTGAAATTCAGAGTTGTCTGGGGCCTTAATAAAAAATGGGTAAAAAACTGGAACTTAAAATTTATTAGACAAGTGAATTCTGGGATTAATACGGGTACCTTACAGCAGATCTTTTGGGTATTCCTGACTCGCACATACTGAGTTGATAGCGGCTGAGCTCAGCGTGCTTAACAAACATGTAATACACACCAGCCTAATGAAAACACAAGCTGTTTTCATTGCCCTTAGTTAAAACATAGCAATCTCTCTGAAGCTACTAGGTTTCCCACCTCGGAGGTGTAAAATATGTAGTTTGAAGCTAATATCATTAACCTCAATGTTTTTGTTCAAGAAAATAATCTTTTCATTACCATCCTGATTCGTGAATGATGCGTTAATGAGTGTTGATGTAACACGTCATCAATATTGCATTGATCATCATCGAAGATGAACCTCTGAAAATATGCACCAATACACACCGTTTGCCAACTACTAGACTACCCTGCGCCCAGAGTCTAGTTATAAAAAGGGTGCTATACTAGACTCGCTTCTATTCTAATTTGTTCAAACTATTCATTTTGGTAACTCTGGTGTTGATAAAGGACAAATGATTATGTATGGGGAGGTCTTAACGATCATCATATCATCCTTTCTGACATTTGTTCTTTAACACGACCGAAGCTAACCAGATTCGGGTTATGGAATTAGAGAAATTACTAAGAATATCATTCCATTTAAAAATAAATGGTTAACCAAACTTTAATCAACCAGACTGGCTATCACTCTACACTACGAAGTTATCCATGTCAAAATGTTAAAACAAAACAGTGTTTATTCTCGACTAAATTGCAAATGAAGCGAAATAAACAATGATAAACCACTTACTGGAATTTTACCTGATAGTTCCAGCATGTTCGACACCATTGACTCGTGCGTACTCGTGGTCTCCCACTCGTGTGGTTTGAGGTAACATTTTGGTAAGATTATCAAAATATTCTGGTCAGTGATTTAACCAAATTGTCTGAGTAAGTCAAAATTAGAATCTTGGATTATATCAAAGTTTTAGATGTTTTTTTTTTATCAAAGGTTACGAATGCTAATCAACGCGTGTAATTCAAGTCAGATCAGTTCATAACGCAGCGAAAAATATGTTTATGCAACATACAAATTCTAGGTGTATTTTCAGTGTAATTGTCTGTTTATGATCTAAATGAAAACTAAGTGCAGAGGTGCCTCGCGGAAATCATTTGTTTAGATTATATTTTTCGTGTCATGCAAGTTTCGGTATTTATTGGTAACCATAGTAATTGTGGTAGCAACAAGGGCAAGGAACAGATCGTTGCTGTTGTAAATACTGACAATGATAAAGCCGTGTCTGTGCTCGAGAAGCAGCACAGAGTGGGTGATAAGAGATCGGGAGGCTACATGTCTGATAAAACACTTTGCTTCAATACAGTGTGAAACATTAGCGGAAGAAGTCCCGGAAACCAAGTACATAAAGACAGAACTTTAGAAGAAATTATCAATTTAAATCCTTTGATGTGCGTTCCCACATCTCGGATGAGGTAATCTCGCAGTTAATCGCACCTTGTAAAAAACATGACCGCCCAAGGCTCATCCTAGTCCATCGATTACACTACTGAGGGTCTCATCTTAAACTGTTTTCCAATATCAACGATAAGATCTGCATTCTTGGGAAATGCTTCTCTGATAGGAGAATAAGAGATCAATGTTGCAATTTGAGTTTTCCAGTAAACGGTCTGTTACACATTCATTTGGTATGCTTTTCAAATGTTGCCCTTTGTGGGCTTTGTGGGCTTATTCATTGCTACTCGGTGTACTAGTCAATCTTGAGACGGAAGTCGTATCTTGAAAATTCCCCAGGTCAGATCTTTGAATTCACAGGGTCAATGATTAGATGTTTCAAACTCAACAATGGCCACATTTTCCAAAAACAACATGAGATAAGTTAATAGCTAGTTTGACGTGTTCATTAGACCGACCTTGTGCTACTGGTTCTATACTGTCCAGAGGTAGTGCTAAATCAGGGCGGCTTATCATTCAGGTTACAAATCGAGCGAATCCAGTTGAGGTGAATACTGCCAAGAATGTCCCCTGAGGTCTGGGCACGATTTTATTGTCTGCCGAGTGGTTTTCAATTTACTTTATGATAGACAGAGTGGTCTGATAAGTTTGAATGGGTGTGGTGAAGAATACCCCTTTACCAGAACTAACCCTTATCAACATTATGAAATTGAAGAATATTGAAAAGATCTTTAAAAGACTGACAAGACGATCTCGTTCATGATATCTCCATTCGGCAATTCGTTCGGTGCGTTCCTGCCTATGTTAGCACTGAACGAATGACTCGGAGATTGGACCTCATCATTTGGAAATTATAAGAACATACAATGAGTTATCTAATTACGATCGTGCATTCAAAGACTGAAGTTCAGATAGAATGGCTAGCTTGAAATAAATAATTGCAAGCGTCGTGGTCGACATTTAAATATCTCTGGAATTTTACTGTATACTATCAACGCTGGATCATGTACTTGATGATAGCATTGATAATAAACTTATTGCAACAGGTACACTGAAATCCAGAGGCTACCAGGAATTTAGCTTCGTAGCAACGACCGATCGACGGACCAATGAAAATCTGTCCCCTAGACGTGATGCATTGTAGGATATATTTATGTCAATGACCTTCAATGTATCTCCGTACATTACCCCAATCTAAAAAAATGAATCAAGATGAAAGCCAAAACGTATCCTTATTTTCACTCCTCAAAGATACTGAAAAGTTTACATATTTCAGGCTCTCCCTGTCTGCCCTATAAGATATATTTTATCTGACAAGGAGTGATGTATTAAAGTAGGGAAAGCCTCGAGGGTCCAGTTCGAGCCGAATTGGTTCGCAGGAGTGTAGAATCTATTCAATGTAACACACACGTAACTCATTCTTTCACTCGTCCAACGCACATAACATTCCTAGGTGTCACATTCCAAATTGCTGAATGGTGCGCCAAATGTAGCTGGTTCCGATTTCGAAAATGACCTTGACCTAATTGGTTTACAATTTAACACCCTTGATGCATCATCATGATATACCACGTCATCTCATTTCTTCTCAGCCCTCTTCTTCTCAAGTGAAACAGAAAGATGCTATAAGTATCAGAATGTTGATGCATAGTCACCGTAACAGTTCGGTGAAGTAGTTGCACTAAGCCGACACAGGCAGCCTTCAAAGTCGGTACATCGCACTCTAAGCAAGGGTGATATTTAACCATCTTTGAATTGAAAACAGTTCAATAACATATTTAAAGAACTGATGAGTACGTTGATTCAAAGGAGGAGCGAAATTGAATCCAGCGGTAACTCCAGACTATATATTAAAATGTTGCCCTTTGTTATTTTTCAAAAGTTCTTTGATGTGTTATGAAGACCTTTGACATCCAAACATCTATGCTCGGCCTACATTAGTGTTCTTGTCGTTAAGAACCCATATTGGATTCGTTCCAAATTGCGATATTTTTCATAATAGCCACTTCAGCACAGGTAACTTCTAGTCATTGAAATGAACATCCAAATCTATGATGACAGCAAAGGCGTAAAAGCATGTGTTGTTCAATAACAAACAATGAAGTTGATTCTAATTCAAACGACAGGGAAATTAGCACATTTTGTATTATGCATTCCTTCAAAGGGTCGTCTAAAATGGCAGAAAATGGAGTAAATGTGTTGTGATGGCCTCCCCGGCATGTTTTGCGCCCATTGGTTGTTGGAATGGGCCCTCATCACGGACATTTACTTTTCATTTTAATGTCAGTTCTACGTGATTAAAAGGTACAACTCAACGGGATCATTTTTCTTCAAAAAATCATTAATAAAGAAAATGGGTCCCTAAGGGATTTTCATTTAAATACATTGTTAAATATTAATAATTCACGAAGAACACATGCGAAAAATACCAGATTTTATTTGAAAAGACTTTTGAAATGGTGTATTCGTGTACATTATGTTTGCTTCGAGATTTCTAACCAACAAAACTCATTATAATATCACTAAAATTGTATTGATTTCGCCATATGTTCTATTCAGTATTTACCTCATTAGATGATCGCTATTACTGAAAATGTTCACGATCACGTGATCTCAGTTGATTTATTTTACGCCATTATTTTAGTTTTTAAACACTGTTGTAGATTAATTGGCTCAAAGCGCGTTTTTCTGCGATCTTCTTTTGACTGGCGCGGGCCACTTTGGTAATATAATGATTATTAAAATGTTCTTCTCCTGACTAATTGTTGAGTTGGATCGCGATAGGATGCTGGGACAATCTTCTTTGTATACTGTCTGCATTATTAATGCAAATGATTCACATAATTCAATGTGTTCAATATATATGCATTTTCTCAAAAGTATTATTGGATCAGTTGATATATTTCGTAATTGATTATTAAATTAAGTGAATACATAAATAGTATTAATGTTATCCATTGACACAAATGCAACCCCTAAAAACTATAATAAATTACTATTTATCATTCTGACACTCCGATCACATAAGCTGTTTTCAATATTATATCTAGAAAGTAACAGATAGAAGAGATACTGCCACAACAATGACACCGATTACTATTTAAGCACATTTTGAAATGTATTTATACTATACTTACATCATAACCCTATAAATATTATGTATAGTTATGCGTCACGTTGCCTTCTTCGAGTGTACCAGTTATTCATCAATTTTTGAAATTCAGTAGCACAAAACATTTTAAGCTGAATTAATTTCTCTTACACATAATTCTTCTACATTTTACAAAATATAATTTTGATTATCACAATGTCATGTTATTGGTATGGATATAACACAATTTGAAATGAAACAATTTCTCGGCCAGTTTAGTATAAATGCATAGATTCTGAATAAATGTTGATTTCAATCTATTTTCAGCCAGTAGAGAGGCCAGTTTTACGCACAGTATAGCAGCAGCTGGGGTGGTGTTCTCTATAGCCCGGGCGTGTAGGGAGGGAGAACTCTCAAATTGTGGTTGTAGCAGAAAACTAAGGCCCAAGGGTCTAGATAGAGACTATATATGGGGTGGTTGTGGCGATAACGCCGAATATGGCTACAGATTCGCAAAAGGTTTTATTGATGCCAGAGAAAATGAGAAAAACCACCCGAGGCATTCCCGGGAGCTTTCCAGGATGCTAATGAATCTTCATAATAACGAAGCCGGTCGAAGGGTAAGTAAATACGCAAAGCAAAAAATGGCAACGCCATGGAATAGCTAATCCCAACGAACAGACAATCCCCAAATCTAAGTAATTCAATAAATCTGAATATAATATTTACAGTTGATATGCAGAGTTGCGTCCTTTATACCCCACCCAAACTTCTTTGGATGGCATAAAGATGTCTTCACTACGTTCGTCCCCACCCAAACTTCTTTGGATGGCATAAAGATGTCTTCACTACGTTCGTTTATCCGAAAACGTAGTTGATTGTTCATGTGAAATATCATGTTCTCTTCTCTACCCAATCCTACGATCAAGGTGTCAAATGGCTTTTTAAATTCTAGTTTTGTTCACCAAGTTAAACAATGAACAGGGACGTTGATAATAGTCAAAAGAAGATCAAATGTCATACAACGTGAACATATCAGAGGTACATAACAACTCGATGAATGAAATTGAAAATGGTACTATTTGTTTTATGTGCTCAAACCTTCTTTAGATATCAGCCCAAATTGTATGTTAATGAACGAAATGTGACAAAATACCCACCGCCGGATGGATATAAGGTAGCGTGATCGTAAAACGAAAATGTGTTCAATTATGAGAGACCAAATATCACCATATTTTATGTCTTTTTGAAAGTGTATGTACTGACATCAAAGGCATTGGTTGAATTCGACTATAATTAAAACACGTCTTCAGCCATTTAGGCCCCATTTTATTTCCATGTCGAAAGTATGCTAACTATTTTATTTGTACCATGTCCAAAATAGTATTGTGAGTCTCTTGTGGCTAAACAAAATCACAGACAGGACCACAATTACAGACCTAGAACGTGTTAAAGTTGTTGAAATCGCCCAAGGGGACTAGCACAATATAGTCCTGCCAAAAATGCGTGTTGTATTCAGTAATGATCAGGCAAATTTTACTTTCGGTCTAAACAAATAAGGTATTGTCCCTAATCTACGATCATATAGACACCTAAATGGTGAACCCTTGACAGGTCACTGTGGATCCCGTTTCCCTATGTCACCTACTAATATGTCCCCCTCTCAACCCTTATCACCAACATCTCAGATTTCATTTCCACTGTTATGCCAAAAAGGAATTAAACAGGGAACGTGCTGACAAACGATTAAATTGATTTAGGATAAATGCTCGGGAGCAAATACGCCAAAAATAAATATGAAATTTGAACTGGAAATATGCATAGACACGATGCATGTGATGATTAAAACATGTTCAATGTCAAGTCGATGAAGGAATTATCGGGTGGGAGGACTTCGGGTTCGCATTCGTGCCTCGTGGTCTGCGGTAGTTTGAACATCAATGACAAGTATAATTACAGTGGACATAATGAAATAAATGGTTCAGGATGTTTGACTATTTTTGCATCAAGCAAACCTTTAATTGATGTCAAAATGACAAATTCCCTGTATAGAAGATTGTGTTTTAAAGTAACCGCATTGGAACTGATATTTTAGGCACATTGCCCTCCCCCTTTGCCCCAGGTGTCACAAATCTTCTACTAAAAACATCCTCCATAAATTCCGTCTTTTCTTTCCAAAGGATGTCACCTGATTTGACACAATAATGTGCTTCATGATTAACTGCTGTCAATATTTCAATTAAAGACTATAGTGGAGATGCGTCCCCAAAGTATCACTGGTTTTTGAAATAGGAACATAAGCCCTATAATTAGCTACCTTTAAAACATCATTAACTGTTGATTAATGGTGAAATCAAATGAGCCAAATACAAAACATCTTTTGTATATTCTATAGTAATATTTGGTCCTAAAATTGATAACCAAATTATCAGAAAATGGTTGCTTTCAAATACAATAAAAAGGACAATGAATATATAAAAAGGGATGTTCTCAAAAACACATATAGTTGGTAAAATCATATGAAATATGTCATACGATCATGATCATTCGTCATTTGTCATTATTAACAATCATATTTGTGTAAACACAATCCAGTTATCAAAAATGTTGTAAGCAAATTGCTATGTTTGGATATCTGACGTTCGTCATTTAAGTACAACATAATCATTCGTTCGTAAATATGATGCATCATTGGTCACCATGCTAGTTAAAACTTCACATTCTCCCTTTTACCAAAAAGTTGAATGTAATGTAAACGCTCAAAAATGAGTGCATATCAATGTGAATAAAAGGCCACGGACAAAACAAAATGCCATTGTGACAAAAAAAACTATTTAGACTTATATTCCAAGTTTCATTAACTATTTCCCAGACAGTGATTATTCAGTGTGTGCCAAAATGTCACCTTAACATAATGCCGTAAACTACTGTATCATAAAAATATTTATCAGCTTCACAATGGCAGAATGGTGGTGACGGGATGTGAATCAGAAAGTGAACTTCCCGTTGAGTGTTTTATACCTGTTTAAAATAGTAGTAATGTCTTATGAACTTTGGCATCTTTTTGTGTTGAGTAGAATGTAAATGTATATTAAGAAAATAATTATACGTTTGAATTGTTTTCATTTGAGTATAAACATATTTTTATAACACCTATGTTGTGCGTAGATCCTGTTCAAGAGTCTAAGATTGGATATCCACTCTATTTATTCAAATTCCTTCGATTAAAATGAAAAACCTCGAAGGAGATGATAATATATAACAAAATGTAAAATAACATTTCTACATGCCTCCTTATTTCAATATGTAATGTCATATTATATTATAATATAATATGAGAAAGTCATGATATCAACATAATCATATTGCTGTTTATATTTTCCAGGCGGTCTACAAGCACACAAAGGTGGCGTGCAAGTGCCACGGGGTGTCTGGCTCTTGTAGCTTAAAAACCTGCTGGCAGTCGCTCCTCAGTTTTAGGGAAATCGGGAACTTTCTCAAAGAAAAATACGACGGAGCAACAGACGTCAAGTTTAACAGACGTGGCACAAAGCTTGAGCGTAAAAACCCTATGTATAATAAACCTACTAAAGAGGATATGATATATCTTGACCCAAGCCCGGACTATTGTGAGCCAAATAAGCTCACGGGTTCAAGAGGAACAATTGGTAGAAGCTGCGAGAAAAACTCAGATGGCATGGAAGGGTGCAACCTTATGTGCTGCGGGAGGGGATATAATACTCACAAAATAACGCTCACTGAGCGATGTCATTGCAAATTTCACTGGTGCTGTTATGTGAAGTGCAGAACATGTAAACGTGTCGTTGATATCCACACGTGTAAATAGTACGTACATAATAACGTGTACATTCGAATCTAGACGCAATACATAACGAGTCCATTTTGCACTACCCTCGTGTAGCAACGCCATTCACGTAAGACTCGATTTAAGAATGGCGTGGCGTTTGACATACATGGTGCCCAATTGGCCAGAACAACGCCGTGATAATACTGACATGGACGGAAGTATTCTACGCATATCATCATAAATGAGAATTTATTCTCAACTACTGATAAATCGTCTGCTGAAGAGGACACTTGTGCAAGTGCCACTTATGAGGCAACTGTGACATTGATAGCTAGCTAGTCCCAGTCACATACATAGACAGAATATAAGATGTTACAGACAACTACAATGCTGCAAAAAACCGAACGATGGCACGTAGTAGTAGAAGAGGCAACCAATTTGTTCTTAAAACTGTACAATATGTACATAATATAGACAACTGAAGAATATTAAATGTAAATAGTTAAAGAGAAGTGAAGCTAATATATATAAACATGTGCTGTACCATATCTACACATGGGTATATGATAATAATGATTTAATTCTATGAGCAGATTTGTACGTAATGATTGGTCGAATCGATCACGTGTAAGCTGACGTGTCAAAACTTTCTCAGTCAGTGTCAAGCATGTTATGTAATCATGTCATTTATGGCTTTCCCTTTATTCCATTTGATTTGAAAATCCAACCAATATTTATCAATGTCGAACAAAATAGCATTTTGTGTAAATTAAATAGTGTATTATGACACAAACATTGGACACAAAAATAAACACTTCATTATAAGAAAGCCAATAATATTGTAAGTTTGATCATGATAGACATAAATTGTCCATTTATGTCAATTTTATAACCGTTGCTATATTTGGCTTACACTCCCCTCCATAAGTGTGGCAGCCAGACAGCCCCTTTGGCTCACCTATCAAAACCTTTTATGTTTGGCTATTTTAAAAAATTAAAAATTCACCAAATCTGTCATAAGTTCCCGAACTATTTTAATTAAGGAGAGTGAAATTATGATGCAAACATTGACACACTTTGATACACTATTCATTGACAATTTCCGTTTGCCAAACTTATGGGAGGGGTGTACTTCTAGGCAGCTGTATATAACAAAACTGATGTAGACGTTTGAATGCCAGTAGCATTATTTATATTTTATAAAGCTGTATATATTATACATTTCTGTTCAAGTACATTTAGAACTTTTAGGGTTTTGGTGCTTGTAGAACAAAAAATAGGGGAGAGATTCAATGAATTTATGTAACCAAGCAGTCAATCAGCTTAGAGACTACGAAGATCTACAATAATATTATAACTTGACAATACCCTATATAACAATATTTCTAACGTAACAAACCGAATCAAAATGAACTGAACGAAAATGACGAAAACTATTCTATGTTGGGGTAAGAGTGTAACTTCTGTTTGTCTTAAGTTTTAAATTACTCGTGTGACGAGTAAACAAACATTAGGCCATACTAGTCCAAGTTCATGATACACACATCAAAATTGAAAATGAAAAAAAAGAGTTATGTTATAAATATTTGAACAAATTATCCCCACTTGTAAGTAAACATAGTAAAAACATGTTCAACCAAACACTCGTCGCTTACCAGTTTTTTGTGCTAATAATTGACTATTCTCCCAAGTCTCAATCTTACGAAGGATCTACGTGAGCCAAAAATAACACCTCTAATATAATACGTAAATAAGTCTACTAATAACGTGCCATCTTTGTATATTCTGTATATTATTACTGTATTTATGCATGGATTTTGGAAAGAAAACTTGTAAAAATATCTTCTCTATTCTAGACAAATCAGATGGATAAAAAGTCTAAACATTCTACAAAATGTGTTCTGTTCTGTTCTCTGAGGCGGTCTGTCATATTTTAACTAGATCCCAGGTCCCATTTCATCCCATCATGTATTAATGCGTGACATTGAATGTAATGCACCATTGGTTGCCACATGTAATGCGCCCTTACAATGTTACTTAAATGTAATGCACCATTGGTTGCCACATGTAATGCGCCCTTACAGTGTTACTTAAATGTAATGCACCATTGGTTGCCACATGTAATGTACCCTAAAAATGTAACTTAAATGTAATGCACCATTGGTTGCCATATAAATGTACCCCTACAATGTAACTTAAATGTACCCCCGGTTCTCTGCTTTCCACCAATGCTATTCCCATAATATACCAAGGGCGTTACAATACCCGGGAATCTATCGGTTCGTGCAGTACATTACTAGTAAATTCTATGCATAGTTTACTACTTGAATATTACACAAACCATACTGCCCCATCTATATAAAAACGATTATCAGACTATGCAGAGACCAAAAGTAATATTGTTCACATGAAATAATGTCCTAGCTTGTCAGGCATTGTAATATTATTTTAAGTATTCGCATACAAAATCGCCCCACTACTTTTTTAGTTATAGCAAAAAAGGAAATAAAAGATATAAAAATGGCCGCTACTACCCAAATAGTCATAAGAAAGTGTTATACGCTTTAAATTACTTATAAATTTCTACAAAAATATGTAAAGAAAACAAAGTCGTGTGGTTCGCGATGTGGGAATTCGTTGCGCGAGTGGAGAAATGGGTTCGGAGAGAGGGACTTGAGGTACGCGACTTAAGAATCGAAATTCGCGTTGTGAGAACAGGTGGTTCGGGTTGAAGGAACATTGTTCGCGAGGTCGGAACTGATGACTACGTGACCACGTTGTGGAAGTCTAGGAGGCCTGGTAAATAGATACATATAGGTTATTTACTGAGAGGGATTGAATATGGAATTTATTCCGAGGAACAATATGATATTGACCGAAGGGTAATATGATATTGATCGAGGGAGCGCAGCGACCGAGTGTCAATATGATATTGCCCAAGGTCAATATCTTATTTTCCATGGAATAAAAACCATATTCAATCTCGACCAGAAATAACCTATTTATTCCATAATACATCCCTCTAAAATGTTACATTTGGATAATGCAAACATTATATAATAAGTGCACATTGTTTGAAGTTAAATTGAATTTAAAGTTAAAAATAACCGGGAAACATAAAATACGATCCAATACGATTTTTCCGGGGACAGTACGATTTTTTCATGTAATACGCTCCAATACGATTTTTTCCCGGGGACAATACGATTTTTACATGTAATACGATTCAATACGATTTTTATTCATTCATATTTCCCTGGGAAAATAGTAGTATTATGGAATAATAGGGTATATCTGTATATTGGTTTTAGTTATTGGACACGGACACATCTAAAAATTGGTATAAAATTTTAATTGCTGAATATATCGTCAAGGTGAATCATTTCCAACTATAGTGACATAACATACAGACAACTGCATATATATTATATTGAGACGTGACAATTGGCTCCTAGCAACGACAATCCATACCTCAAGAATAATGGAGGTTTTGTATGTTAGAAACAAACAGAACCTCAACATTGAAAACGCAAATATACAAAAAGCATGATTAAAGAACCGATAGAATACATTAAATTCAATGAAACAACGTTAACAGAATGCATAAAAATAGCGAAGGTCGCTGCGTCGACGTCTTCAAAGGAAAGTGTCATTGCAGAGGAACATAAACAGAAAGATGGACAACTTCATGAAGGAGTTCACAGTTTTCAGCTAACTGCCATTGATGAAGAATCCAAATGTAGCAAACATACACCTGATGTACAAGCATCGTGTAAAGGAGATTCACAAACAGACCTCCAAGATCGCATATACATAGAAATGTTGCCAAGAACAGAGACAATGGATTCCGACAGTCTTACCAAACAGATAGCAAATAACTCAAATTGTGATCCGATTGACCAGAGAGTAAATAACACAGACTTTGATACTGAGGACCAAGGAATGATTACGTCGATTAACGTTGGGAATGACCTAGAGTTTAATTCGGTGGACCTAGCGGGGGATAAGGACTCCGAGGAAAGTAGTGACAGTGACGGAACGAATTGTAGAATATGTGCCTGTAGTGAAGACACAGGTGAATCTTTGATATCAGCGGGTTGTAACTGTAAGGGATACCTAGAGTTCTGTCACAAGAGTTGCTTAGAAACGTGGATACGAGCGCAGAGATCAAACAGATGCGAACTTTGCAGGGCTGTCTTCAGTGGCATGTCACAACTCCCGGGCTATGAAGAAGATGCGGAATCATATGTCAGTACAACCAGCTCTTTCATGACAAGTGGAAACGTCAGGGGTGCCAGGGCTTGCTTCATTATGACATTCTTCATCCTGCTTGCTATGACGATCACATCAGGCTTGCTTTTAACACGTACGATCAAAATGAAACACTCCTCATACAACTTCCAGCCAAGTATGAATAGCGAGGACCATAATTTCATCCTAACCATTTCACTGTCGATCTTCATCGTGAGCATATGTTGCACTATGTTCATCTCTATATGTTGGTTTACGTGGGAAGTCTCATACTTATGTTATTGGAACACACAAGCTGAGCGTGATCGAAGAGTTCTACAAGATATGGTTCATATCATAGATGGCGAAAGTGTAGAAAGTGTCTGATTAGACAAAATGAGATAAATTTCAGCAATATTTTCTACATCATCAATATATGCTCTTCAGATTGGACCATAATCTTAAAAAAACAGTGAAATCGTCAATTTATTTTATCAGTTTATTTAATAATTCAGTATATTCAAACAATATTCTTTGTACACAATTCCTTGTATAACAAAGCCAAAAATAGAACAATATTGTAATGTTAATTTGAAGCATGATAAGAGGTTCATTCACTTAAATTGATCCAATTAGAATGTTCTACATGGTTTTGATATTCATGGTGTCATTATAGCGCTATTAACAGAAACTCCTGAAGTTCAGGACAAATGGTGCTTGGATTCTAGGACTGGTGTTTATTCGTCCTTACCCCACTACTAGCGTGACTAAAAGCTTTAATATTCAACAATCACACTAAAAACATGGCATTTAAAAGTAGAACATTGGTAGAAGATTGCGTCGGGGTTGCCACACCATATTCACATCAAAATTCTCTACAAAATATAAACTGAAGTTGACAAATCACTGCATGAGCTGAACGTAGTTTCAGTAGTTTTCATTTGATAATTGTTTTCTTATTCTATGCAACTTTTGGTTCAACGTCTAAATTACAATGTTGCAGCTTTCTAAGATTTCTGAAATTCATTGACGTTTATTGACATTTTTGACAAAATTCTCAAATTGCTCAACTTTTCCACATCAAGGAAAGAACAGTTTGTGGCAACCGGATATATATTTAACTAATGTTGGACTAAAATCTCATGTTTCCTTTCATACAGTGTCCTATAGTATATCGTATATTAAATTAATGAGCGTTGGGTCCTTCTCAAAAATAGATTCTTATCCATTTGTGTTCCTCCAAACGAACTGGTAAATAGAGCGAAACAAACACGTACAGTAAAACCTGTATATCCAGAAACCTCTCTAATCAGTACACTTCTCTTTGAACACTTAGTCCCACTTTTCATACTACCAGATTAAGAGCCTTTAAATGTGCCCAATTCGTTATCCAATGGTGTTTTAATAAGACGCATGTATACTTCTGTAGTAAATCCATTTTATCACACATGAATCCAAGCCATTCATGTATGCATCTCACTATTGCAATTAATTGTCTCTCAAAAAAGCATTAGCAGTCATACAATTCAATTCAATTCAATTCAATTCAACAGTACATAAAACTATACAAATCACACTTTCCTCAGCGTTATATATCTGAAGTGATCCTACTATATCTGATATACAGCGTGTCCATAAAGTCTCTTTTCAATTCCAATAAAAAGTCTGTGTAAAGAGTAGAGACTTTATGAATGGACACCCTGTATATTCATGAAATTTTGAACCTAGTGGTTGTTCAATGAGGTCAACTATTGTTGATGCCTATTTGCTTGAGAACTTGGTTTTCCAGGGGACTATGCTTCTCCTGGAAATGTGAGTAGCATGGTTGCTGAGAAAGCTCCTGTAGGTACTCTGTCAGATACGTCTGGAAATACACATGGGGACAAATTGTGTAAAGTATAACTGTTACTACTGACATCAAAAGGTTATGGTCATTCAGAAAGTGATGGCAATAAAAGGGTTACTTTATCAATGTTGAGAAGGTCACTAAATATATATTAATAGGGTAAATTACATATCATTGTGAATCAAAATATTTCATGGTCACTATTAGCCATCAAAACCATGGTGTTGTCTAGTTCAGAATAAGGTCACCCCAAATAACTGTCTACGTAAGTGGACTTTATGTAGCAACCTCAATAATATTGATGTTGCAACTTAAGATCATTGAACTTTCATTTCCTGTCTAGTTTGACTTTACCCAAGATGTACTAGTTATTTGAATTTTTAAATGAAAATATAGTACTTTGACAAATAGTTTGGATTATGGATGTTAGTTTGGTCATTTATTAGTCATAAATCAACTTTTACTTCAATATTTATGAGTTGTTCAAATTAACAAAATAAAATAGGCAAAATGTCCAATAATAATCCTTATCATAATATGGAAAGAATATTCAGAAGGTCAAGTAAGAACATGGATAACATTTAATCTACAAATCAACGAAAGTGTGAAAATGTATAGTGCCAATAAACCAAAGACTTAGAAGCATTACAAAACAAAGCAAGAAAAGTCTAAGAGTCAAAACCAGTCATAAGGAAAAAACAAACCCCAAATATCCATTTCCTATGATCTAGCATACAAAGAACCTCTGTCACTCCCTTCCCACTTTCCAGGAACCATTATCACATATCCAAGACCACAAAATGATGAGCGATGGCCCATTTCATTCATAAAAATGTTTAAAAAAGTCATATTGATAGTTAATGCAGTACATTTGATCCAAGGTTGCCAAACTTTTATTTTCTGTTGTTATTATAATCTATTCAGCCTTTTTATGTCTTCACTGAATATCTATTAAGCAATTAACATTATAGGAACAAGGCACAGACGTGAACAATATCGTACCTAAAACACAGCAGTGTGACAGTGAAGAATTTAGGATGGAAAATTCAAAATGGCCACCTTAAAATTTACCCAGAATGCCCAAAAACTAATCAGTTCTTAACTTTGATACATAGAAACATCCCTGAAAATTTCAGATGAATCCATCAAATGGTTTGGCTGGAAACCTGTAGACAAGTCTTGAAAGAGAAGATTTTAGAACGGAAAATCCAAAATGGCCACCTTAAAATTAACCCAGAATGCCCAAAAACTAATCAGTTGTTAACTTTGATATGTAGAAACATCCCTGTAAATTTAAAATGAATCCATCAAATGGTTTGACTGGAAACCTGTAGACAAGTCTTGAAAGTGAAGATTTTAGGACGGAAAATCCAAAATGGCCACCTTAAATTTTACCCAGAATGCCAAAAAACTAATCAGTTCTTAACTTTGATACGTAGAAACATCCCTGAAAATTTCAGATGAATCCATCAAATGGTTTGGCTGGAAAACTGTAGACAAGTCTTGAAAGTGAAGATTTTAGGACGGAAAATCCAAAATGGCCACCTTAAAATTTACCCAGAATGCCCAAAAACTAACCAGTTCTTAACTTTGATACGTATAAACATTCCTGAAAATTCCAGATGAATCCGTCAAATGGTTTGGCTGGAAACCTGTAGACAAGTCTTGAAAGTGAAGATTTTAGGACGGAAAATCCAAAATGGCCACCTTAAAATTTACCCAGAATGCCCAAAAACTAATCTGTTCTTAACTTTGGTACGTAGAAACATTCCTGAAAATTTCAGATGAATCCGTCAAATGGTTTGGCTGGAAACCTGTAGACAAGCTGAAAAGTGAGATGCCGCCTGCCCGCCCGTCAAGCTGATGACAATATCGGTACGATAATAAAAATATGCCAGATTTCCCCAACTGCTGAAATGATCAACCAAATTCTGGTATTTTCCACTTAGCCATTTTCAAGTTGAGCATGGAGTATAAGTTAAGAACATGTAATTTGTATGCCAATGTATTTCTAAAATGTGCTAAAAGCATATTTTCTAGAATTTGATAAATGTGTACTTCTAGTTTGATTTTGCCCAAAGTATTATATGTAATGGTCACACAGATAAATAGTCATTAATTACCAAACTAAACTACATTGACCACACGGCTAACAAGGCATTGACATGCAGAATGTCACAAACTGTAATTTTTACAGACGCATTTGATACAGATACCGAACACCAACCAGTCCACAAAAAAGTTTGAGACTAAAGCAATATGTCACCACTTCTGGTGGTGGCGTAATAATAATATGACAACTAACATACTCTCCGAGGCATGTTTTCCTTCCATACCTGTAAATTAACTTTGTTGATTGGGTCATCAACTGTATCAGGATCGTCCTCATCATCATCATATTCATTAAGATCAAACCCAACATAAGCAGATGCGGGAGCAAACTCCTTTAGAAGATCATTCAAAGCAGCTTCTTCCTCAAGATCATCTCCCTCGCCTTCATCTGACTCCTCCCACTCATCATCTTCACCATTACCAGAGTTTTCTTCAAGCTGAGTGGACAGCTCATTAATGAGCAGTTTATAGATCTTTACTGACACAGGTATACTGGTCCATTGTTCTGGTGCTGAAATAAATCAGATGTAACATTTGTATATACCATGGTATGTGGAGGGTAATAACTTTCAGATTCACAAGTGCTGTCTTCTTACTTAGCATAGTTTGTAAATCTTCACAAAAGAAGGGAAATGGTTCCTTGTTCTGGTGATAGAATAAATCAGATGTAATATTTAGAGGTTATGCCACTATCGTTGCATATATGCCCGAGGGTTTCAGTGATATATGGCCCGACCTTGGGAGGGACATTGATCACTGAGAACCGAGGGCATATGTGCAACTATAGTGACATAAACAATTTATAACATACCTATGATGATCTAGTCTGGTCAGATAGTACCGTTTTCTTATTTAATTGACTAGCAAGCGTTCGGAAATGATGATTTATTCCCATGTTTGTATCTTATGAATGTACGAGTCAATTTGACCTAGGCCTAATGTATGACGTAGTCCCAGCGCTTGACAATTTCCAGATATACTGGGATGCCAGTCCATTTTTCTTATGTTACAGGTTGATATGTTTATTTGAGTTATATGGTATTATACAGTAATCTTAAGAAGCTCAGAGTGAGATGATATATATGGCCAAATTAATTCTCAGCTGCCATTTCTCAATGACAATTGTGAACATCATGCTTATTGTTCCAGGAAAACATTCACAAATATGAAAAAATTCAAACATTGATTTGGTGACCTACTTTTACTGGCTTTGGATCGTGTGCGTATTTCGTTTCCTGTCAAGGAAATAGGGTCCCCTTTCACTAGAATCTCTTCATTGAATCGTTTGTCATTTTTCTGTATTGCATGGAGAAGCAACTTTGCAAGGGCTATGGTACTGAAAATAGACACAAAATAACATGTTAGAACAAGTAAAGAAAGAAGCAATGCAAAATTGAATAGAGGGTGGTAGAAAATTCCAAGAAGGAATTGGTCTGTCCTTTAGAAAATGTCAAGTACTTTTGAAGATACTAATTCCTATTTGTCTCATATACAAAAGCCATTATTGTGATTTTGTGACAATATGCTGATTGTGTTGCAGATTTTTATACCAAGAGGCACCCTATGATTAGTGAGGGGAGCTAATTTCAAGGGTGATGGTAAAGACGAGGCATGGCGCCCAAAAACCAAAGAAAATTAGCACCATAATATTTTAAGTCGTATTATTGCAGTATAAGGTAATGATATTGTGATATTTTATGCTGTTTTAGAAGTTAAAGATGTTAAACTATGCATACCGTTTGTTTTACATCCAATAAAACAAATAGTTAAGATGAAACAGTCGTTTAAAGATACAATTTGAATTTACCGCAAGAAATTACAACCTAATATTGTCAATATGTCAATAATTCCTGATCAATGTCACATATAAAGATATATGTACCTAGATATGTTTTATTTTTTCATATATGCGAAATAAGGCGGTCTCTAGTTATGTACATCCAATACAAAATGAATGTTTACTATTCGGCGATCAGAATTTCGATGACGAGCAATGGCAATGTAATTTGCGAAGAAAGCATCAGTGCACCTAGTTAAAGGCCAGGTTTGGGCGCCATGCCTCGTCTTTACCATCACCCTTGAAATTAGCTCCGGTCACTAATCATAGGGTAAGAGGCATCCCTGATAATTTCAAGTTGATCTAACAAATGGATTGACTTCTACCCCTTTTTATGAAAAAATATCCCTGAAAATTCTTGATTGATCCATGAAGTGATTTGGCTGAAAATGTGTCTACAATACTTTACATACAAAATTATATGATGGAAAATCCAAAATGGATACCTTAACATTTACCCAGAATGCCTAAAAACTAAATAGTTCTCAAGTGGATTACTAAATCTCAACATACCTGACTTTGTTCTCATATGCTCCATAGAAAAGATGCTGTCTGGAGACCCATTCTGTGAGTACAAACTCTAAGGCAGTATTTCCGGTAGGGCCAGGTTCATTGGAGAGAAACTCTAGCAGTTCATCAAAATGGCTATGTACCAAATGGGCAAATATCATCACTAAGCTCTGTGTTACACTTAAAGTGTCCGTTTGTTGTAGTTTACATAACACTGCTCGCAACATTACACCTAAATTCTCACCAAGTCCACTACCTATTTTTGAGATTAAAACTGATACCAATCGACCAACAAAAGCAGCAGCAAATTCAGAAGTCTTTGGATGTAAAAGTTTGGAGATCACTTGAATAGTGTAATAGAGTCCATTATTATTCTCTGCGTCGTGCCAGTTGACGACTTGTTCCAGAGCAACTGAGATGTATGCTCGAATACAATCGCCTCCACTTTGAAGCGACTGGTTATCATCAGTGTGTAGAATAAATTGTATTGCAGCAGGGAAGGCTTGAGTAATAAGAAGAGCTGGTAGGGGAATTGAACTATTTCGTACTAAAGTCTCTAAGATATCTAAGGCTACCTGGAATGTAAAAAGATGAAGTACTTATGGCGTGTTTATAACTCCCTTATGTTTATATCTTATAAAATGTATGACTGTGTGTACTACATCATTATTTGTTGTGCAGCTCTATCCATTCATTTTAAGGAATCATTGCTTTTAAAATATTATTTATAAGTGGGTAAATCTCGTTAAGATGTAGTTATTGGAAGGGAATCACATTGTGATATCGGCACGATAATTATAAACAAGAATTTAGAGAAGAAAACTATTCATTTTTGATGAATAGAATATTGGATTGATTAATACTAACAATCCAAAATATTACTGTCTGAAAATGTTTGGCTTATTCTACAGTCATTTCATACTATTTGCGCTACACCAGACTTACAGGTGGGAGAACTATGGGTACACCCTGCGTTGTCTGGGACGCCATCGGGGCATTGAGAATGCTGGTGAGTGTGGGAACTAGTCGCTGAAGTAACGCGTCCCGACATCCTTCATTCTTTGACAACTCACTGAATATGTCCTGGGTGAGACTAACGATCAATGGATCTGAAATATCCAACAAACATAATCTGAGTAAGCCAAAATAGTTCAAATAAACTTTTTACAAAAATATACCTTTTTTATTTGTTTGTCAAATGCAGGTGCAAGAGTACATAAAATGTAAAAATATAAATATAATATATATAAAATTATAATTTTTAGGTGATATAAAAACAAAAGAACTATAAACACAACATAAAACTGTAACTCATCAATGATTTAGCATTTAACTTTACTTCGGTTTTTGAGTTTTCTAGCACTGATATTGTGTGCATCTCCTGAAGACAGTCAAGATAAATTCATATTTAGAATGCATCACCATGACAACATTACAACAATAGCTAATTTAAGGATGTATAATTTGAGAGGTTGTTAATTATAATTATTCAGAATACCGAATTTTAATGGTTCATTGAGTTTATCAAATGCTACAGTCATTCAATCAAGCAAGAAGATTTAATCAATTCAGCTAGTCATTTATCATATTGTTTCAGAAAAAAGCTTCAACAAAATGTTTGCAATGTATGTGTTTTTTCCATGTTTGTCTTATAGCCAAAAGTATGCAAAAATGTTAGTTCTTACCTCCGCTGCACTTCAGGAATATTGCTATAGTAAATGGCGCCACCTTTTGCTCTACAGTGGCAGTAAACTCAGGGCTGATCTGAAACATACTATGCCATTTGAGAACTTGTAGATGATTTTGAAAAATAAATTGGTCAATTTGAAGCAAGTTGAAAAAAGACATTTTTGACCCTGAGAAGGTCGTTGAAGGTGAAATCTCAAATATAAAGTCAGATTTGAACTTCTAAGAACTTGAAGATAACTTTGACGAAGCAAGATGAAAAAAGACCTTTTTGACCTTGAGAAAGTCATTGAAGGGCAAATCTTTTTTGACCTTGAGAATGTCATTGAAGGTCAAATCTATAGTCAGATTTGAACATTTGAGAACTTGTAGTTTTAAGAAAGTCACATTTGAACTTCTGAAAACTTGAAGATGATTTTGAAAAAAATTGAAGTCAGTCTAAACAGTATTTGTTAAGTTATTGGAAGTCGTAAGAATTTGTTACAGATGCCGATCGCCAACCATCAACCGCCGTCAAAAAAAACAGACCATAACAAAATGTCACCACTTTTTGGTGGTGACATAAAAATGGTTCAGATCTGCACTTCTAGTGCAATAGTGAGGTATTAAATTGACGATTCTGTTGTCTTCTGAGCTATTTGTTCCCAAACATGTACATATGATACTGATAAATCTTTGTGATAAAAATGCGAACTCCTGTGCAGTGATATTATCACTGCGGCGGGCAGGTATCTCACCGTAAGCATGGTAACTTCGTAATAAACAACTGACAAGATTGGTTCTAGTCCCATGCTCAGGTCGCGTGATTGTAAAATTTAGACAATTTCATTGGTTGAATTGCGCGTATTAACTAAAAAACAACACGTGCGGTAAACTATTATCAACACAACTTTTACTCAGAATTCCTTCCGCGGTGATTTCTTCTCATATTTCAATAATTTTGAAATATTTTGACAAAATAATATTTGGGGAACATTCATGAATACATATTTCATAAGTTGTGTGAAAATTGACCACATATATGATGAAAAGGGGAACTATTTTCCCCAAATTTTAGGGATTTTCTTCATCTGCCCGCCGCAGTGTCTATACCGAGACACTGCATGGGAGTTCGATAAAAATGTTGTGTGCATTCTGCCTACAACGCGTGAAATAAGGAAAAAATTAAAATTGTACCTTCGAGGTTCCAATATTTTTTTTACCAAAACGTTTTGTCCAAAAATGCAAATCTACATGCTTCATCAGTTTCATATATTAACATTCATATACTCACAGAAAGAATCATAGCAATGGTCTCCAGACAGAGGGCCAAGACCTCAGCAGCATACTGCACTCCAGTCTCCAACAGTCCACTTAGCATTGTGGGCAAGAAGGGTACCAGTATGCCACGGTTGTCAGCTGACTTTAAGTGCTCACAGAAACTATAGATGGCTCTCACGGCTGATATACGGACACTTGCTGGATGACTTGCATTAAGGCCTTTCACAGTAACATGTAGGAACCTGAAATTTATAACCTGACCATATTTATCTGTTCTATTTTCAAATGACTTCTTTCATTATTCACAGGGATAACATTAAATGCACAGTCTTTACTTTACTGAACTGTCATTGAGGGAAATAGTGCAAAATGATTCAAGAGTGATACCCTCACTGGTTTCACCGACCAACAAAAAGGCACAAGTCGAAGAGATGTTTGTATGAAGGATATTCCCAAGGAAAAATGATGTGCATTCCTACCTCTGCAACAGCTCTGGCTGCATGAGTGAAGCAAACCTACTAGCCGTCCAGAGACATCGACCCAGCAAGAATGGGGAAACCTGAAGGTCTAAGTCTGCTAGGATGATATCGTGTAGGAAGCTGTGGATGTCAAACTGTACAGTGCCAGCGTGTATCTGCTCAGCTACCATTGTCTTCACACTACCCATTGTTAACATAGCTGCCTCGTGGATCTTCCACCTTAAAGAGGATATGAACTTAAGTGAATACACATACATACATCAGTACAGCAAAATTGGCCAGGTGGAACACTTTTGAAAGTGGAACTCATCCAAAAGTGGAACACTTTTGAAAGTGGAACTCATCCAAAAGTGGAACACTTTTGAAAGTGGAACTCATCCAAAAGTGGAACATTGACCTCTGTTTCCTGAACATCTCAGAGTTGAACACTGCATTAAAGTACCAACATTGCTCAACTTATGTTTGTTACAGTAGTTACTTTGACTTCTGCTTTTTTAAGTTTAAGGAATTGTGACTTATTTCTTCTTATGGGAAATTTTTTCCTTCCAAATCTGAAATCAGAATTGAAATTCAACCTCCAGTTCAGATTTTACGTCATCCCATATCCAAACCCAAAAAGATTAAAGCAGATATGAAATATGGTATTGTTGACCTAAAGGAATCAATAGAATTTTCTGATAAATGTATTTATAGACATCTTTTCTCATCAGTATTCTGAGTATTATTTCACTCTAACCATTGTTATAGCTGCTTAATATAATAAGCAATATTCGAATAAGTTGTGGCGTCAAGTAAAGGTCAAATCCTAAAACTAATGTCAGATTTGAACTCCTGGCAACTTGTAGATGATTTTCAAAAATAATTTGGTCAAATTGAAGCAAGTTGAAAAATAATTTATTTTTACTGTTTTTTTACTTCAAATATCTCAAAAACGGTAAAAATTTGATGCTGACATATATTGAGCAATATGTAAGGAATGCTTAAATCTAGTAATGTTGAATTCATTGCAAAAATGATCAAGTATAAGGCAAACTTTGAGAAACTTGTCAATCACAAAACCTGCCATTGACTTTATACATGAGAAAGTTTCCTGAAAATGACATTAGTCCTACTTTTTGTCAAATTTTATAGAGTAATTCCAAGAGCTTTGAAATCTTCAGAGGACATAAGTTGCATATACAACAACTACTAAAAGTTATTTGAAAGTTCTACTTCAACAAAGTGTCTAGTATTTAAAGAAAATTTTGCTTTTTGACGTCAAAATCAGCAATTTCTCGGAAACTGGGCGAATTTGGGAAATGGCGATAGGTCAAATCGGCATTATGGATACGCATAAAATGAATGTGGATATGACTCAATCCGAATAGCAGTTTTAATTTGTGCGGCCAATGTTGACAGACGGACAGACGGACCAACGGACGCCTGGTCAATCCCATAGGCTCACTGTGTGAGCCAAATATCCAATGAATATACCATTAATAACTTAAGGATTTGGACATACCAGTTTGCATTTCCGCTATTTTTGGCACTCTCGGCTTCATGTATGTGTCTTGTTATGGCCTGGCATATGGCTGGACCCCCTTCCTTACTGAATTCACTGGCAAGAGACTGTAATACAATCCAAACGGGTGTTATCATACATGTAACAATGACTGTATTAGCATTATAGGAGGAAAAAATGCCAAGTTTTTTGTTTAATATCGAAAATTTGAATATGAATAGAAAAAAAACTGATTGGCAAGAAACAAATAAATACATTTTAAAGTACAACAGTTTAATAAAAGATAACTTAACAAATCATGTGATGAGACAGTAATTGAGAAATTTAAGCAAAATAAAGTCCTAGTTCTGTTATGAGGCTCTGAGTATTTAACATAACTTACTAATAAGAGATCCTGTGATGAGATTCTAACAGAATAACTAAATGTGTCGTCATCTTCATCCTCTACAAACTGGTCGGGATTTTCAGTCCATGTTTGAATCTGAAATAAAATATGATTTATTGCGACTTATTTCTTTATGAAATCATACAATGAGCTCTTTAAGCTGGTATTCAATGTTTTTTACAAGTTTTCTTTCTTCCACATTAATTCTGTCGCCCTTTCCATTGGAGAGATAATTCTGACTTATTTTGCAGTGATGCAGATTTTCTACAGAACTTCCGATCTTTAGCTATGTAGCAGCACTTTCAATCACTTATTCATGATAAAGATAGAGACGGGTAATTGTTACAGCTTTTATTAAAGAGGGACAACTCAGGTTTTTTAAGTTAAAGAGTTGCATTCAGGTTTCTTAAACCTCAATGGTTTCAGAATGCATTCCTAGTCTAACCTGCTCTTCTGTAATTTGCATATAGAGCACAATGAAATACAGGAGTTCCCCTATGGCTTTCTTTACTGTACTGCGGTATTTGTTTGTGTCAATGAGAGCATGTATGAAGTCAAACACGCCAAACACAAGGTTCTCAAACCCAAGCACCTCTCCTGTAATAAAACAATGAATAAACAGTTGTATTGAATAGGATTCTAGCAATATATCCTCCTCAAAAAAAGTTTAGGACCAGTGGTTTTCCTCATAGGTTTACATGTTAACCCCCATATTTGTTTGAAAGACTATTTTCTAAGCGTGGAACAAAAGAAATCCAAATAAAGAAAATGAATCTGTATCTTGATTCTATTCCCTACAAAGTCTGCAAAGTTTCAATGTCATATCTCCATTACATTGGGTCAAAATTTGATGTCAAAATTGATGAATTTCATGAAATTTAATAAAAATGGCAGATCCCATGTTAAACAAATGGGGAATGGTTGGGTTGCCATAAGTCATATGAGGAACGATCCATCCATCCGATTGCTCTCAAAATTGAAATTTTAAGAGACAATTAAATTTGCTTAATTGTCCACTCGACAAAAATATGATTTAATCGTCCAGGCTTTACAAAAGTTAATGGTTTCAAATTCAATAATTTTTTAATGATCCTCTTATTGAAATAACATAGGTGTTTCATTGAGGTGGTCAAAATTACTTTAACGCTCCGTATCGCTAATTTTAACAACATAAGCGAGACATTTAGCATGTAAAATGTAAAAACATTCAATTTTCTACTTAGAAAGTATTTTTAATAAATGTTTTACTGAATAGAAATTCCAAAATCTGAGTTGCCCCTAAGCCACCATTCCCCATTTGACTTTTTTTGAGGAGTATAGAATGTCACATAATTTATACAGTGAAACTTGTCTTACTGAACATATCCCTGGTAAACACTGGTTTTACTGTATAAAGCATTGACCACTGATGTCTAATTATTATTCAATGAATGCTTTTCGCGTTCTAATAAATTTATCTATCAATAATCGGTATTGCTTTGAATTCAACATTGGATCTCATTATTTCTAGTTCTGTTGCATAAAACTTTCAATATACTCACCATCTGAATCCACTGGGTTGTCAACATCATCAACATCATTAACAACTGTGCGTTGATAGCTACATCTTTGGTTAAGGATATCATAATACTATGTGAAGATTTACTTTTTTTTTTTTTTTTTTTTTTTTTTTTTTTTTTTATTTGCAAATTAAACATATATACAATATATTAAAATACATGACAATATATCAAAACACATACATAGTCTATTCAAATTTGTTTTAAAAAGATCTCTAAGCTATTTTTTAGAACAACATTTTTTTCACTCTTCATCATATCTAAATTGTTAATGTATAATTTCAGTCGGTTGATTACAGTGTTTTCAAAATTTATACTTTTGTATCTGTCCATATTATTTGAGTTCTTAACCCAATTTGAATAAATTGTATATCCCACTATTGTGAGAATTACATTTCTTGACTGAGAGACATTACCTTCCAACATATAGAACCCTAAAATAAAATGTTTCCATTTGATATCACATCTTAAGATATTTCTAATTTTTTCCCAAATATTTTGTACAATCTTACAGTCCAGTAATAAATGTTTTGGAGTTTGTATCACTCTACATTCACTACAATACTGGTTAATTTCTTTATTCCATTTGTATATAGTATTCCCACATGCTAAAATATTATGGAAAAGCTTAAAATTGAATTCTGCATGTTTTTTATATATCATATTTTTTATTTTTGAATCATATACTTTCCCATAGAACGTTTTACATCTTGGTGTGCTGAAAATTGTTGCCCAGTGTCTTTCCATAATGCTTCTTTCATGTTTACTTTCTAGTAAAATATTATATAATCGTTTAGCATTGATATGCTGTATATGCATCCATTTACCATCTTTCATAAGGTAATTGTTTTTTGCTTTTATATTTGTATATTTTTCTGTTTTTCTATCCAAATTTTGAGTGAGTTTATTTAAATAACCTTTTATTCTTATATATTCGATCATCCAATTGTGTTTCTTTATCAATTTATTCAGAATATACTGCTCATCAATAAAAACTCCATCTTTAAAAAAATCCTTTATATAGATAAACCCACTTTTTATCCAATTATGGCTGTAAAAAACGTTTCCCTTGTTGCTCACTAATTTTTCATTTAGCCAAAAGATTTCACCAAAAAGATTTTGTTTGTTTAATTTGTCAATTTTACATCTATTGAATGCACTAAAAATATCCTTATAGAATTTAGGCATATTTATCTTTATTTCTTGTGTAAATGTAGTCTTAATGAAATGTAGTCTTTATTCATTTATATAATTTACTGAGTTTGGTGTAATTGTATTCTTTCGCTCATACACTTTTATGCCATGTCAGGCAATGGCATAGCATGCAAGAACTTCTTTTACATGTATAAGATCTTATATGGCGAATCCATTAATTTCATATTTAAAGTTTGTTTATGTCATTGATGGGCTTTAACAAAATTGCATAATTCAAAAATTCAAGACTTAAAGACTTTTTAGTGCAAATTAAAAGTTAACTTATCAGCTCAGGTGTTGTATTCTAGACACAATTTTACGAAAACATCTATAGTTTTAGAATTAGGATACATGTCAACACTTTGGGTGAGTATATTCCATATTGGGGCTAGAATCTGCTGCATCCATTGCATCATGGTCCCAGGGAATCCCTTAACCAAAGTTGTGAGAGCCTTGATGACCTCCATTTTGAGCCCACTATCGCTGGTAGCGCCATCTGGCACTTGCAAGGCTGCTACAAATGCCTGTGTGAACTGGGGTAGAACTGGGAAGAGAAGCTGCTTTGCTATGCCCTGTAAATTGATCAATATACTGTTCATTAGTGTTGTCGCGATGTGCCATAATCGTACATCGATGCATCGGCAATTTTCAGTAGTAAACATCGATGCACATCGCGATTTACATCGAGAAAAAGTCCGAGAAAAGTGCACTGAAATACCGAACGCTAATGCACTAAAATACAGAACGCTGGTTCATCCGGGAACTTCTAGTAACGGTGAAATGAAAGTAAAGTAATCTTTTTAGATTAATGGTTCATTTCGACTAGGTAAAACAGTTTTAAAGCGAAATAATATCAGAAAACATTGGGAAATGAAATAAGACATGAGAAAGTTAAGCGATTTGAGTCAAAATAAGATAAGAAAGGGTGATTTTTAGCAAATGAATTTTTTTAAAAAACATCAATGTTTTGTTTCAGACATCGATGCATCGCAAGAATCAGGTTTGGCGATGTATATCGCGATGTATCGATTAATCGCGACAACACTACTGTTCATCAGTGTGCAAAATATGTTGCAATAAATGTTGCCATATCTTGTCAGGCGCTTTCAAATGGCCTCGTCAATTTTATTTCTGTGTATCTAGAGGGGACCTATTTTGGCAAGTCATGCAAAATTGACTCTCGCCAAAACAATTGCCGAACTTGATCCCTGTTTTTTCCATGCTGTAAGAATGAACTAACAATATGAGGGTGGCATAGACTTTATTACATTGACAGGTCCCTAAAACTCAACATTTAAAAATGTCTGAGTTGGAAAAAGTGGGTCAATATACTGAACATGTAATTTTAGATTCAGAACATTTGTGATGGATATAACTCACTTGGTCAATATTCCAAACTGCCTTATTATAATCGCAAAAATAGAAAACTAGATACATATAATAAGAGTCTTCATTTTACTTTACTTTCAAAGTTTTTTTTTCACATAATTCATATCACAACAATTCTGAACTTGGATCTATATGGACTCTAAAGCTAATGTGAATGAAATACATGATAATAATACCTTATGTACATCTGCCATGGCGGAGACCATATTTGCCATTGTGTTGAAGATATCTACTGCTCTACCTCTCGTTCTAATACTGAAAATCTAAAAATCAAAACGCAAATTACAATTTATTGTTCATATAAGTGATATCTTATTTGCTCTTTTTTGATCACCGTGTCTTTAATTTGTCAAGCATTTATTTTGGCGAATTAAAAAGTAGCGCCAAATTAAAGATGAATACAGTATTTTATCTATTTTACAACACATATATTATAGTAAACTATGTATAGGTACATTATGAAGTAAACAATAACACATTTCTGAATCATAAATTGTAAACTTATTTCACACTTTGATAACACAAGTACATTTGCCTTCATACTTATGGTTATTTATGATTGGAGACATGGAAAGATGCTTGACAGAATTATTTTAGCAAACATACCTCAAACTGTGTGAATATCTTGTACATCTCTGGCAGAATGACAGGTGCAACCTGTGAAATCTGGGTGTCAGTCACCTCGCGACAAAACTCTGTGAGCACTCTCATAGCTCCATGTACTGCATTGTGGTCGCCACTGGTTAGCAGAGCCATGAGAATATCAAACAGTTCAGGCCAAGCTTCGGGCCAGTCCCAGTGAGCTATTGCTGATATAGCATACGCAACACTGGTTCTCACCTTACTGATGCTTTCCTTCAGTCCAACTGGTAGGATGTTGCGGATTGCAGACTTTGCCTGCAAAGAAGTCCACTTTCCTTTACTCTCCTCTGCATGCATACATCATATACTGTTACAGTAAACACAAACAGAGTGACCCAAAAACGCAAACTTCTAATGATGGAATAATGAGTAAAGTTCTAGTTTTTTTTATAAATTCTGTCTCAAAGACATTTCAAAAAATTAATGAAAAAAATTTCTCCTGATTTTCAAAAATTTCAACTTATTACATGTTTTTGGAAATCTTTACTTGGTATTAGGTAATTTGCATTCACAACTGTTTTTTTCAGCTTAGTACTTCACTTCAGCTAATTCAAAGCAATTCAATACCGGCAAGATAGGGTTTTCGGAAAAGACCGACCCCACCGCCACCGACCGGTCGGTGTTTTCCACTGGTAGCCTCAAAACAGGGTTTGAAGAAAATGTGTAAAAGACCGACCATATCATGTAAAAGACCGAACATATTTGTAGCCTTAGAATATTAATAATTTGATTTTGAATGTCAATCGTTGGACTAGGCAAGCAAACAAATTGGTCATGACCGTCTCCTCTCGATTAATTGCCCTGCCTTAGGTCCTAACCTATCATTAACCAACCTATCGTTTCTATACCCTGCGCGCAGAGTCTAGTTAAACTACACTCTGCCTAGTAGAGACCATGTTACAGTTTAGTAGCCCCGCCCCCACGACGGGTACCGGTGACAGTTTGGGTAATAAATCACTTCTGACCTACGCGCTGACCTTTCTTCCACCAATTAGCGAGCTTGAAGAAACATACGCCAAATGCGTGCTAATTAAATATGCGCATGTCATTGGTCAATCCCGGGCTCAACGATCATGTCAGAAGGAATGATATATAGAACGTCGGTCAAATTTGGCCGACGAACACTGATTGGCGCGGTGAGTTCACATGTTTATTTTAGTTTGAAAGAGTGAAGACGAAGCTCTCTTTTAAGAAGTGAAGTCAAACGAATGCAAAGGGTATCGTTTCTACGGGAATCAGTATCCTAATTTTTTACTGAAATTTAACAATTTCGAAACAAAAATGATTTGTTATCGTCATAGCCTACTGAATACTGAACACGATATAATGTTACATGCGTTCTCTTATCGGGATTAAAAGTGACTTACCATTTCAGTACACCATTAGAAAGCTTTTTTTTGTCATATCAAAATGTAGTTTTTACCAGTTGACGTTTAACAACTGAGAAATCAAACATAACGTTACGACGTCAACATCGACGATGTTTGTGTGTTTTTGTTATTGCGTTTCATATGAATGAAGAATGAACTTAATGCAATGTTACGTGCGTTTTTTTCCAAAGTGACTAACCAGGATGAAATTGGTCTTCTAACAACTGAAACATCACTTAAAAATATGACATTACAAAATATGAAATGATAATTATACGTTTTTAAATCACGACCTAGTAAAGGTACTATAGTCATTGGATTCCCAGTTTTAGTTTTACTTCTAATTTTGCATTTTTTCATCTTTATGTAAAAGACCGTCAGCCGACCACTGACCACATGTACCCAACTGTGGAGAGTGACTGGTCGGTGGTCGGCGGTCGGTGTTTTACGAAAACCCGGCAAGATACAGAAGATATCATTTACAAGGCATATCTTTTACAAGAGATGATAAGGCTAGGTACGGATGGGTGACTTGGAGACAAAGAGAATGTTTTCCAAAGAGTTTGAATGTCTACAGTACATGAACATCTCTTTCCTTTTGAGAAACTACTCCTCTTAGTTTTTCTGCAAGTTGAAGTGACGAATTCTGCATGTTGTAAAATTAGTTAATTCTGTCACAGAAAAGGCCAATTCTATGTGAATTTTCCAAGTGAGTTTTCAAAGTGAAAACTGAGACAGATTTTTTGAACAATGAAAGCAAAATATTGAGATAGATTTCCATGCAAAATTCTTAGGGAATTGATCAAAATTCAAGATTCTGCGATTCCACACCTGAAAGCTGTCCGCAAATATAGAATCCAGTGAGAAGTGGAGAATGAATCCTCCATAATAACACATCTATAGTACATGTACCTTTAGCAATATCATCTATGTAACACTATGACTTACAGCAGGGCTAGCCTCCGGGGCCTGGAACTTGTCATTCTGTTGCGACCAATGAGCTTCTACATACTGCTTAAGTAGGACAGAGGAGAGCTGCCTCACTGCCATAGCACCATTAGGGTCAACAGTGAATTCTGCCAGGTGCACGCCATATTCTTCAATTAAACAAAAATGAACTGTTGTGTTTCTTTCAAAAGTTACGAAAATATAAAATATTGTTGATTACGATCTATACATGTAGCTTTTACACTAATATGAAAAACATGATTTATAGCCCATTTCACTGTTTTATTTCGTCAGTAGAACCCCAAAAATAAGAAATCAGGAGACCATTTAAGATATAGACCGAAGAGCAGGGGTAATATAGTTGAATACACCCCGCAGGGCTAGGCACAAATGTGTTCTGTATCCTGAACGACCGAAGGGAGTGAGGGGTTTGAAAGCTTTTGTGCCTAGCCCTAAGGGATGTATTCAACAATATTACCCCTGCTCTGAGGTCTATATTACGATTCAAACATGAAAACTCACCACAATGTTTCTAATACTCATTATGGTCGGCCATTACTACAGCCCGCAGTTATGACGTCACACATTATACGTATTACCAGGGGTATTCTTCCAGAATATACCCCGGGTGAAATGTCGACTTTGTTTACACTTTATAGAAGGCGTGAATACAGTCATGTGCAATAATATATGAAAAAGTATATTCAATTGTACATGAATGACATTTGTATATTTCCGATTATTTAGTTTTTTTTGTGCAATAAGACTATGCCCTAATGTAAGATAATCTATCGGGCTAATCAAAAATCTAGCCACTTTCCTAAGTTCAAAAATATATGAGTAGCATTGGACAACCATTTTTTTAAATTAACCCAACCCTATTAAACTATATATTTTCTGAAAGCTTGGAGTTTCAATAAAAAGAAAATCTATAACCTAAATTTTTAGAAAATGCATACTGGCCGTGGCACCCATTTAAAGTAGGTCACCCTCAGGGGGTCCAAAAATCGTTTTTGCTAAAAACTGACCCCAACTTTGAAATTTAATTAAAAATTAACAATAAGGTTTATCTTATCATACCTTATATTTTCTTGTAACTCTAACTTTTATTTAACCAAACAAAAAAAATGAAGGTCTAATATAAGTTCATATTTTCGTAAATTAGAGTCACAGAGTATCACCCATGGGCGTTTTTTGTATTTTTTTAAAAATAAACATTTTAAATGTACAATTTCCTATGTCTCTTTCATTTGGATCAATGAAGAACATAGTACAAATATTTTTTTATTACTTGAGTAATATTCTTTCCATGTATACAAATAGTGTATCTATAAGCTGACACCTAGTACATGTATATCACTAAATTGTTTACCATAATATATAATATACATATGTTCATATGTACATGTATTATAGTTTTCAAAAGTCTTGAGAGAGACCAAAATAAAACTTTCCAAGTCGTTAAAACAAGCATGCTGCATTTAGAAATCAATGGTATAGGACATCAACTAACCAATAGTATGGGGCATCAAGTGATTAATGGTATGGGACATCAAGTGATCAACAGTATGGAACATCAAGTGATCAACAGTACTGGATATCAAGTAATCAACAGTCTTGGACAATCAATAATCAATAGTAATTAATAAGTATTAGGGAATAAAATAATTAACAGTGTGGGAAATCAAGTGATCAATGGTATGGGGTAGTAAGTGTTAAATAGTATGGGACATCAAATGATCAATAGTATGGGACATCAAGTGATCAACAGTATGGGACGTCAAGTGATCAATAGTATATCAAAGGAATCAACAGTGTGGGACATCAAGTGATCAATAGTGTGGACATCAAGTGGTCAATAGTATGGTATACATGTATCAAATGATCAATAGTATGGGACATCAAGTGATCATTAGTATGGGTCATCAATGATAAACTTTTACAGTATGGGGCATCAAGGGAGGTGAGACTGCAAGTAGTCAAAGTGATTATCCGATGATAATAGATTGGGGCACCTGTAATTACTGAATTATGCATTGGTAATTGTCAAATAATCATACCAACCACATCGATCCACGTGCTTGATCGCGAGAACAACAACAAACTAATCACGTGACAATAACAATCTTTTAATCTGTGTCTAATAAGTCCAAATTCAACGGACATCGTATGAAGAAGTTTTCAATAGCATATTTGATTTCATAAATATACATTTATTTGAAGTAACAACCATAATTGAACACAGATTAACCAAAATTAACGATTTTATTTTTGCGCAAGACACGCGACCCCGGAAGATAAATATGGCCGCCATCTTGCATGAGAATCGGAAGATAACACCAGCCACTTTAAAAGTTGAATTTCTACATTTGCGCATATATATATCAGTGTAAGTTTTAATTTTTTACGATCTCAAGACTTTAAACTTTACAAATAACTGCTTAATCAAAGCGACCAAAAATTATTGAGGGTATAATTAAATGATTTAAACTTTACCTCGTGAAGTTCGTCCTCGCCAAAAACGATATTCTTCTATTCTTAAGAATGCGCGAAGACTTCATTCAATTATTAAACAGATTTTATAAAGAAATAACAGCAATTCGACTTTTAACATAGTTAAAATGAGCGACCAAAATTGCATATAAAAGCGGGGTCAATTTTTTAGTGAATAAAATTTCCCGCGAAAACGCGCCATCTATTCGTTGTCCATTGCTAATAATATGAGTGAATGTGATCACCGTGAAAAGTTCATAAAAAGTTTCATGAGAAAGTTTGACACGCATATTACCTTCTGTCACCTCGAGTGCTTTGATTTGATGTTCACCATTCTGTCTGACGTCCTGTTGAGGACTTAAAATTGCACTAAGAGACTCAAACAGCGCTTCTTTGAGAGACAAATTTAAATCCCCGTCTCCCGCCATCTTCAATTTCAAAATGGCGCAATATGCAAGTGCCATCTATATTAGATCAGTATCACGACGACCTATCACATTTATTTTGATTCTCTTCACAAAGCCCCAGTCCACACTGGACATTCATGGCTGTGTACAATTCAAACCTGTTATGGAATTGACAAGAAAGTATACCACTGGCGGATCCAGGAGGGCCACGGGGACACACATTTTTGTATAGCCTCAATTAGTGGGCCTTTTTGGGCATTGGCCTTTTTGGGCCTTATCTTCTAATTTAATGCCATAAGCGCAGACTTCTGAATGGGCTGTACCACCTCCCCCTTGGATGGGCCTCAATAAGTGGGCCTCATTGGCCATTACTTGGCCTATTTGGCCATTACTTGGTCTTTAAGGACCTTACTTTTTAATTTAATGCCAAATTATCAAAGAATCAGCCTTAAATTTTCAAAATTTGGGCCCAAATTTTGGTATTGGGGGCCCAAGAATTTTTTGCAGAGCGCATGATCTAATAAACTAGTGCTATTGTATATAATAATTGTTGAATGCAGATAGATGCTTGCCTTTTGATACATTTATTGACCTCAAAACTGTTTTTAATGTCCCCCATAAAGATTTGAGTCTGAAAGCTGTACCTTGTATGGATAATTTTGAGGTTATGAGACTTAAATGTTGGTTGAGAGTAGACTGGTTGGCTCTGTGGCCTAACAGATAAAACATTTAACTTCTAATACCAAGGACTTGGGTTCAAATCCAGACTCTGGTATAGATATCTGACTAAGTATGAGGTAATTACTATGGTACATGTACCACTGACTTGATAAAAAGGCTTTTGCCAGGATGAAAATACCAGGTCCTTTTGTCAGATGAATACAGTAAACTGATTCTACCTAATGATATATAGCATGTTAAAAGTTAGGATGGGGAAATTCAACCCCTGAAAGATGGGGAAAGTTAACCCCTAAAAGTAAATATAGAACTCTCTGATGATGATGAGTTATCAATTTAAATTTATTCTTCAACAATCAACATGTATTGCAATTAGGATGGAGAAAGGTTTGCTCAATTCAGGAAGGTGGATGGAAAATCTCACCTTGATGTAAAATGTAAAATGTAAACCTTTCAGATTCTCTGTGCCACTATATAAATGTATTTTAGCATGACATATGATTTTTTAGTATTTATCTTGTTAACACTGTTACATGTTTTAAAATTTTATGTTTTAAAATTTTATTTTAAAGATTTCTATGTCTATATGTCGGTCAATAGCGCCTGCGCTAATGTTTATTGTACAAAAATTATCCGACTTGAAATAAATATTGATATGATATATGACCTTGTAGCAACGAAAAAACAATGAACTGTGAATCTGTAAATGGTTGAATGGTTTTGAAAAGTGAATTCAAAATTTAAACTCGCGTCGTGTATGCCAGCTCAAGAATTATCAAATCGAGGCTACTTGTTCGGCCATTGATGTTTATGTCGCCGGTTTTTTACAGTTCCAATACTATCTAGGCTCATCCTGCAAAACTACACAATGCATGCTTTGCATTTTGCTTTGATAGTGCTGTCGACGCTTTTATCTTCATATCATGGAGCTTTACAAGACAAAATAGAAGATGGATTAGTAAATAGCAAGGTTACAAGAACCGTGGATCTCACAAATCATCTTCCAAAAGTTACATCTCAAATCACTTTAGAAAACACAGGGAAAAATAGCGTTAGGTCATTCGTGTTTGCAGTTGATCCATATTTGAAGGACAAATTGTCTTTCATCGGAGCACAGGTTAGTCCTCGAATAAACATGATAAACAAAACTTCTATCAGATTTTTTTTCAAAAATCTTGACACATCATCAACCGGAAGTAGGCTAGATCCACAGTTTCTGATAATGTTAGGCCGGTAATCCATGTGACGATTCAAATGACATTTTAGCCTCCCTTCCCATGTGATCACATCTGTGTAACGACAAGATGACATAGGCCAGAGAAAGAAATGATGACATCTTTTATCTTGGATCAGTTTTGACTTTGTTCAGTCTGCACTGATGTGTTTTTTGTGGCGACTCGATAGCTTTCAGAGTTCAGACACTTAGTTTTGATACATGTTCTACTCAATCACATATGTTTGACAAAACATCGCATGTTTTTATCAATGTGCTGCATAGTGCCTTACGGTAATGCCGGGTTGTCGGCAGCGGCAGTAGATACTCTCAATTGCCGGTAATAAAATCCATTGCCGATAATCGCCATGCTGCTGCAACATGATGATTGGCATTGCGATCCATTGTCAAATTTACGAAACAATGTTCGTTTAAGAATATTTTATCAATCATGTATATTTCAATCTCCACATTAGAAGAGCTAATCTGTCAATCAACTGCAAAGGATTCGTAAAAGGCGGGAGGATAAGCAAAACCCCACCCACTTCTGTCAATCATCTCCCATGCCGCAAGATTAACAAATCACGTGACGTGATATTTCGGTGAAGTGTGACGGAGTGATTTTCATGTTGTATTTTATAATTAATATCTTATACTTTTACTTTGTTTTTACTTTGTAAATTAATTAATGGAAACATGATACAAAAAGCATTTAGATAAACCCGGGTCATGTAGTACACCTGGGATATCTCTGGTCAGTTTCTCACATTAAATATGCAATCATTACAATTGTTCAGAGCATCTTCAGACTTACAAATGTTTCTTTAATTTACATTTAATTTACATTTCTATATCTTGGATTCTAATTAGGATTTGAAGCAGTCTTCCTATTGTTAAACTTTTTACATAACAGATTTGAAGTGATCATGTGATGTCTGGTTTTGAAGAAGATACTATATGCCATGTGAGAGATTTGGGTCACTTTCGGCCTAGACTTCAAAAAGACATAACTAGATTTAGCAGTAGATTAGAAGTGAAAACAAGTGAAATATATAAAAGATAGAAATTAAAACATCACACTATTGTGTACATTTAATATAAAGAAAGCCCCGTCATATTTTGGTGGAGCTGCCTGAGGTTTAACAACAATGGATTTATCAATATTGGACAAATTCCATGGAAAGTCAGAAGAAAACGTTATTATTTGGTTAAACACTATTGACACATTCGCAAATTTAAAGAACTGGAACCAACAAAGAAAATGTAGTTTAATCCCACTTTTAGTCAAAGGAGAAGCAGCAAAATACTTTGAACAATTAGAGGAAAATACAAAGAACGACTGGGAGGAATTGACGGAAGCACTTAAAGAAAGGTTCCCACCCAAACAATCGGAAAGATGGGAGTTGTTGGATAAATTGGATACTCTCAAACAAAATGATATGTCTGTGGATGAATTCCACAGCAAGCTCATGTATTATACCAGCAGACTAAAAAAGGATGCTGAGGATGTTAAAGAACTCTTTGTCCAAGGATTGAATACATCTACAAAGAACTTTGTAAGGCTCAAAGAACCTGAAAATTTAGAACAAGCTGTTAAGTTTGCAAGGATTCACAGCAACATGCCTCAAGATTCAGCACCAGAGATGTTAGCAGCCTCGATTAAAATTCTCACGGATAAAGTCGATAAGCTATCTGTTGCTGCAGTCACAGTCGATGCCATGGGTCAACGCTATGCAAACAATAACCAGTTTCCAGTGCAACAAAGTGCCCAAAGACAGCAGAACCAGTATCAACCGCAGAATCAGTACCAACCGCAAAAGCAGTATCAACCGCAGAATCCGTTTCAACAACAGAACCAATTTCCTGGGAATCAACAGTTTACGCAACAACAGAAACGGTATCCCCAACATGACCAACAATTTATGCAGCAAAATCCACCAAGCAGAAACCAGTGTGAGAGGTGCGGTAAGTCAAACCACCTTTCATTAAATTGTTATGCTAGGTTTAAGCAGTGCTTTCAGTGTGGTCGCGGGGGGCATTATTCGTATATGTGTCGAAACGTTGCTAAATGAGGACTCGCGCCTGTTCCTCATAGGGATGGGCACCTTGAAACTAAAGTTGACAATCAAAAGTTTAAAAAAGTGAAAAGTGATAGTGGCAAGGTGGCCATCCCTGCAGTTCAATCAGTCAAGGTTAATTTGCAAAGATCAGTTTCAAACATAATTATTCATACAAACATAGTTGACAATAATATCAAAGCCTTGGTAGATACTGGTGCAGAACAATCCTGTATGAGATTAGCACTCTATGAAAAATTGAACTTGCACAAGAAATGTCCTATCAGTCCAACTAATATTGAGTTATATGGGGCTGGGGGAGAAACTCACAAGCTAGAAGTACTGGGTGTGGCAAATGTTCCTCTAAAATTTGAAGAATTTGAGTACGTTCAACCAATGCATATCCTCAAAAGTGCAAATCATGATGTAATTTTAGGTGAGGACTTTTTCTCACAAAGTAAAGCACTCATAGACTTCACACAAAAAGTTGTCATTTTACAACAGGGAGATCCTACTAAACATAGTACATATACTACTAATGAACCGAGACTAACAGCATGTGTAAATAATGTAGCTATTGGTAGTGAAGTACAAACATCAGGTATCAATCTAGAGAAATGTAAATTACCAGAGGGGGAAAAGACAAAATTGGTAACTTTCATCGATAAAAATAAAGATGTCTTTTCTCAAAACATGAACGAGTTAGGCTGTGCAAATAGTACATATGAGCATGTTATAAGAACAAAATCAGATAAGCCAGTCCAGCAAAGATTCTATAGGTATTCTCAAGAACAGAAAAATGAAATTGACAAACAATGTGACCAAATGTTAGAATATGGCATAATTGAACATTCTGTGTCAGAATATGCTAGCCCTGTTGTGTTAGTGAAAAAGAAGTCAAATGAGTACAGGTTAGCAATAGACTACAGAAGGCTCAATAAAAACACAGAAGCAATTCATTACCCTCTTCCACAATTAAATGACATTATAGATTGCATAGCGCATTCAAAAGCAACAATATTTTCAGTTTTGGACATGCATAGTGGGTTTTGGCAATTACCTCTTAGTGAAAGCTCAAAGCATAAAACAGCATTTGTAACCCACAAGGGCAAATTTCAGTTCAACAGAATGCCTTTTGGCCTCAAAAATGCACCAATGTCATTTCAGAGGGTCATGAATGATGTTTTGAAAGGTCTTACATGGGACTTTGTGTTGGTTTACTGTGATGACATAATTGTTTTTAGTAAAGACATGAAAGAGCATTTAAACCATTTAGACCAGGTATTCACAAGACTTAGAAAAGCAAATTTGAAGCTTAAACCCTCAAAATGTAAACTAGCACTGGAAAAGGTTGTTTATTTGGGTTTTGTCTTCACCAAAGAAGGTATAACAGTAGACAATGAAAAGATCAAGGCAATTCTATCATACCCACAACCTACAAATGTCACAGAGGTAAGGGCATATTTGGGACTTTGTAACTTTTACCGCAGATTTGTTAAGGGTTTTAGTAACATAGTAGCCCCACTAAACAATCTTATGCGAAAAAATGTCGAGTTTGTTTGGGATGAACAATGTGAAAATGCATTTCAAGAATCAAAAATTATGTTGACTACAGAACCAGTGTTAGTATATCCTGACTTACAAAAGCCATTCATTATATCATGTGACGCTTCAGGTACAGCTATTGGTTACATATTAGGTCAAATAGACGAACAAGGGAGAGAGAGAGCAGTTAGCTATGGAGGTAGGTCACTCTCAACAGGAGAGAGAAAGTGGTCCATTACTGAGAGAGAATGCCTTGCTTTAATTGAAGCAATCAATGAATACCACATATACATAGCAAATGCACATTTTATAGTTTACACTGATCACATCTCATTAAAGTACCTGCAATCAATTAAAGATCATACAGGTAGGCTAGGTAGGTGGTCAATCAAACTTCAAGCATATGATTTCACCATTGAGTTCAGGTGTGGCAAATCAAACTCAAATGCAGATGCATTAAGCCGGAGACCATATGAAGTAAATGAATGTAAACAAATGTGTCAACAAACCACAACAATACAAACAGAGGACTCAGGTATTACACAAGACAACTGCACTGATGAATGGGTAGCTTATAGTATTCCAAGCCCTACTACAATGCAAACAGGTAATATAGGGTCAGAAGGTCAAAATGTTAAGTGTCCAATAAGTGAATCAAAACAACAAACAGGTATGTGTAGTGACCTAAGTGCCCTAAGTTCAATATGTGAAATTACTCAATCATCAAATGAGGTGTTTCAAAATAAACAAAGACAAGATCCCCAACTGCAAATGTACATAAAGTATTTAGAGCAAGATGAGTTACCAGACAAAGAGAACTTAGCAAGAAAGGTAATACTTGAAAGTCAGGATTTTCTTATCAAAGATGGTATTCTATATCATATGTATTATCCAAGGGGAAAAGGTCATAAATCAGACAGAGTTGTAATACAATTAGCAATACCACAACAATTGAGAGAGGATGTTCTACAGTGTTATCATGACTCCTTAATGGGAGGGCATCAAGGTCAAGATAGGACATACAACACAATCAGGTACAAATATTACTGGCCAAAAATGTATTCTGACATAGAGAAATATGTAAAATCATGTGAAATTTGTCAACAATCAAAAAGGTATCATGGCCAGAGAGCACCCTTACAACCATTACAAACAGGAAGTCTATTCAGTCGTGTCCACATGGATATACTAGGACCTATACACAAGGTAAATGGATTTCAGTACATTCTTTTGATTGTAGACTCATTTTCGAAGTGGCCAGAAGCGGTAGCCTTGAAATCTATAGAGGCAATAGAGGTAGCCAGGGTATTGTTTACAGAATTCATATGTAGATATGGTTCCATGAAGACTTTAATTACAGATAGAGGCCAGAATTTCATGTCAAAAGTTATTCAAGAATTGTGTAGAATGTTTGGTATTGAACACAGGGCAACCTCAAGTTATCACCCTGAGACCAATTCAAGCTGCGAAAGGATGAACAGTACAATCAATCAAGCATTTAGGTGTTTTGTTGATAAACAACAATCTAATTGGCCACAACTTCTACCAGGTATTTTAGCCTCTTATAGGTTTTCACCAGCAACTGAGTCAACTGGGTATTCCCCTTACTATTTGTTGTATGGTAAGGAACCCCTTATGCCACTAGATACTATGGTACCAGTAAGTATGGGACAAAGTACAGTCACAGACAGACTACAAGATATACAAACTAACTTAGAGGTAGCAAGGGATATAGCTAAAGAGAATCAAGAAGCTGCAAAGATAAAGACTAAAACCCAACATGATAAAAAGGCGAAACTACCACAGTTCAAGGTAGGTGATAGAGTATGGTTACATGTGCCTAAAACTCCAACAGGTCTAACACCTAAACATTGTAGAAAATATCATGGTCCATATTACATTGTAAGGGCTAATGCTAACATGACATACAAACTAATAAGGTGTAGTGATGATCGTTTATTGAGGTCTTTGGTACATGCAAATAGATTGAAGCCTTATGTAGATCCAGAGACAAGACCAACAAATACACCAAGAGTTCAACAGGGACAGGTATTACAGGATGACAATCATATTGATCAAGGTAGTAGTAGTATTAGTGATAGTAGTAGTGAAAGTGATCAGCAGCCACCTCAGGTACAAGAAGTTGAGCGACTCTTGGCATGTGGTAAACACAATGGAAAAAAGTGTTATAAGGTGAAGTGGCGTAATGAGAAAAAGAGTACATGGGAGTATGAAGAAAATATTCCAAGAAATTTAATAAGGGAATACCATATCACCAAAACAAACACTGGTAAAGTAAGGAAAAGGAAAACTAGATAAGAAAGCAAATCGATACATCATGCATGCATTTAAGTCCCATATTAGTTAGTTGTTTGAGTAAGTACATGTAGGCATTATATGATGTATGATATGGTATTGTAAAGAAACTATAGCAGTTTATTGTTTGATATATTCTATGGTACAAGTATACAGCACAGGTGAGGTATAAGAGATGATGCTATTAAATTAAGGTAAGGGTATCAGGTGTAAATGTAAAGATAAAAGAGTATTAAGTGAGAAATAATAAAGTAAATGCAATGTAATAAAGCAAGTGAAATGATAATAAAGCAAGTGAAAAATAAAGAGAATATCTGGTTCCAATCAAGAGGATTAAAACACAGGTCTATTTAATGTACAAGTAGATCTGCGGATCCCAGGAAGATCAAACCTTAAAGAAAAGGTTAACCTAGGACAGCGTGCGACCTAGTCTGAGTTATTTTATGGCTAAAACCCCACATTACAAATGCAGTAATAAGACGTTGTTATCTGTGTATGTAATTGTGTAGCCAGTGTCTTAACGTCTAATTAAAGGGGCAGGTAGTGGCTCACGAATGCGGCAACCCCACCTTGCTGTCATTTATACAGTAAGGTAAGTCCAAGTTCTGACATAAGCACGTAGTACATATAGTGTGTAGAAGTGTTAGTTAGAATAACATATGTAGTTCAAGTGAAAGTAAAACAAATGTAGTCCAAGTGAAAGTGAAAGAAATGTAGTTCAAGTGAAATCCTAAGGAAAAAGGATAAAATATAGGGAGCCAAAATAAAAGTGTCAATATTGCATGGCCAACCCTGCTAATATTTTTAGATGTCTTAACCTGTAAACTAATAAAGTGTTAGGATTATTTACTAATATTTAGTATAGTGCCTTCTGGTAAATATAGTTACTGGGTGCAAACTACTTCCTGGGAGCTAGACACTAATTGGGACCAGTTAATTTGAGAATGACAACTTATAATAATCTTAATTGTTCAAAATATAAAATTAATTAATCCTAAATTAAATATCTATGTACAACTTAAATTGAATACATGGACTGCTACAGTCAGTTTACATTGTTTAAGAAGTTCAATTGCAAGGGATTATTTGCCTTACTTCTCTTATACTTCATCAATGTGAGTTTCTCATTATTATTTAAATGTGCCAGACAAAGGTCATATACCAAAGCATTATGGTACAGATAAAGTTTGCACAAACAATTATGATGTGCATCATTAACAGTGTTTATAAACAAAACTTAGTAGAAAGGTAGGATTTAGTGCAAGTTACTTTTAACTAGATATGGTTATAATAGGCCATAAAAGATTTTTTTTCTCCTTTACATATGATTGTAATTTTTAACTCAAGAAAATACAGGATTGGATTGTGCCAAGTTGAAGTTTTTACTGGCAACAGAATCATCACGTGAAATTCTGTGCTGGTGCATAATGAGTGATCAATTACCTTTGTTGGTTGTTAATTACAGTTTGGGTATTTTCACAAAGAAATTGTCCTATTTATAATTGTTTTATTGAGTTTAATAATTATTATGGTAGTTTATGATGATTTTAGTTAGATAAACAGTATGTAAATTGTAAAGTAGAGTATACAAATAGGTGTTTAAAAATATATATATATATATGCGACCACTCTGAACACTAAATTGCTTAAAATAAGAATTGCTAGCAGACAATTTGAAAGTTGGTAGACTTATGGCCTCAAAAATTTATGGAGGAGTTATTAATCTTCTAATATGATGAATTTCTTGATTAATGAAAATGATGCTGAATTATATTAACTCTGATAGTGCAACAATTAATATTATAAACAATGTGACTTTACTTCAGGAAGGAAGGACAATATGACACTCCTCATCTCCAGGTGATGACATCAACATTGGACGATGACATCAACGTTGGACGTTGATATAACATTTTACGTATTTTATACTTTGATAGAATTTAACATTACAGGTTATATATTTTTAACTTGGACTAATTAAACGGAGTGATTTTCATTTAGAATGCGGGACGCATTCTTTGGAGGAGAAGCAAATGTGACGGAGTGATTTTCATGTTGTATTTTATAATTAATATCTTATACTTTTACTTTGTTTTTACTTTGTAAATTAATTAATGGAAACATGATACAAAAAGCATTTAGATAAACCCGGGTCATGTAGTACACCTGGGATATCTCTGGTCAGTTTCTCACATTAAATATGCAATCATTACAATTGTTCAGAGCATCTTCAGACTTACAAATGTTTCTTTAATTTACATTTAATTTACATTTCTATATCTTGGATTCTAATTAGGATTTGAAGCAGTCTTCCTATTGTTAAACTTTTTACATAACAGATTTGAAGTGATCATGTGATGTCTGGTTTTGAAGAAGATACTATATGCCATGTGAGAGATTTGGGTCACTTTCGGCCTAGACTTCAAAAAGACATAACTAGATTTAGCAGTAGATTAGAAGTGAAAACAAGTGAAATATATAAAAGATAGAAATTAAAACATCACACTATTGTGTACATTTAATATAAAGAAAGCCCGGTCATAGAAGTAAAAACAAAAACAAATAGTTTGATCAATTTTGATCGAATTCACTCTATATTATCATTCAAAGACTTCCTAACAATACACAATCACACACGAGATACACGATGATACAATATATCCACTGTAGTTGATGTGAGCGGGAAATCAAGCTGAGAAATCGGCTTCGTTAAGGATTTTTCTAAATATTTTAGTTTCACTTTCAGGTTTTTCCCCGGGATTTTAGGAACATTATCAGTATCAACGATTATCGGTAACGGTAAGGTAATGGAGGTGAAATTTACCGGCAGTGAGATCCATTACCGTTGCAAGCACTAGTGCTGCAATCGCACATACGAGAATTCTGTGATTATGTGTTGCACAGAAAACCGCAGTATTTTAAATTTAAATTTTTTGCAGAATTTGATTATTTGCACAGAATTTTGCAGAAAACTATATTTTTCCAGTCAACCTCATCTCATTACCCAAGAGAAAGCCCATGTTCAGATGAAGATGTTGCTTGTAGAATTTAACGCAGAATTTGGGATTTCATGCAGAATTTACTTTTTAATGCAGAATTGCATTTTTCTCATGCTGAAAACTAGTATGTGTGTACAGTAACACCAACTCTGAAGAGTGCTCATGAAGTGCCAAAATATCCATCAATCATACCAATCAAAAGGTCTGATCTGTTTTGTCATATCTAATACTTGTATTTGTTCTCTTCTTCCAGACAAAAGATGGAGATGAAGATTCACCTCTAACAGTTGCAGAAACAACAGTCTCCACTTTAAAGTACATGTGGGTAACAAGCTGAATGCAAATAACACTCAGTCCCCTTGATATCATTCATAAGACCTAACACTTATTCCATTTATATCACTTTGCAAAAATTGCAAAATCCATACATTACTGTGCTAGAATTACTAAGAAGGTCTTAAGGTGCCATGGAAGTTAACAGGAAATGACGAAACAGGAAGTGAATTTTTTTTTGCATTTTTGGACATTTTTTGAACAAAGATAACAGAGTTCTGGTTTGACCTCCAGTCAATTTAACTATTTCCACATATCATTTACATGACCAGGATCACAATGCGCATGGTCAGAATGACCCTAAACATGATGAAATAACCTTTTTAGCCCTTTGAAAGTGTGACTGAAAAAAAGCTTAAAGTAGGAGCGTAGGGAAGGTCATTGAACAGAATCTTTTGAATTTTTCAGAAAATGTACCCAACATAATGCTCTAACTGATACAATCTTTGAAATTTTAGAAAATTGTCATAAAAAGGAAAAAAGATCGCTTTTCAAATCAGTTTTTTCATTTTTTTTCTTTTCCTATGAATGATATCAAATTTTCAAAGATTGTATCATTTAGAGCAATATATTGGGCACATTTTCTGAAAAATTCAAAAGATTCTGTTTAGTGACCTTTCCTACCCTCCTACTTTTAGCTATTTTTCAGTCACATTTTCATAGGGCTGAAAAAGTTATTTCATCATGTTTAGGGTCATTCTGACCATGAACATTGTGATCCTGGACCTGTAAATGGTATTTGGAACTAGTTGAATTGACTGGAGGTCAAAACAGAACTCTGTTATCTTTGTTCAAAAAATGTCTAAAAATGCAAAAAAAATTGTCACTTCCTGTTTTGTCATTTCCTGTTAAGTTCCATAGCACCTTAAACCAGACACATTTAAATTGTAACTGGAGATTTTTGAAATGAGACCACAAGGGTTCATTCTTATTGAGAGTGCCATCCCCTTTATAAGCACCCTATAAACTTATTTACAGCTATTGGATTTAGCTTGAATGGATTTTACCACTTTTGCGAAATGGAATAAACACTACCAATTGTGTATTTCTTGCATGTGTCATAAAGTCCCTCAGAATCTACCAGAGTGCATGATTGCTTATAGCTTGTTACCTCAACTTTTCTTTATTTTTTATATGTACTAAGTATTAAGTATTAGGAAAATTACATTTCAAAGTTTAGAAGCTTAGGCTACTTTCACATGTTTCAATCCACATTGTTGCATAACATTAATATTCAGTGAACGTAATTATTTGAAAAATAATTTATCAATAAAGATAGTCTATAGTATTCATTCTTATTTTCTACAGTAATTATAGGCATACTTGATGTATACCTCAGCTTGTTTATTCACTGTTTAACTCAAGTTCAACTCAAAATATGATTTTTATTAATGTTATTCCAGGGGCAAAATCTTCTACAGAATTGACCTGCCCTCACAGCTAGCAGCTGGCAAATCTATTGATGTTACAGTTGAGACTATCTACAGTCATGGACTGAAGGCCTACCCCTCTCACATCAAACAATCTGAGAAACAATTTGTCCAGTTCTCTAGCAACCTCTACCATTATTCTCCATACAAAACAACCACACAGACCACTATAGTCAACTGTGCATCAAGCAGCATAGAATCATACACAAAGAAGAAGCCTGTCTCTACCAGTGATAGCACAATCACATATGGTCCTTTTGAAACTAGAGAACCATTTCAAGATGTAAGTTCTTATTGTTTAGGACTATATGGTTTATATGTTAGCATTTGTAATTTCTGACACTATTATATCATTTTTGTGAATTTTTTGCATTTTTCAATTCTGTTAACTTGTGATGTACAAGTTAAAATTTGATGTATACTACATGTCCTTAATATGAAAAGATTCTTATTTGTCAAGTTGGAAAGTTGACACTAAATTGGACGTTTAGGCAACAATGCAGTTCTAAAAGCAAAGCCCATCAGAGATGTTTTATTTCAACGTTCTTGTGAATAACTGTATTATTGCTACTTCTAGGATGAGATGGTTGTCCACTTTGAGAACAACCAACCATTCCTGGCAGTGACTGAAATGACACGTCTGATAGAGGTGTCTCATTGGGGCAATGTGGCTGTTGAGGAGACCATAGATATCAGACACACTGGCGCCATCTTGAAGGGATCATTCAGTCGCTATGACTACCAGCGTAGTAATGATGGAGTATCATCTGTGAAATCATTCAAGGTATGGAAGCTTCAGGTTGACATCTTTATCTTAAGGACTCTGATTGAATATTAGATATTTAAATCAATAATTCAACTCCTTCAATACCAATGCATATTTGAAAATCTATGCCACAATAAAACCTGTGCATATTGAACATTGTTTCGCCGAACCAGCTTTTCCTCCCATAATTGGGTGTGTATTCAAAATAGCTACAGTTATTCATTAATTATGGATGCTACTTGTAGCATGCTCAATGTTTGTTAATATATGTGCATGTCACAGCAAAGTTTTTGCTGGTCATTGATAACTAAAATTTGAGACTCTACCAAAGGCAAGTTATTACTGTCATGAAATGTTCAAAATGAAGTGTGGTATTATTTAAAGAAAAATGTTTTATTTATTTTGTGACCTTTGCTTCTCTGGTAAATTGATGTTTTTTCTCCTCGTCTTGTGTTACAGACTGTGCTGCCAGCTAGTGCCAAGGATGTGTACTACAGAGATGAAATTGGCAACATTTCCACCAGTAATCTCAGAGAAGATGATGATGCCGTAGAGATAGACCTCAGACCAAGGTTCCCTCTGTTCGGAGGATGGAAGACCCACTATGTCCTGGGATACAATGTACCAAGCTATGAGTACTTGTTCAACCAAGGTAATGAAAATCAATAATGAGTCAATTCTTCCTTGATTTAGAAAAAAGATTCTTTGAGCATTTCATTTGTAAATACATTGAAGCACGACATATTGTATTTAAGCAATTTACCAAATATGGTTGCCATTTTGAAAAGGTTGACAATTTTTATAACTGCCATTTTTTTGTTATATAATGAAATAATAGAATGTTTGGTTAAATATCATAATCATATTATTCTATATTTTACGTCACATACAGTTTGTTATTATAAGTTAAAGTAAATCCATCTATGTACATGTATCTTGACTGGATTGTCTCTAGTCATTCAAATTAGTGATGAAGTACTGGATTACTTTGTTTGCAGGTGACAGATTTGCCCTTAAGATGCGCTTTGTTGATCATGTGTTTGATGATCAGGTGGTCGACAAACTCACAGTGAAGGTCATCCTCCCTGAGGGGGCAAAGTAAGTTCTCTTATAGAAATATGTTGATCTTGGTGAATTGTTGGTTGAGAGAGAATTGTTGGTTGAGAGAGATTTAACTCTCAGTGTGGTCTTTGTTATATTTCAATTCAAAATGAGTAAGTTATTTTCTCCTACAGAATCCACTCATTCCAGTTCTCAGCTTTACTGCATTAACGAGCCTAACTTTATTCCAGGGGTAAATATCCCATAGCTTAAATACTTTGAGTGTAATTAATTCTTTCAGTTGTTCACATTCCCACCTTTACTGTTTACTGTATTAACATTCTGTCTTGATTTTTCTAGGAACATTAAGGTTGTTGCTCCATTCGCTGTAAAGGAAGAGCCCTCACAGTTGGAGTACACTTACTTGGACACTATTGGACGACCTGTGATTGTACTCACTAAGACCAACCTGGTAGAACAACATGTTAAAGACTTTGAGGTAAGAAATAGGAAATCTGATCTCTTGTGCCATTCGGATATAGAGTTATCCAGTAGACATGTTTTTTTTACAATTTTAAAAGTTGTTTTTATTGATCCATCCTGTATACATACATATTGAGGTAACCATTGGCAAGAGAGATCATGTATGTACATGTACATTTGATAAAACATCAATATAACCCTTCAAATGAAAACCTATTTTTATACCTATGTTTCTACAGGGGGTTAATTATGCCTCAAAATTAACAAAAAGTACATGTGCAAAGATAGCTAGGATAGTAATAAAAATTATATTTTGCATACATTTAAGTGGGAGACCAAAATGCCATATGTTCTGACTCATCTTTTGTACTGTAACATACACTACAATTTACAATATTACGAATTTGTTTTCCAGATTCACTACACATTCCAGAAAATGTTGCTTCTCCAGGAGCCACTGTTGGTTGTAGGAGCATTCTACCTCCTTTTCACCCTTGTCATCATCTATGTCAGACTGGACTTCTCCATCACCAAGGTATGTGTCGTCTGCTAGGCTGTGTTGCATTCTGGGTAACATTTGTGGGAGTTTTCTACCTCCTTTTTGGCTCACACAGTGAGCCTATGGGATCGACCAGGCGTCCGTCCATTGGTCCGTCCGTCAACATTGGCCGCACAAATTAAAACTGCTATTCGGATTGAGTCATAGACACATTCATTTTATGCATATCCATAATGCCTATTTGACCTATCATCGCCATTTCCCAAGTTGGCCCGGTTTCCGAGAAATTGCGGATTTTGACGTCAAAAAGTCAAATTTTCTGTAAATACTAGACACTTTGTTGAAGTAGAACTTTCAAATAACTTTAATAGTTGCTGTATATGCAACTTATGTCCTCTGAAGATTTCAAAGCTCTTGGAATTACAGTTTTTGGTGTTTCCTCTATAAAGTTTGATAAAAAGTAGGACTTAAGTCATTTTCAGGAAACTTTCTCATGTATAAAGTCAATAGCAGGTTTTGTGATTGACAAGTTTGCCTTATACTTGATCATTTCTTGCAATGAATTACATCATTACTAGATTAAAGCATTCCCTACATATTGCTCAATATATATCATCGTCAAATTTTTACCGTTTTTGAGATATTTGACGTCAAAAAACAGTAAAAATAGGTTATTTTTCAACTTGCTTCAATTTGACCAGATTCTTTTTTGAAAATCATCTACAAGTTGCCAGGAGTTCAAATCTGACATTAGTCTTAGGATTTGACCTTTAGTTGACCTTCAGTGACCTTCGAAAGGTCAAAAAAGTTGATTTTTCAAATTGATTTTTGGATGTAAATTTTGGTCAGCTTAATCACAAAAGACCTTACTGAGCTCTGACCAAGTAAAATTTTCAAGGTCAAGGGTCATCAAACTAGGTCACACAACTGTGCTATCTAAGTTTTTTAAAGTTCGAGACTACAAATCCAAATCAATATTTTTGTTTGAAAGTCAGGATATACATTCCTCTGAAGGTTCCAAACTGTGTGAGCACAGGACCGTGGGTCCTTCATTGCTTTGTAAGATTTTGCACATATCATCTAACTGGTTAAGTTGCATTCTGGGTTAAATTTGGAGAAAACTTAATTTGCCCTGGTAGTATTGTACTTTTTCTGGAATCTAAAGGCTTTTGGGCCAGCCAGTGAAATCTGGAGGCCAGACTAGCTTTTGAGGCTATAAATTCTGGGCCCAAACTCAAACTTCAAATTTGATAAGAGAAACAAGGATACAAATGAAATAAATGTACAATAGCAAAATGTACACAACATATATGTTTAGGAGGATGACCGACGCCTGGAGAAGAGTTATCGCCTTATTGTAGATCACATTCGTATTGCCAGTATAATTGAAGCTCTAGAAAAAGAAGTAATATTGAAAGTTTTGAAAGGACATTGTTATAATTATTTGCATTGATCTTGAATTGCTGTTCCTGTTTTATTGTTTCTGTTTGAACTAATTGGTTTAGATTGATTCATTTTCATTTTTTTTATACATGTATGCTGTATGTATTGTTATTTATCCGATGGATACTAAATATATATGGAGATAACAACACAAGATTATTTTTGTATATGCCACTAAAATCGTATCCGATACATTTGACGTCTTAAAATTTTACGTCCATACAAAAGTAGGGATCATACGATAAATATGATATCCTATGATTTTCTCGGGCTATCATGTTTATCCACTCTTGGATATTGCCGATCTCCATTCATTCATTGTGCTCACTCGTGGAGGTGGGCGACATCCACTGATGGATAAAAATGGTATCCCTAAAAAATCATAGGATATCCTCTATATGCTGTATGTATTAAATGTTATATAATCCTTAGAGTCGATAATTTTGCATCTTATCACCAACGAAATATAGGTTTTATAAAATTACAAATAAGTTTCATCAATTGTTTTTTCCTGTAGGATGAAGCCAGCGAGAGCAAGATGCGTGTAGCGGGCCTGATCGAACAAGTCCAAGCATCACACGACAAACGTAGCGCACTCTACCAGACCTACGATGACTCCATTAACAAGTTCAAGTCCAGCAAGGACTCTAGCACGTTTGTGGCCAACCGTAAGAAAATAGATGCTGATTATAAGAAGCTCACCCAGCAGATTGGAGATATGTTGACCAAATTGAAGGCTGAAGGTTCAGATGCTGCTGATAAGGTATGTGAACTTGTAAACTTGACCATCGATAATTTAATGCTAAAGCGTCTGTTGATTGAAATTTTGAAATTCAGAATGAAGACTGTTGTGCATCTTATAAATTAGAAACATGTCCCTATGCTTGTTGAATCACACAGTTTCATTATTAGACAACAATATGCATTTTTAATTAGGCTTCACAAAACGTGAAAAACTGACAAAACTGGATGGTCAATTCAGCGAAAAATCTTTCTAAACAAAGTTCAGCCTGACCTAAAAAGGATATCATAATTATACAGATCCCTGATCCAGGCATAAAACTTATGTCATTTGAGTGGTCAAATTATGAACAGTAATAGGCAGTCTGGTATTTGGCAATGGTTAAATTCTGTGTACTGTCATTCTGATTTAACAATTAAATAAAATAGTTTAGTGCGACTTAAAAAAGCTAACAATAATTAAAACATGAATGTTCTGCTTGTAGGTGGCTGAGCTTCAGAAGTTAGACAATTTGTTCAAGGACCAAGTGAACACAGCCATCACCTATGCTGAGAAACTAATCCAAGGAAAACTAGCCAAGCAGCAATATGTAGATTTTGAGTCTACTACTCAGACCAAGAAAGAGGACATTTATCAAAAAATGGAGGCTGTTATGGCCACACTTTAACTCTTCATTGGACACTAGATATGTTTTATATAATTGCTATGGCAACAAATGTCATGTTTGTCAAGAATCATATTCAGTAAATAAAGAGAAGACAAATATATGTACTTATTTATTTAAGTGTTCTAGTTTTTAACAACATTTTGCCAAGAGAGATGGTTCTTGTTTGCCAATCATCCCGAGTCTTTGATTCAATATTTTGGTTTGTTTTCTTAACGAACATGACATTGATTGCAAGCCACAATTCTCATAGCTTCATTAGATGTACATGTATACTTCAGTACTTTCAGTGTCTAACATTGTTCATGTTGTCATAATATAAATAATTCATTATTGAGACATCTATGATTGAAATTGATGTCAAAATATAACAATATTGTCATTTGAGTTATCACTATGACTTGAAATTTCAGTACTTTATATCTGAAAATCATGAATTCTAAAGTCATAATTTCATTTACATTCATCCAGATCATACTGCCAAAGTCATCTGATATCAGAGTTTTTATCGCAACCTTTTCATATGAAGACGGTGAAAGTTGTTTCCCATTAAATTGTGTTGCATTGTATTGGTCTGAACAAGTGATAATTTACTAAGTAATAAATTGCAAAAGAAATAAACACCTCAGTTTTGTGCTTTGGTTTATTGGTTTAACAAAATGAAGGGATCTGAAAACTGTCATAGAAAATCACAAGACGAAACCACTTTGATATTTGCCATAATGTGACTTTTCATTAGTCCATATGAACTCTAATGAAGGAATAAATTGTGAATCTAGTTTTACATGAATGAATTGTCAAAAAGGCATGGGACTGGGAGGTGGATGAAAATCCCGATGAAAATAATAAGTGAACTGTCTCCAGCAACAGATCTTTTAATGTATTGTACTTTTAGAGATTACTGAATCTGAATCGTGAATGGAAATGAAAGAATGCCCACTTGATCTTTTGACTATTCCAACACTTTCTTTGTCCAAAGGACCAGGTATGGTATGGCAAATGATTTTGAGATCTTCTCTTCCCATGAATATTTTCTCACCATAAATACATTTCTCATCAAAATAATGTGAGGTCCCCAGGATAAAAATTATCAGTCCGAAAAAATCATCTACAACTTCTTCACTTGTAGACTGGAATTGAAGGATATCAAAGGATGACCAAAATTATATATGGCATGAGTTTTCCCTTTGGGTAAATCTTAAATAATTTCTCTTAGAAAATTAGTCCTACATGTTGAAAATGTGTTGAGAATGAGGTCCTAAACCATTTTTGTTATTCTGATAACTTTATTTCAAAGAAAACATATTACTTTACATTAATGGTTAGAATATACTCATGGTCAAAGTTATAACTGTCTTAAACCATTTGCCACACCATACCTGGTCCTTTGACTCGCATATTAGGGAAACCTTGAAGTGTGAACACATTTGGCCAGTACCAATATAAACATATATCAAGTGTTTATTCACAACCATTTTCCTTGATACACTCAGTTTATTGTAAATTGCATTGATTTGTAATTTTGTGGATTGGGCATTTGAAATTTTGTTTGCTATTTAATTTGGCGGATTGACCATCATGATTCGTATTACTCAGTTCACAACTTGAACTGATAACGCAATTTTATATCTCCTGGTATAAAGATTGTTTTATCTAAACCAGGGGACTCTGTAGATTTTTGGAAATAATGCAAAATTGACATTTTATTCATGTTTCAATCTATTTCACCATAGAATTATTGTGCAAGGTAATGTGGAAAAGGCACTGGAAGAAAATCCAATGGAATTTCATTTTCAAAAAATTGGTGGAGACTTAAATTGGCAGTTTTTACCAATCCGCCAAATTATTACGGCTGTCAAATTAAAGCAACTTACAATATTTTGAATATTTTCAAATGTTTATCCATGATTCTTCAAACTCAAATCATGAGCTTTCAAGAAAAAAAGAGATTTTATTGTTTCAATTTACAATGTGCCTTCTTATCTAATACCAAAGGTCCCTTAAAGTCCCCTTTATTACAAAGCAAGTCTATTTATGCTGACTGCAATCTCTTGTAGTCCAATCGTAAGCATGTCTCTTTCTTCTCCAATATCAACATTACCTCGGCAACTGGGGGTCCCTCCTAAAAAGTGTAAAATATACATTTGTGTAAATATTAGCACTGAAAATATATCTCAGTTTTTCAATATTTTTACTTTCTCATTTTGCTAGCTGAATTTTTGAGACTCTAAGATTGCAAACACCATGGTAAGTAAAACCTTTACATGAAACTTGATGCGTGCACAGTGGCTATTATATATCTTCATACATTTATATCTTAAGCAAAGGAAATAATGTAATAACAGAGTCTTACATAATATTCGAAAGGTTGTAAATGTATATATTTTCATGAATTCCCCCTGTATGTAATTAAAAGGTGTAAGATATACCTTGGATCCAGTCAGTGATGTCCGCAAAATCTTCATGAAGTCTTTGAATTTCACATCTTCTTTCAGCATCTTTCCCTGTTGCCGTAACAATGAATTCAAAGTCTCTGCATCAAATTGAGATTCCCTTATTGTTGAAAGAGTATTTTTTAATACTGTCATAACAGTTTTCTCATCACATTCTGTTTCATTGATAATGTCTTTTAAAGTCAAAAGAGGTCTTGCCCATATATAACTATAGCTTTGCCCAATAAGATCATCTAATGTATGGATTCTGTCCTGAAATAAACAAGGTTGAGTCTAAATGTAAAAACTGTCTTGGATGATAATAGACAAGATTGCATAATGGATTCTATTAGTTTATTTCTACAACAGCAGGCTCATTAACTCAAAGTAGGTCACAGTATGGGTTGCCACTCCAGCAGGTAAAATGCAGATGGTTACATGTCAAGGAGATGAATAAGGTACGATTACAAAATAAATGCCTTTACAATCCAGAATGGCCAACAAAGATGAAAGATCTTAATTTTTTAATAAATATTTCAGATTTGTGAAATAGGTGAGATTCGGGATATTTTGATTTTAAGAATTTGCTGCTTTGTTGAGTTGACATTTTCTAGTTACATTACCTTAGCCCATTTTACAATCCTTATGATCTCCTCTGCAGATAATGTTCTTCTGAAATAAAGATTAATTTATTTAAATTAAGAGAAGGCTTTAGAATTTATACACCAAAGGTATTTCTTCAGTCATATAGGTTGATATAAGCAAATCTTTAAAATACAGTAAAACCTGTCTTAATCAGCATGTCTCTCTCGTGAACACCTTTGTTTAGTGAACACCACTTCAAGACACATTTTACATTGACTCCTGTATAAAGTTCCCTCTGTGGTGAACACCTGCCTACAGTGAACACTTTTTGCGGCTCTATAAATATTCACCATATACAGTTCTTAATGAAGATGCTCAGCTATTTTTGAAGAATGTGTGGCTAATATTTAGAAGGAAAATGGAAATGCACAATGGCTCTAACAATACTATCAATTCATTCACAAGCAAGTAACTCCACATTGAGGGAAAGTGGGGTAAATAAGTTCTCTCTTAATCATGGATGACTAAAAATCTAAATGTCATGTGATGAAAATACCAATCCCAGTTTGCATATATACCCTCCTTGGTAATGGTTCCTATGTACATGTACTTACGCTATTTCATTAGGATATTTTGTGGCCAGTTTACTTCGAACAGAGGCAACAAGATTCATCCTCTCTGAGGGTGACTCTAGATGCCTGTGAAGCTCAAATCTGTTGAATATTTGAAGCCTTTCAAAATCCACTTTACATGAATGAGAATTGAGCTTTGTGATGTCAAACTGAAATGCAAGACAATATATCTAATTGGTTTACATGGCTACACTACTTTTCTAGTTAAAGCCAAAATTGTCAAATTACACAAGAAGGCAACAATTGTCATAATGTGTGTATACTAGTAATGCTTCCAAGTGTTCTTGAACAGGGTGAACCAAAACGATAAACAAAACTTGTCATTCGGAAATCAGAATGCTTCTAAACATATATTTGACACAATTACAGAATGGTCTTTAATGGTCTACCCAACTGGTCACAATATTATGACCCTTTTTCAAAACATGCTCCAAATGCCATCATCACCTCTCGAACCCCCAGATTTAGGAGTATCTCAAAGATAAACATTGACCAAGTCTACACTTAGAGTTGAATCAAAAGATTAGGAGGGCAGATGAGAGCCATTACACAATATGTCTGAGACCATGGAGTGAACAGCTTCATCCAATGCATTCGGCCTTCAGAGACTAGGCTGGCATTTGGAGCATGTTTTGTAAAATGGCCACTAAATCTTGACCATTGGAAATAGACAAATGAATCTTCGTTATATGAAAATGCATTGAACAAGGTTTAAATGTATCAAATATGACAACACTAATTCTGAATGACTGAGTTAATTTCCCATTGAACGAAGTTTGGGGGAAATAGAGAACTTCTCCATCCATCCTGTAATTCAACTACCATTGGCCAAATAATATTTATATTTTATATGATCCAAATATCTAACTCAATCATATTCACTTATTTGTACACCTTCCTTATTGGTCTCAATATGCTCCTGATCCTCCAATAATCTACAAAAATAAATAAACTACAAATAAAATGTGTACCTCAATAACATATGACAGTACATGCCCTAATGTTAATACATACCCTCTGTATTAGTTCATCTAACGACCACATGCCCTCATGTTGTTCAGTAAAACCACCTCCCATACTCGTAATGAAGTTTATAAGGGCCATGGGAAAGATGTCCTTTTTCTGTAAAAACAAAGTGTAGTTAAATGGTCAAGCTGTTATCCTTGTGCATACATTGCTCTAATCATCAATAGGAATTAAACCTGGTCCCATTCAAATTCTAGAACAAGGCATTAACACGATAAAATACAATATTATGAGTGCAATCAGTCAGATTTGAACTTCTGAGAACTTGTAGATGATTTTTGGTCAATTTGATGCAAGTTGAAAAAGAGACCTTTTTGACCTTTTTACCTTGAGAAGGTCATTGAAGGTCAAGTCTTAAATTTAAAAATCAGATTTGAATTTGCGAGAATTTGTAGATGATTTAAAAAAATAATTGGTCAATTTTAATTCAGGCAAGTTGAAAATATACTTTTTTGACCTTTTTACCTTGAGAAGGTCATTGAAGGTCAAGTCTTAAATCTAAAAATCAGATTTGAATTTTTGAGAATATGTAGATGATCTTGGACAAAAAATTAAAAATACACTTTTGACCTTTTTTGACCTTGAGAAGGTCATTGAAGGTCAAATCTAAAGACAGAGTTGAATATTGAAGTCAGTCTAAACAAGTTAGTGGAAGTTATAAGAATTTGTTACAGACACCAACCGCTGAAATGCCAACCATTAACCACCAACCACCGTCACAAAAAAGGGAGACCATAACAATATGTCATCACTTTTGGTGCTGAGATAAAAACCATATAAAATTACACTTTATTTACCTCAAAGTTAACACACACTTACCTTATATGACTCCACATCAACATCTGCATTCCGCTTAGATAACTTGCTCCCATCTCTAAAATACAAATGCACAATGAAAGGAAGCATGGAACCCCATTTATGTTCAATGTTTGGGTGTGTGTTCAATGATAAAAGTAAATTACTCACACGTTAATCAAGAGGGGTTGGTGAGTATATTGTGTTGATCAAAGTACTCACAAGTTAAGCAAGACGGGTTGGTGACTATATTGTGTTTATCAAAGTACTCACAAGTTAATCAAGAGGGGTTGGTGAGTATATTGTGTTTATCAAAGTACTCACAAGTTAAGCAAGAGGGGTTGGTGACTATATTGTGTTTATCAAAGTACTCACAAGTTAAGCAAGACGGGTTGGTGACTATATTGTGTTTATCAAAGTACTCACAAGTTAATCAAGAGGGGTTGGTGACTATATTGTGTTTATCAAAGTACTCACAAGTTAAGCAAGAGGGGTTGGTGACTATATTGTGTTTATCAAAGTTCTCACAAGTTAAGCAAGAGGGGTTGGTGACTATATTGTGTCTATCAAAGTACTCACAAGTTAAGCAAGAGGGTTTGGTGACTATATTGTGTCTATCAAAGTACTCACAATTTAAGCAGGAGGGGTTGGTGACTATATTGTGTTTATCAAAGTACTCACAAGTTAAGCAGGAGGGGTTGGTAACTATATTGTGTTGATCAAAGTACTCACAAGTTAAGCAAGAGGGGTTGGTGACTATATTGTGTTGATCAAAGTACTCACAAGTTAAGCAAGAGGGGTTGGTGACTATATTGTTTATCAAAGTACTCACAAGTTAAGCAAGACGGGTTGGTGACTATATTGTGTTGATCAAAGTACTCACAAGTTAAGCAAGAGGGGTTGGTGACTATATTGTGTTGATCAAAGTACTCACAAGTTAAGCAAGAGGGGTTGGTGACTATATTGTGTTTATCAAAGTACTCACAAGTTAAGGAAGAGGGGTTGGTGACTATATTGTGTTGATCAAAGTACTCACAATTTAAGCAAGAGGGGTTGGTGAGTATATTGTGTTTATCAAAGTACTCACAAGTTAAGCAAGAGGGGTTGGTGACTATATTGTGTTTATCAAAGTACTCACAAGTTAAGCAAGAGGGGTTGGTGACTATATTGTGTTTATCAAAGTACTCACAAGTTAAGCAAGAGGGGTTGGTGACTATATTGTGTTTATCAAAGTTCTCACAAGTTAAGCAAGAGGGGTTGGTGACTATATTGTGTCTATCAAAGTACTCACAAGTTAAGCAAGAGGGTTTGGTGACTATATTGTGTCTATCAAAGTACTCACAAGTTAAGCAAGACGGGCGGGTGACTATATTGTGTTTATCAAAGTACTCACAAGTTAATCAAGAGGGGTTGGTGACTATATTGTGTTTATCAAAGTACTCACAAGTTAAGCAAGAGGGGTTGGTGACTATATTGTGTTTATCAAAGTTCTCACAAGTTAAGCAAGAGGGGTTGGTGACTATATTGTGTCTATCAAAGTACTCACAAGTTAATCAAGAGGGGTTGGTGACTATATTGTGTTTATCAAAGTACTCACAAGTTAAGCAAGACGGGCGGGTGACTATATTGTGTTTATCAAAGTACTCACAAGTTAATCAAGAGGGGTTGGTGACTATATTGTGTTTATCAAAGTACTCACAAGTTAATCAAGAGGGGTTGGTGACTATATTGTGTTTATCAAAGTTCTCACAAGTTAAGCAAGAGGGGTTGGTGACTATATTGTGTCTATCAAAGTACTCACAAGTTAAGCAAGAGGGTTTGGTGACTATATTGTGTCTATCAAAGTACTCACAATTTAAGCAAGAGGGGTTGGTGACTATATTGTGTTTATCAAAGTTCTCACAAGTTAAGCAAGAGGGGTTGGTGACTATATTGTGTTCATCAAAGTACTCACAAGTTAAGCAGGAGGGGTTGGTGACTATATTGTGTTTATCAAAGTTCTCACAAGTTAAGCAAGAGGGGTTGGTGACTATATTGTGTCTATCAAAGTACTCACAAGTTAAGCAAGAGGGTTTGGTGACTATATTGTGTCTATCAAAGTACTCACAATTTAAGCAAGAGGGGTTGGTGACTATATTGTGTTTATCAAAGTACTCACAAGTTAAGCAAGAGGGGTTGGTGAGTATATTGTGTTTATCAAAGTACTCACAAGTTAAGCAAGAGGGGTTGGTGACTATATTGTGTTTATCAAAGTACTCACAAGTTAAGCAAGAGTGGTTGGTGAGTATATTGTGTTTATCAAAGTACTCACAAGTTAATCAAGAGGGGTTGGTGACTATATTGTGTCTATCAAAGTACTCACAATTTAAGCAAGAGGGGTTGGTGACTATATTGTGTTTATCAAAGTTCTCACAAGTTAATCAAGAGGGGTTGGTGACTATATTGTGTCTATCAAAGTACTCACAATTTAAGCAAGAGGGGTTGGTGACTATATTGTGTTTATCAAAGTACTCACAAGTTAAGCAAGACGGGCCGGTGACTATATTGTGTTTATCAAAGTACTCACAAGTTAATCAAGAGGGGTTGGTGACTATATTGTGTCTATCAAAGTACTCACAATTTAAGCAAGAGGGGTTGGTGACTATATTGTGTTTATCAAAGTACTCACAAGTTAAGCAAGACGGGCGGGTGACTATATTGTGTTTATCAAAGTACTCACAAGTTAATCAAGAGGGGTTGGTGACTATATTGTGTTTATCAAAGTACTCACAAGTTAAGCAAGAGGGGTTGGTGACTATATTGTGTTTATCAAAGTTCTCACAAGTTAAGCAAGAGGGGTTGGTGACTATATTGTGTCTATCAAAGTACTCACAAGTTAAGCAAGAGGGTTTGGTGACTATATTGTGTCTATCAAAGTACTCACAATTTAAGCAAGAGGGGTTGGTGACTATATTGTGTTTATCAAAGTTCTCACAAGTTAAGCAAGAGGGGTTGGTGACTATATTGTGTTTATCAAAGTTCTCACAAGTTAAGCAAGAGGGGTTGGTGACTATATTGTGTTTATCAAAGTACTCACAAGTTAAGCAAGAGGGGTTGGTGACTTTATTGTGTCTATCAAAGTACTCACAAGTTAAGCAAGAGGGTTTGGTGACTATATTGTGTCTATCAAAGTACTCACAATTTAAGCAAGAGGGGTTGGTGACTATATTGTGTCTATCAAAGTACTCACAAGTTAAGCAAGAGGGGTTGGTGACTATATTGTGTTTATCAAAGTACTCACAAGTTAAGCAAGAGGGGTTGGTGACTATATTGTGTTTATCAAAGTACTCACAATTTAAGCAAGAGGGGTTGGTGACTATATTGTGTCTATCAAAGTACTCACAAGTTAAGCAAGAGGGGTTGGTGACTATATTGTGTCTATCAAAGTACTCACAATTTAAGCAAGAGGGGTTGGTGACTATATTGTGTTTATCAAAGTACTCACAAGTTAAGCAAGAGGGGTTGGTGACTATATTGTGTTTATCAAAGTACTCACAAGTTAAGCAAGACGGGTTGGTGACTATATTGTGTTTATCAAAGTACTCACAAGTTAAGCAAGACGGGTTGGTGACTATATTGTGTTTATCAAAGTACTCACAAGTTAAGCAAGAGGGGTTGGTGACTATATTGTGTTTATCAAAGTACTCACAAGTTAAGCAAGAGGGGTTGGTGACTATATTGTGTTTATCAAAGTACTCACAAGTTAAGCAGGAGGGGTTGGTGACTATATTGTGTTTATCAAAGTACTCACAAGTTAAGCAAGAGGGGTTGGTGACTATATTGTGTCTATCAAAGTACTCACAAGTTAAGCAAGAGGGGTTGGTGACTATATTGTGTTTATCAAAGTACTCACAAGTTAAGCAGGAGGGGTTGGTGACTATATTGTGTTTATCAAAGTACTCACAAGTTAAGCAAGAGGGGTTGGTGACTATATTGTGTTTATCAAAGTACTCACAAGTTAAGCAAGAGTGGTTGGTGACTATATTGTGTTTATCAAAGTACTCACAAGTTAAGCAGGAGGGGTTGGTGAGTATATTGTGTTTATCAAAGTACTCACAAGTTAAGCAGGAGGGGTTGGTGACTATATTGTGTTTATCAAAGTACTCACAAGTTAAGCAAGAGGGGTTGGTGAGTATATTGTGTTTATCAAAGTTCTCACAAGTTAAGCAGGAGGGGTTGGTGACTATATTGTGTTTATCAAAGTACTCACAAGTTAATCAAGAATGGTTGGTGACTATATTGTGTTTATCAAAGTACTCACAAGTTAAGCAAGAGGGGTTGGTGACTATATTGTGTTTATCAAAGTACTCACAAGTTAAGCAAGAGGGGTTGGTGACTATATTGTGTTTATCAAAGTACTCACAAGTTAAGCAGGAGGGGTTGGTGACTATATTGTGTTTATCAAAGTACTCACAAGTTAAGCAAGAGGGGTTGGTGACTATATTGTGTCTATCAAAGTACTCACAAGTTAAGCAAGAGGGGTTGGTGACTATATTGTGTTTATCAAAGTACTCACAAGTTAAGCAGGAGGGGTTGGTGACTATATTGTGTTTATCAAAGTACTCACAAGTTAAGCAAGAGGGGTTGGTGACTATATTGTGTTTATCAAAGTACTCACAAGTTAAGCAAGAGTGGTTGGTGACTATATTGTGTTTATCAAAGTACTCACAAGTTAAGCAGGAGGGGTTGGTGAGTATATTGTGTTTATCAAAGTACTCACAAGTTAAGCAGGAGGGGTTGGTGACTATATTGTGTTTATCAAAGTACTCACAAGTTAAGCAAGAGGGGTTGGTGAGTATATTGTGTTTATCAAAGTTCTCACAAGTTAAGCAGGAGGGGTTGGTGACTATATTGTGTTTATCAAAGTACTCACAAGTTAATCAAGAATGGTTGGTGACTATATTGTGTTTATCAAAGTACTCACAAGTTAATCAAGAGGGGTTGGTGACTATATTGTGTTTATCAAAGTACTCACAAGTTAATCAAGAGGGGTTGGTGACTATATTGTGTTTATCAAAGTACTCACAAGTTAAGCAAAAGGGGTTGGTGACTATATTGTGTTTATCAAAGTACTCACAAGTTAAGCAAGAGGGGTTGGTGACTATATTGTGTCTATCAAAGTACTCACAATTTAAGCAAGAGGGGTTGATGACTATATTGTGTTTATCAAAGTACTCACAAGTTAAGCAAGAGGGGTTGGTGACTATATTGTGTCTATCAAAGTACTCACAAGTTAAGCAAGAGGGGTTGGTGACTATATTGTGTTTATCAAAGTACTCACAAGTTAAGCAAGAGGGGTTGGTGAGTATATTGTGTTTATCAAAGTACTCACAAGTTAAGCAGGAGGGGTTGGTGACTATATTGTGTTTATCAAAGTACTCACAAGTTAAGCAAGAGGGGTTGGTGACTATATTGTGTTCATCAAAGTACTCACAAGTTAAGCAAGAGTGGTTGGTGACTATATTGAGTTTATCAAAGTACTCACAAGTTAAGCAGGAGGGGTTGGTGAGTATATTGTGTTTATCAAAGTACTCACAAGTTAAGCAGGAGGGGTTGGTGACTATATTGTGTTTATCAAAGTACTCACAAGTTAAGCAAGAGGGGTTGGTGAGTATATTGTGTTTATCAAAGTACTCACAAGTTAAGCAGGAGGGGTTGGTGACTATATTGTGTTTATCAAAGTACTCACAAGTTAATCAAGAATGGTTGGTGACTATATTGTGTTTATCAAAGTACTCACAAGTTAATCAAGAGGGGTTGGTGACTATATTGTGTTTATCAAAGTACTCACAAGTTAATCAAGAGGGGTTGGTGACTATATTGTGTTTATCAAAGTACTCACAAGTTAAGCAAAAGGGGTTGGTGACTATATTGTGTTTATCAAAGTACTCACAAGTTAAGCAAAAGGGGTTGGTGACTATATTGTGTTTATCAAAGTACTCACAAGTTAAGCAAGAGGGGTTGGTGACTATATTGTGTTTATCAAAGTACTCACAAGTTAAGCAGGAGGGGTTGGTGACTATATTGTGTTTATCAAAGTACTCACAAGTTAAGCAGGAGGGGTTGGTGACTATATTGTGTTTATCAAAGTACTCACAAGTTAAGCAGGAGGGGTTGGTGACTATATTGTGTTTATCAAAGTACTCTCAAGTTAAGCAAGAGGGGTTGGTGACTATATTGTGTTTATCAAAGTACTCACAAGTTAAGCAAGAGTGGTTGGTGAGTATATTGTGTTTATCAAAGTACTCACAAGTTAAGCAAGAGTGGTTGGTGAGTATATTGTGTTTATCAAAGTACTCACAAGTTAAGCAAGAGGGGTTGGTGAGTATATTGTGTTTATCAAAGTACTCACAAGTTAAGCAAGAGGGGTTGGTGACTATATTGTGTTTATCAAAGTACTCACATTTAAGCAAGAGGGGTTGGTGACTATATTGTGTTTATCAAAGTACTCACAAGTTAAACAAGAGGGGTTGGTGACTATATTGTGTTTATCAAAGTACTCACGAGTTAAGCAAGAGGGGTTGGTGACTATATTGTGTTTATCAAAGTACTCACGAGTTAAGCAAGAGGGGTTGGTGACTATATTGTGTTTATCAAAGTACTCACAAGTTAAGCAGGTGGGGTTGGTGACTATATTGTGTTTATCAAAGTACTCTCAAGTTAAGCAGGAGGGGTTGGTGACTATATTGTGTTTATCAAAGTACTCACAAGTAAAGCAGGAGGGGTTGGTGACTATATTGTGTTTATCAAAGTACTCACAAGTTAAGCAGGAGGGGTTGGTGACTATATTGTGTTAATCAAAGTACTCACAAGTTAAGCAGGAGGGGTTGGTAACTATATTGTGTTGATCAAAGTACTCACAAGTTAAGCAAGAGGGGTTGGTGACTATATTGTGTTGATCAAAGTACTCACAAGTTAAGCAAGAGGGGTTGGTGACTTTATTGTGTTTATCAAAGTACTCACAAGTTAAGGAAGAGGGGTTGGTGACTATATTGTGTTGATCAAAGTACTCACAAGTTAAGCAGGAGGGGTTGGTGACTATATTGTGTTGATCAAAGTACTCACAAGTTAAGCAAGAGGGGTTGGTGACTATATTGTGTTGATCAAAGTACTCACAAGTTAAGCAGGAGGGGTTGGTGACTATATTGTGTTTATCAAAGTACTCACAAGTTAAACAAGAGTGGTTGGTGACTATATTGTTTATCAAAGTACTCACAAGTTAAGCAAGACGGGTTGGTGACTATATTGTGTTGATCAAAGTACTCACAAGTTAAGCAAGAGGGGTTGGTGACTATATTGTGTTTATCAAAGTACTACTCACAAGTTAAACAAGAGTGGTTGGTGACTTTATTGTGTCTATCAAAGTACTAACAAGTTAAGCAAGAGGGGTTGGTGACTATATTGTGTTTATCAAAGTACTCACAAGTTAAGCAAGAGGGGTTGGTGACTATATTGTGTTTATCAAAGTACTCACAAGTTAAGCAAGAATGGTTGGTGACTATATTGTTTATCAAAGTACTCACAAGTTAAGCAAGAGGGGTTGGTGACTTTATTGTGTTTATCAAAGTACTACTCACAAGTTAAACAAGAGTGGTTGGTGACTTTATTGTGTTTATCAAAGTACTCACAAGTTAAGCAAGAGGGGTTGGTGAGTATATTGTGTTTATCAAAGTACTCACAAGTTAAGCAAGAGCATTTGGTAACTATATATTGTGTTTATCAAAGTACTCACAAGTTAAGCAAGAGGGGTTGGTGAGTATATTGTGTTTATCAAAGTACTCACAAGTTAAGCAAGAGTGGTGGGTAACTATATATTGTGTTAACATTAAAATACTTACGAGTTCAGCAAGAGAGGTAGGTGAGCATATTCTGGAGGATCCCAACCAAAAGCTTTGTAAAGTTGAAGATGTTTTGGTGTTGAGATGTACCACTCCTTCAAAAGAATTAAAATTCTTATCACAAATATAGCATGCATGTTTCCGGCTCAAAACTGGCTTGTTTATGACTCCTAACATGGTATATTTGGTTATTTCTAAACATGTCACCATGAAAACCCCACGTTTGGACAGTGCTTTACAAATGATGTCACAAGTTATTTCATTTTGCATTGTGTAATTTTTTAGGATGTAAGATGGCTGTATCTTATTGGATAAATACCAGAGGAGGAGATTCAATATGACTATGAATCTCAAAATGTAACATTTTTTCATGAAAACAATGGGGCTAATTTCATTTTGCTGACAGTTAACACTTATCTAGTTACATTGTATATTAAACAGTAGCTTCTAACAAAGATGATAATTTTGAACAATAGCATAAAATCTCATCCATAATGGCTGAATATGAGTAATAGTCATATCATGACAAAATATTCAAGCCTACCTCTCCTCGTAAAACATGTGTGATGCTCATAGCATGGTCATCAATGACGTTAGCCAAATGGTAGGTAGGAAAACCATCACTCTTCATCAGCACCTTAAAAATCAAAAACAAGCCAATTCATCAGGAACTAGTGTCTATAACTAGAAGTGATTTAATTAATACGAGGCAGAAATGCACTGTATTTATGTCATAAATAAACTGTATATAATACATGGCTTGGTGGTCCATATTTGGTATTGTGTTTCAATATCTATGTATTGGTGCACAATTAGGAACACCCTCCATGAAGGTGTCGTTGGTTGGTCTGTTTGTCTGTGTTATATCAAACCAAAGAGGTTAAAGGCATTAACATGCAAAATGTAAATACCTGCCATTTGTTACAGATTCTGACCTATGACCGCCAAATGTCGACCACCAAATGCCAAAAACCAACCACTTGTAGTGGTGACATGAAACACAATTCATCAATTTGAATTTCAATCACAACAGTATCTATCGACCTTTCACATCTAATAAAATACAATCCATCTTATTGATACCCAAGGAATTAATACTATACTATGGCATTATATTTTACAAACCGGGTCTCCTTCATGCTTCCACAGTTCAACAGACCTAGGTCCCAGCACCACATCATGCCACGAGTCAACACACTCCGCCAACTACAAAGTAATGTTCAAGATTTCAATAATGGTCAAACAATCAAAAAGTAGGCTATTTTAAAACCTACAATTTTTTACATAGCATTTATGTTATTTTTGCAAAATATTTTATGAATCTGCAAAGAACATGCAACTAACTTAAATACAGAGAATTCTTTTGATACAAGCAGAAAATATCATATTATATAAAGTATCACCTTAAATCTTATGACATGTGGAGTCTTAGCATCTAATTTTTCTTGGATGGTTGCATCGGAAATATGTCTACATCTGTTGTCATATTTTGGTATTTCTTTACGCCTAGTATGCTCTTTCCTCAGTAATTCAAGGCGCTTTGGTGTGCAGAAACATCTGTATGCTGAACCATTCTGTTAACAATAAACAAGTAAATAAGGTTCATGCTAAATTATACATAGCCATATTACCATTCTGTTAACAAGGCATTTACATGAAAAAATGTCACCACCTAGTTGCTCACAATATTATGATTTCAATCGTAAGTTGGATTTGAACTTCTGAGAACTTGTAGATGGTTTTGAAAAGAAAAATTGGTCAATTTGAGGCAAGTTGAAAAAGGATCTTTTTGATCTTTTCACCTCGAGAAAGTCAAAAATTGGTCAATTAAAAAAAATACCTTTTTGACCTTTTTCGACCTTGGGAAGGTCAAATCTCAAATCTAAAGTCAGATTTGAACTTCTGAGGAAATGCAGATGATTTCGAAAAAATAATTTGGTCAATTTGAAGCAAGATGAAAAAGACCCTTTTGACCTTTTTTTACCTTGGGAAGGTCACTGAAGATCAAATAAAGCTTTTAAATCTTCAACAGTTGAGAATAGACGTGGGACACTTGTGATCTTGGAATAAATGAATTCAAAATTGAGATCTATGTCTATTCATGAAGGAGTGAATGGTATTGCTTCAAATTATAAGATATAAGAGATCCAATAAACATACTTTACCTCCAACAGTGTCTTTATGTTTTCTTGGTATATATCCAGTCTCTCAGATTGCACGTAAGGCCCATAATTACCCCCAATACCAGGACCTATGAAGAGAATGAAATATTATACATGATCTGCTCATGTATAAGAAGACTAGAAATACCCGTGCCACTTCTTTTGGGGAATGGGGAATATTACTGAATACTAGTATTATGAAAGGTGCACAGGTGTTTCCCTTGATAAAACAAAACATTTGTACAATATGTTATATGAATTTAAATAGATATGCATTTTGAAATTATAACTACTTTAACTTACCTTCATCTACTAGAACTTACCTTCATCTGGATGTATGCCTGCCCACTTTAGACTCTCTGTCAGCATTTCTACAGCACCAGGCACAAAGCGACTCTGAAACATGGCAAATATCCAGAGTTTTGTTTCCTAATAATTGCAGTAATTGGTTTTTTATGTGACTTTATTTTATTATATGTGACTTATTTAATCATAAATTAGTAGAGTATTTTCGTTGGATGAAAAATGACCTAGGGGGCATATTTAACAGGGGTGACGGTTGGATGGTCATACACCTACTGAAGTAAGAGAAATGAGATGAAGGGGGTCAGACCCTAATTCAAGCAAGAGAAATGAGATTAGGTAAATAGTCACAAGTCTTACCCTATCAGTGTCCTCTATTCTCAATATGAATTCTCCTCCCTTCTTTCTGGCTAGTAGGAAATTATATACTGCAGTCCTTAGCCCACCAATATGAAGCATCCCTGGAACATTGATATATACAACTACAGTGGAACCCGGATATCCGAACACGTGGCAAATACGAACACCTTCCAATCCGAACAATTTTTACCAGTAGAATTTTTTCCTCCCATTGACTCCCATGTTAAAAAAACAAACTGAGATTTGAACACCTCCTTATTCGAACAGTGAACACTCATATTTGAAAAATTAACACGTCTAATTGGAACACCTTTCATAAAATATCACATCCATATTTCTCTCAAAATTCCAAAATCCAGAATTTTGCAGATGTAAAAACCTGGAAATCTCCAAACACCTCCAAATCTGAATGCTTTTAGCTGGTCCCAATGGCGTTCAGGTTGGAAAGGTTTCATACTGTACAGGGTGTTGTGTAGTACAGGGTGGTCCAAAAATGTAAGTATTTGAAAGGCCTCCTCTATTGATAAAAACTGCATATTGATGAAAAAGGTTGGCATCATACATTAGAGCGTGGTAACTACCAACCATCTCTTAGAATAAATTTTGCGTGTGCCATAAATGTTCGTTTGTTATATAAGAATTCAATTTTCCCCCTTTTGGTATGACATTGTACAATTAAATTTTATTTTCAACAGATATTGTATTACACATTCCCTTACTACCAAAGGTGAATGGAAAAATCAGAAAGGGTGATGTTCAGGATTGCGTTGAAATCTCACCTGTTGGACTTGGAGCAAATCGCACTCTGACAGGTCCATTGTCGCTATTTTGCCTGCTGCAACTAGTGTGTATTTTGCTACTGTTGTAGAGGTTGGCTGTGTTATTCCTATTGCCAATTCTGTGTATATTGCCACATGTGAAACATGCTGACCTTTGCCTTTGGTTTTGATGGGTCACTAGAATCCCTCTCGATAACAAATTAGGAAGTGCATATTGATTCACATAGTGTCTGCCAAGTTTATGTGCACTAATAAGTGCATTGCTGCATTTTAAGAGTGTAGTTCCCCTCATGGATGTATTTTGTTAGACATCTGAAAAATAAATTTGGAGAGGTTTAACAAATAATATACTAGGCAATGGGTCATCCAATTCTGTGGCCACGCATGGCCTTGAATGTCTTAAACTGGTGAATAAGATTTTTACAAACTACACTGACCTGCTCAGTTAGTGTACAACTATACCTTAAAAAAGTAATGACAACTTCACTAGTTTTTACATTTTGGCGAATGTAAACAAAGGAGGTTACTTCGCTAAGACTTTGTAACTCTTCAATTCACAGGTTTACAATTGTTTTCTATAAAAAGTACAATCAATTCCCTAGAGACTTGGTTCTGCAGTAATGTAAACAAACCCAATGCCACAGATAAGTTGCACATGGTAGTATTTAGAGGCAGTGGGGTCACTAACAGTTTTGAAAAGATGGTTGGTCAATCGCCATTTCTACCACAGTCAGCTACAAGCCCAAATCATGATCTGAAGTATAGATCATGATTTGGGCTTGCCCTAAATCTTAACTGCAAACTGACTGTAATTTCTACTGAAAAAACTGACAAGATGACGACAAGTCAAGATCGAGGAAAATTAATTTCATGAATTGTAGGCTGGATTGAACAGGATGACTTTCATAACCTCTGATCGTGCTCTTACTGTTTGTCATATATCAAACGAGATGTCAGTCTTGTATATACTACATATATGTTATATGTATAGGTCAAGTACCCCCGTAAGTTTTTCAAATTGACTTGTGTATTGGAATGTGTATTGAATTTTCACTCTATTTATGTATGCCCGCGGTGCTAGTGAAGTGCGTAATGTTTAATGAGGTTTCTCTAATGAGGTATCACTAATTACATGATCATGTGTTTTCAACAAAAAATCTCATTCAAGCACACTAACACTCACATAATTCATTTGAAAGACATCACAGTTTATTGCAATCAAACTCCGGCGAGGTTGACACACATGAGCAGCCGACAAGTTTGCCACAGCCTACTTATTAGGGGTCCCACGATACAGTATCTTCAATTTCGATACGAACGATATTTACCTCACGATACGATACAAACGATACGAGCAATGTAAGTGCGTAACAAATAAATTTATTTAATAAAAACAAATTTGAATTTCTTTCTTTTTCTCCATTTTTTACCGGAAACCGGAAATACATTCTACGCCGGATTACAATGGGACAATGGGTAGATACAATCGTATTTAAGCTGCTTTGGAGCATGATTTTGCTGTTTTTGGGAGTTAAAAACGATACAATTTTTTAACCGATATTCAAGGTGAGTATCCTCGTATCGTGGCGTATTGCTCGAGCGCTCGAGCAAATCCGAGCAATTGCGGGACCCCTACTAGTCTAGTCTACTTATGCACTTGATGAACTGATTTTTTGAAAACGTGTAAGCATGTAATTTGCATCTCATGCTCATTGCTCATTGTTTGTACGATCTACATTGAAAAAATGCAGCCTTTTATCTTTAAATTATTTTAATTATGGTAAAATGGAAAAGAACTGAAGTATTGAAGTGAGCAGAACAGCTTGTACTCACAAAATATTTTATCCTCTCCCAACTGTATACTCTGTTCACAGCCCGATTCACTGCAAAACTCAATGAACTTTAGAGAAATTTTAACAAAATTTTAAAACATGAATTTTCCCAAAATGCTGCCGGATTACGCACCTGAAAATGATCGATCCCTGTTTGTACGCCATCACGTGATCAAGTCACTATGACAACATGCCGCCATAATAAAAATAGTTTGGAGTCCATTACAAGTTGCTCGTTGAGAAGTGCCTTAATATCAACTCAATCTCGACATCAGAAATGATGTCAGTGTATTTATAAGGTATGTTGTTATATGTTACATCATATTTTAATGTAGAATTGTGTTTATTAGACAAACTGGTAGACTTATTCATATTTGAACTGAGAGGGAGAAATGCCACTTTTTTGTGAGACTTAGGCTAGGCTAGGCCTAGCCTAGGCCTACTGCAGCTGCTAGGCCTACCTAGACATTGCCAGGTTTAGCCTACACTATTTTCTCGTGCAATATTTTTCTTCGGCAAACAAATCTGAAAATGAGCTTTTGACAATGACTGCGACTGTCGCTTACCTATTTTTAAAGTGCATTTATTGATTTAGATTCTAGAATTTATCCGTAGCCTAGATATGCAAGTTTATCAGTTTTGTTTTGTCGACAATGAAGCAACTGCACAAGCATGTAAGCCTAGTATCTATAGACTTCACATGGTGATTTTTCGCATTGTAACTTTCGAGGAAATAAATATTTTGACATCGAATTATTATACTCTTGATAGATATTTTGTTAATACCTCCATGCAAAACAAAGCTGATACGGTTAAATGTACTGGTAGGTAAGTTAACTCGCATTGATAATACTAGATTACAGTCAGCACCATTTATCCTGTAGACTATAAAGGAGTGTTCTGTCATTTATTTTAATGGACACTCATTTTTCAAACATAGAATTCTACTTTGACAAAGTCTTTGTTACTTTTAGTTACAGACATCCTTTCTAGCCTAGTTTAGATCTACTGCGCATGTGGCATTTACTCCTCCAATTGATTTGTAAATAAATGAAGTCATAACAACACAATATTATACAGTAATTAATGTATGCACTATTTTCTTTCAGATCTAGAACTTCAAAATGGAGAATTAACTACAATCATTAAATACAGACCACAACTAATATAAACACCAGTGTGGTTCACACTAGCATTATAGCAAGAACCATGGTAAGAATATGAAATATTTTATGAAGTACATAGTACATGTAGTACAAATGGTAAAATCTGTAGTAGCACTTTTTATAAGCAAATGGATACTCTGATACCCAGATGCTAGCAGTGATTGAAGTGAAATTAAACTACATGTATATTGAGAAGGGTGGAAAGGAACTGGAATCTCTTGAAAACTAATAGTATAAGCTATGCCATTTGAATCTAAAGCAGTTTATGATTGTAGGGTATTATATATTATTTTAATAATTTTATAAATACGGTAAAACCTCACTGATAATCACCCTCTCTTACTTAGTGAACACCTACAAACACTGTAATTCTTGGCAAAAAATGTTCACTATACACAGGTTTTACTGTATAGTGCTGAAACTACTAGACAATTTTTTAAGCCCAGTATGATAAATTAATGAACTTCGTTTAACATAAGAAGGTTTGTTAAAACGATCTAGCAGAGAAGCAAAATGTAATTTTAAATGTGTTGATTTACTCAACTTTTTGGTTTTATTCCAGCCTGGAAGAACCTTCACAAAAAGTGCCAAAGCAAAACCGCTCACAAGAAAGAGCAGAAGTAAAAGCCCAAGTGGCAAGAAAAAGGGCAAAAGAGCAAAGTCAAAGGAAGTAAAGCCTTTGAAGCCCCCTGTTGATATGCTATCACAGCCTGCAATGGAGAACTTATATTATATAGCACATGGCCCTGTTGATGCTTTGACAATGAGAGGGTTTGGATGGTCAGGGGGAGGAGGTAAGAAGAAAAAAGGCAAGAAAGGGAAAAAGAAGAAATGAGGAGATAGAGTTGGTGCTGAGATGTAAAATCAAATGTGTATGTGGTCTAATCTATATGCATGCAAATAAACTGTGAATAGATTAGAATGTATCATAGAATATGATAGAATAGGCAGCCTATGTGTAAGTGCTGTAGGCGTATTAGAGGCGAGTCGGGTGATCTGTTGCCATGGTAACCATGACAATAACATCTTCAGGTTATGTCAAACTAGCAAATTTCTGTGGCCTTAGCTGGAAATGATCAAACCTAAGTACAATGAAAGTGTACTCCCACCAAGTGATTGATTCAAATATTGTAAAGCTACAAATTCTCAACTCTAGAAGTTACTCAGAAAATTAAATAAAAAAAAATATGAGTATGTGAATTTATAACTTTACACCAAATGGATAAATTGACCCCTAACCCATCTCAATTGTCTACAGTACTCACATTAAGAGGGTGCTAGTATCAATAACTAGGATAGACAAAAAATAATAAATAGAAAAAATATATAGAAAAATGTTAACAATGCAAATATACCCTCTCATTAAGCAGAAGTGTAGGACCCTTCTGTGTATGAAATGATCATGAATCTTAAATGGCATCAATAAACAGTTAAAAAAATGTTTTGGATTCGGGTATCAAATAAATCCCCAACTGTGATATACTTCTATTCAGGGTTCTGTGTTTCCCTGTTATTTTATTACTAGTAATTACAGCAAAACCTCTCTTATCTGAATACCACTGGCACTAGCCAAAAGTTTGGGAGGTGTTTACATTTCAAAGTGTTTGGAATCTATGGCAGATTATACGGAACATTGATTGACATGCAAAGTGTCACCACCTACTATTTGTTACAGATGCCAAACACCAACCACCAATTGTAGTAGTGACAAAAAAATGGGACTGAGAGTGTTCGTGCTGAGGTGTTTGGATTAGAGAGGTGTTCTGTTATGCAGGTTTTACTGCATATGTATAAGTTTAGCTAGTATTCCTGGACATGACATTAATCAGGTTCCAGTGTATTACTATACTTCCCTGTGTGATATATATATTGTTGAATCTTTCTAAAAAAGTACTAGAAATAGTATGTTGTATTTAGCATCTTTAGTGCCTTGAAGTTTTTATCAATTTATTATATCAATTTATTACTAAGTTGTTTTTTATCAGCATTTTGTGGCAGCAAAAATAATGTGAAGTTTTGGAAGTGAACTTTGTGTCAACATTTTCCTTATAGCCTGATATTAAATCTGAGCATTTTCCTGAAATAAAGTAGGAACTCAGAAAATAGGTATGATAAGGAATGTTGTGAGCAAAGTTATTCTCAAACTGTTTTTGCATGTTCAAGTAATGTTTTACTGCTACTGGTGTATTTATATTGTAAAATGTTGTACTTGCTATTTTTTTTTATTTTACAACATAGTATTAAACAAATATCTTCCAATATTTTCTTTAGACCCACTTTAAGATTGGCTCAATGAAAATGCAATGTCTTTAACTGGAATTTCTCGCCCAGAATTAAATGGAAAATTGGGGCGTGAACAAAATATGAGCCAAAAGACCGTATATTCGTTTATTTACTCAGAAGCTCACTTAAAGCTTGGCAAAATGCAAACAATCTTCCTGAATTGTATACAGGACTTTGTGAAATAAGTCGTCATCCATTTTTTTAAAACAAAGTTTCAATATGTGAATTGGTACTGTTAGCATTGTATTCATTTATAAGCTTGTCTAGCCTTACAGGTTTAGCCTAATGCTATTTCATAGGGATATTGTCTACATCTTTGTACTATTGTGCGTGTGTGATCCATCAGGAAATTGTAAAATTGTAATGTCAATTTGATGAGATTAGTTTTTCCATTGTTATACATGTTATATACAAGTTAGACTGAACCCTTATAAACAATTTACATGCTTTGATTTTTTACCAAAGCGACAAATTGCTCTAAACCTACCTATTACTAATGAAACATTTATGTTGGCAGAATAAAACTTTGGGTTTTCATACTGCAGGCTTTCCAATGTAAAAAATGACAAAGTGCCTTTTGGTCAGTCAAAAAACAGTTTTAAACTATATTACACATGTGTTTGGTTTTAAAATAAACTATGAAAAACATGGAATTTTGCAAATATGTATTTTATTATAGATAGTTATATTACATGAATAAAATGTACAAAAATAATAAAAATATATGAGTTTGTGTAATAATTATTTAATAACTTAATGAGATTCAAAGCCATACCACTGAAATGATTACTAGAATAGTATCTGAACTTGTTACACAAACCTAGACATCAGTATTCTTAACTAAGGCCCCAAGGGACCATGCCAATGTCCAAACAAAATATGATTATTTAAATTTCAGATTGGCCCCATCCCCATAAAATGTGAGTGAAAACTTATTCATATTTTAAAATTAAAAGTCATTTCCTAAAAAAATAAATCATCATTCCTTTTGTTGAGCATATTTATTTTCATTCATCAACAGAATAATAACTTTTTTTATCTTTCAGCCATGTCAGAAATGTGATGTTTTTTTCAAAACAGAATAATATTTGACTAGAATGATCCCCTTCCCAAATGTATGTGGACATTTCTTGATATTTTTCAAAGTTGGCAAGTTTCAAAAATTTATGTTAGCTTTGACAAAATATTACAGACTTATACATTTTCCCTAAACATAACTGATGTTGTTTTTATGTACTGAGAGGTTTTGGATACAGGGTTTATTCACATGGAAATATGTTTATCTCTAGGGACGGATTCAAAACTGATGATACATAACAGATGTATCCAATATCTACGAAGTATCATGCTGCATGCTACATTCTACAGTTTCAAAACTTAAAAAAATGGATTATTTTGATATTAATTTAAAACTTAAAATATGAATTTTTCCAATGTTATCTTTAATTGTTTTTGAATTTTTATCTGTGGTGGGATTGGGATGCATACAGCTATACATATGTATGCTCATGATCTTTGGGATAGCAGGATAGATACACAAATATATATCCTGCTCCATATGCATATTTCCACATGTTATGTCCATAGAACCTCAGTAGGTATGGGATACATTGAAACATTGACCTGGTCACCAAAGCTCTGAATAAAAATCAATATCAAAATAATAATGTCCATGTCCACACATGTCTTCTAGGCTACCTCTCCATCCATAGAAGTAGTGTCCAAATTTCTATATAGTTTGCCTCAAACATATTTATCACTCATGCTTTCAATACATTATTCATCTCAGTTTTCTGCTTGAAAGTGTACATAGCATTTAACATTATAATATTCCATGTTTTAATTTCCTGATATTCCTAAATTGAGATCATTAAAATATAGTAAAACCTGTATATCCAAACATGCCTCTGATCTGAACACTTCTAAATATGAATGCTTTTTGGTCCAATTTTTTTAATCTGTCATACTAGACTGTTAAAAATCTTGAAATGTGAATATCTGCCGATTCAAACAATTGGCTGGTCCCAGAGGTGTTCAGATTAGACAGGTTTTACTGGAGTCAACAAACTTCAACCTTCCTCTAGTCTCCACGGTTTAACAGCAAAGTACAGTATATTCAGTGTTTCACAAACACTAGTCCAGAGACAGTTACATCATTCTGATCTGAACCAGCAAGTCATTCCAGCATGTGGACAAAAACAACATGACACCTGATCCACAATTCAAATTTCAAATATCAATAATTCCCAAGGGCCTAGAAAACTGTTCCTAAGGCATCAAACCATGCCATTAGAGAACTGTCTGTTAGGGCAACTTCATGAAACTTTTCATAAGACATTCGTTGACAGTCTTTCAAGTTGGCCATTTTGAATATATTGTCCACCATTTCTGCTACTGCATCCTGGGACATCGCCTCCATCACAGGATACATTGACTCACTGAAATATAACAAGATGGCTGATCAATCAAGATTTTATTTTTCTTTATAGTGGAATTTACATTATACATTGATAGATATTTAAAATATAATGTATCACCCATCAAAATAAAAAACATCCACTGCTTATTGATCTCCTCTTTTTAGGCCTTTTTAGAAACATTATGCAATTTTAGCGACATTTGAGGGATTTTGGCAGATTAAAAACCTGAGAAATTCTGGAAACAAGTTGGCAAAAACTGTACTTGGATGATCATCTAAAAATCATTATGACTTCACTTATGGTATCTACCTTCCACCAGGATTGATAGGCAAAGGAGCCTTGTTGTTCCCAGCACTAATACTGCCACTAGGTATAGGTGCACTAAATAATGCAGACACTGGCTTGCCATCGTTATCATCAAAGTTTGACATCATTTCTTCTTCGCAAGCTTTTACAACATCCCGCACTAGTTCTATGGTTACATGGAAATATGCCTGCAAGATGAGCAAAATTCATAAACTGACAATAATGACACCATGAAACTTTGCAAATACAATTATTTATTTCACCAACTACAAGTGCCTACAAAATAGGAGAATGAAGAATGTATGGTTGTGATTCATTATTTTAATAATTTTACAAAAGGGAAAAGTACCCAAAAATATAGCTGACAAAACATTCTGATCAAGAGTTCAATACTTTATCTTAGCAGAAGGGTACTTGGATGATTTGAAATGGTTCACATAAATTGCAATTTGCATTTGATATAACATTTAAAGTTTGTATTGCACTGAAATACATTTCTTAATTTATATTTAGGACAAAGTCTGCATCTTTGCCATGATGTATAATTTTGATATAATTCTTCTATGAAACATACTATCACATGTCTTCAACAAATAAAGGAAGTATCCTGGAACTCAACTTAAATACAAACCTTACCTTGAACATTTTAGACACGTTTTCTTTACTAAGTGAGTTCTTGTTCTCCAAGTCATAGCCTTGAAATGCATCTGCAATGAGACAAAATTTATCAGAATAATTTTTGTAAAATTCAAATTCAGAAAAACGGTAAAATCCTAAACAAGGCATGTACACCTGCCATTTGTTACAGACAACAAATGCCAAACTCAAAACACCAACCACTAAAAGCCGCCACAGATAGAAACTATGACAATATGTCAACAAGAACAGGTTACCCCAAACACAGAATGAAATCCTTGTTAATGAAGGGCTGATGTGAAAAAGTAAGTCCACCCCAGTTGGGATTGAACCCATAACCCCTCGCTTTCTGTAGAAGTGCTCTGCCAATCCATATAACAGACATTTAATTTTGTAAATGCCTAACAAATACAGGTTCACCTTTCAGGTCTTGTTTGACACCCTGTACTTACATGGTATCTTCTCCACCAAGCTGCCCTTTGCCATGATTGACACCCTGTACTTACATGGTATCTTCTCCACCAAGCTACCCTTTGCCATGATTGACACCCTGAACTTACATGGTATCTTCTCCACCAAGCTGCCCTTTGCCATGATTGACACCCTGTACTTACATGGTATCTTCTCCACCAAGCTGCCCTTTGCCATGATTGACACCCTGTACTTACATGGTATCTTCTCCACCAAGCTACCCTTTGCCATGATTGGCACCCTGTACTTACATGGTATCTTCTCCACCAAGCTGCCCTTTGCCATGATTGGCACCCTGTACTTACATGGTATCTTCTCCACCAAGCTGCCTTTGCCATGATTGGCACCCTGTACTTACATGGTATCTTCTCCACCAAGCTGCCCTTTGCCATGATTGACACCCTGTACTTACATGGTATCTTCTCCACCAAGCTGCCCTTTGCCATGATTGACACCCTGTACTTACATGGTATCTTCTCCACCAAGCTACCCTTTGCCATGATTGACAGTCCCATCATCATCTCATGAAGACTGATCACCCTATCACCATCTCTGTCATAGAACTGGAACAACAAATGGTCCGTACAATAATTTTATTGACGCTCTTTACATAAGGAAGGGCTCTCACGAGGAAATATTTAGGTTGTGTGTGGTGGAGGAAACATCTTCAGCATAACCATTCAGTCGGAGTAAACCTCCAATAAAGGCCAAGAAAACTACATTTGATGTCAGATCTTATAATAGATTTTACATTCTGGAATTATGTACTATTGTAAAATAAAAAGAGTGTCAGTGTTTTCCAGATGGTGATTCAGGGTTATAATTGACTACACTCACTTCTTATCTATATAAAGTGAGACTTGCATATCTAACCAACTTTCTAATCTTAACACCTATCAATGTAAGCACCTTTTCCTTTCCCAATTTTGTAATTTCCCATTATCTATGATGTTTAAAAAGACTTGAAATGTGAACACCTGCTAATCGGAACACTTTTGGCCAGTCCCAGAGGTGTTAGGATTAAACAGGTTTTATGGTATATGTATGCTGCATTTCAAGTAGAAAAGTATACAGTCTGGTTGATATCATCACAAATTACAATACATGTAATCAGAATTGCTCTTCTGAGTTTTTCATTTCTACAGAGTGAAGACAGAATTTGCTTTCACCGGTAGATTTGCAGAATCTGAATCAGTTTTTTTTAGAATTTACAATGATCGGTTTCTTGGAATAAGCTTTTTTCAACTTGCAAAACTCATTAGCTTCACTTGCAGAATTCATCATTTTAACTAGCATATATATATACCATACCAGGTGAACCTACTTTTTTATGACGAGTCTAATCTTACCTTAAATAACCTATCAATGACTAGATTGCTATCTAATGCGAGTGGTCCTAAGCACAAGTTGAACACCTCTCTAGTAATCCCCTCCTTTGTTGTGCAGAGACTCTTGTACTCCTCATGGATAGCTTCAATTTCACATTGGTCAACTGAAATGTGAAAATATCTAAATGAATATCAAATTTGTGATGTTCCATCCATCCATCCTAAGCAGGTATCCAGAATCCGTACCTCCTTCCCCCTGCTATAACCAATTTGGAAGTGCCCGATTAAACTGAATCACGTAATCTAATTATGCGCAATGACTTATACATGATTTCTGTCACACTGTTGCGACAGCCAATCAGATTGCGAGTTCTTAATCTGGGAAATGCTAACTGCTTATCGCAGAGGGTAAAAAGAAAGAATATATTCTGGATTTTGAGGCCCTGTGATCGGAGGATGTGTTCCATCTTAAACTTTAAAATGACTACTGTATAATAATTGATTCATAATAATATTGGTTTTGATTCCTCGATCCAATCTTGTTTGAATTACTAGTTTTAATCTTGGAAACACATTGATAATGTTAATTAATTTATTTAAATATCTTTTTATAATTATTGAGAAATAAAAAAATTATGGGAGCCTATGGAAATGTGGCCCAACCAAAAAAGTGCTGACATCTATTTATTCAGCTATTTAGTGACTCTCTTATTGTTTCGAAATACCTCACAAAGAATGCTGACAATAATGTTACAACACATTATAATTCTTAAATAACAAGAAGGGACTTCTCTTTGGTTGCGAGCTCATAATTGTACCAATGAAAATGTGCTCCGTATTTTACATTGGAAATCACTTCACAATATTTATCCTTGTAATTCGGTCCTGTTCAAGTTAAAAATTAAAAATTCTCCTTTATGTGACCATTGTGGAGTAAATGACACTATTGTACATCATTTTATTAAATGTAATAAAGTCAAAGATATTTGGAATAATTTCAACTTGACAGATGAACAAATTTTAGGTCTTCAAACATGTTCAAATTAGTGTTGTCGCGATTAATCGATACATCGCGATATACATCGCCAAAGCTGATTCTGGCGATGCATCGATGTCTGAAACAAAACATCGATGTTTTAAAAAAAATTCATTTGCTAAAAATCACCCTTTCTTATCTTATTTTGACGCAAATCGCTTAACTTTCTCATGTCTTATTTCATTTCCCAATGTTTTCTGATATTATTTCGCCTTAAAACTGTTTTAGCTAGTCGAAATGAACCATTAATCTAAAGAAAATTACTTTACTTCCATTTCACCGTTACTAGAAGTTCCCGGATGAACCAGCGTTCTGTATTTTAATGCATTAGCGTTCGGTATTTCAGTGCACTTTTCTCGGACTTTTTCTCGATGTACATCGCGATGTGCATCGATGTTTACGACTGAAAATTGCCGATGCATCGATGTACGATTATGGCACATCGCGACAACACTAGTTCAAATTATAAAGATGTTCTCATTGCCAGAAAAACAATCCAAATTTTCAACTACCACAACTATTTAGGCAATATAAAAAGTGAGTTTCATAAACAAAAGATATTAAATCTATAGAAATGTATGTTTATTTTGTATGATTGATGTTAATGTATAATTGTAAGTTAATTTTAAAGGAAAATAAATGTTTTAAAAAAAAAAAAGAAAAAAAAAGAAGGGACTTCTCAAATAAGTTTCTATAAAATAATATTTCTAAAATCGCTAAACATACAAAACACAATGACTTACAGTATGTTTCATTTTTAAATGCACATATTTGTTCCCACGAGAGTATATCTGTATTTCTTTCTTTTCCTGAAAAGAAAGGTAGTATAAACATTTGAAACAATACAGTGTGTCTCAAAAAAATGTTACACTCACAAAAAGTTCAATATCTTTTATGATTTTGACTTGTCCCCTAAAATATACTTAGATACCAAAAGACCAGTCTTTCTCAAATAAATCCACACCATCAGATTCAAAATCCATCCATGATTGGCTGCACATGTAGTGATCAATTCTTTTTTGGCATGAATGCGGTGGACAGTGATATCTTGATATGATCAATGATCCAGTTGTTCTTTCCTGGATAGAAATACAACATTTCATTGTCTGAGGGTTCAATTTCGTTACTTATGATGGCAACAGGATTGTCCAAAAGGCCTGTGGCAGATCGTTTGGTAGCACTCTTTGGGAATCAAAAGATAGCATTGAATTACTCAATTGATTGGACCCCTAGGGTCATCCCACTTTACACCCTTGATTTTGAAAGGCCTCTGAAAGTGCTTTACAGCATCACAAACTGACCTAAATGAACTTCTTTAAAAATAATTGATGGAACCAGTGTGATATTACAATGCATGCTCGCATGGGCAAGGGTACCTCAGATTCTCAGATTTGCTTTGGAGAACATGTTGAGGGGATCACATTTTCATGTGGATAGACCCAATGATCATATGTTGGACAAATTGAAAAATTACTGAATGACTCAGTTAAAGGTCAAGCTTCTACTCAGAAGAAAATTAAATGTAAAAGAAATTGTTCCTCTTTTGTCATTTGGCTCATCCAATCACTTAGAAGTTGCAGATTTTACTATGGGACACTAAAAGCTGTCCTGTGGAGCCAATCAAGGACAGATTTTGAATCTGATGGTGTCAAATTATTCAAGAAAGATTTGTCTTTTGGTATCCAAAGTATATTTTAGGGGAAAAGTCAAAACTATGAAAGATATTGAACTTTTTGTAATTGTAACATTTTTTTTGAGACACACTGTAGTAATGAAAACCATAATGAGATTCCTTCTGCTAATTCATTCGTTCACAAGTAGCCTAACTAACAATTTGATATGCATGAAAATATTACTTTTATTTTACTTTCCTTTGAAGTTATATAGAAATATGGAAAGCTAATATATTCAAGTTTATAGAAATAGCATTTAAGCTTGAGGCATGCACTCATATCAAGACTCGTCATATCAAGACTTGTCAAAGTTAGAGCCTTTTCCTTTATGGGTCACCCTTAATCGTACCTGGGTACATAGGCTTGTATAATGGCATTCTTGAGTTGGCAAGTGGCGGAACTGGAATGTAAATCTTGATAAAAGTGTGAGTTCTGTTGTGCAGGTCCTTCACTTCACAGCACTCACATACATCATAGTCTGTACAGGACCCACACTGGAATAAAACATATATATTGATCAACTCTGCTGGAGACACCTTTCAAAAATCAGATATACACTGAGCATCGGCACAAACTCATTGCAAAGCCCCAAATTTCTGAAGGAGGAAACTATTGAACTGATCTTGTGTATTTTAAAAATAACTTCTTGAGCTATCACTGATTTCTTCTTCAGTTACAAAAATGTACAAGCCCAATATAATTCATTGCCATAGACACGCATATTGCAATCTTCTCTGTGTGATTGTTTGTTTGTAAAGGTTTTTACACAACTCAAAATAAAATAATTTCCACATAAAATGACATTAATAATTGCCCATATAGAGTAAATGAGCTGTACCTTATATCTGACTCCACATAAGGGACTCTGTCCACACAGACTACAAGTGATTCCTCTGTGCACACACCCATCTGAAATAAAAAGAAAAAAATTAGATGATGATTATTAACAGTATTTTTGTTGATTTACTTTAAACATGAAACTATGCTGTAGTTTAATTGTGGTTGTGTCATCGATACATTTCAGCTTAAAAAGATCACTTTCAGAAAAATCTATTAATCTAGAACAACACTGCAAGTGTGATGTGTTCTCTACAGAATTTTTCTGAATGAGGGGTAAATTCTCATGTTAAAGAAAAAAGAAGAAATGGCATATTTTGCATTTTCGACAGTGGACAATGGATTTTCAACTGGATGCAATTGTAATTTTGAAATTCCCAGCTTGATGCAGTGCCACATTGGTTCAACACAAAGGCCATAAGGGCATGTGTCCAGTTGCAACAGTTAAAATGGAAAGATAAAGTTTATTTCATAAGGGGAATGGAGTTTCTACAGATTTAAGTGAACACAAAGCCACATTTTCAAAGAAAGGGAGGTGTTTAAAGCATAATAACCTTGTTCTCAAACTATCAATTTATGAGACATTATCCCTTATTCTATTGGCACATTACCACGGTGCCCATGTCAAGCTGCGCGCCTACTTAGGCGCGCAGTTTGTTTCGATCACAAACTGCGTGCCTAAGAACATTGCATCATTTAAGTTGGAGTCTGTATTTTGAAACGTAATTTAAAGACATTTATCCTGCATTGTTTTCTTGTTCAATGCGTTCATTCTGTGGCGAATATACGAATCTTGCAAATACTAGCAAAAACTATGTGCAAATGAATCTAAGTTTTAAAACATAAGCAGATTAATGGCATTTTCGTCACTGATTTAACGGTAATTTATACGTAAATCGATCTAGCACTTTAAACATAAATGGCAAATACTTTAGACTCGTTTTATATTTAATTCCTTACACATTTATCATGAATAATTCAAAATATTTCGAGATAAAACAGATAATCAGGAGATTAAAAATAAATAAATCACAAACTGCGCGCCTATTTTAGCCAGAAATTACAAACTGTGCGCATACACTATTAAAACTACATATTATCATTGGAATTTCTACAGAGGCACGTGTAGGTGGTTTTCATGTAGCTTTGGAAATTTTGCTTTATCGTCAGATTCTATGAGATTTTCATATTGAAAGTCAAAATGTATAATAGAAGTGACAATTAAGTTGGGAACGAAAAAAACTTTTATTTTCAGATCACCATCTTGGTGGATGGACTCTCATAGTGTTTCAATTATGGGGTTCTACTATTAGACACATATGTGCCTTGTATGGCGCTTATGTTTTCTAATAATACAAAACAAGCTTGGATAGGCACGCAGGTTGGAAATATTAGGCACGCAGTTTGAGAAATACATGTGAATATAGGCGCGCAGTTTGACAAGAAAAATGTTTAAATCACGTTTATGGCGTATTATCGTTTTGAACACAAGCTTTGCTGCCTTAATCAGATGGAGTGATCCTATATATTCTAGCATACACAGACACAATGGCTGAATAAACAGCAAATGACGATAAAAAGACATGGATATAACTTTACACTGTAAATTTTATTAAGTTCATCTTCACAGAATGGTACTATCTTTAGAACGAGACTAACCTTGTATTTTTCGTATTTTGGCTCTTTTTAGGAGTCGTGTCCTCCCCGTCTCACATTTTGAAATATGCGCGCAGTTTGTCAGAGTTTCAAACTGCGTGCCTAGTAGGCACGCTGCTTGACATGGGCATCGTGATTACCCTTAGTGCAAAGTGTTATTCTAAGCACACATTTTTTAAGAAGTGCAATCAATGAATGTGAAGGATATATCTACATGCAGGCGTTTCTAATCATAACCAGCAGGCAACAGGCCATTTTCACCAGTTCTTTTAACAAAATCACCAGTCCTGTTGTTTCTAGGGACTTTTCAACTTTTCTATGTTCAATTTACAATATCCATTAATTTGCCTGTTGTTTTCATTTATTTAGCCTGTTGTGAGAAATTCTAGTGAAACACATGACATGTTAAAGTAAACCATACCTCTATTCGCTTGGTCAGCTGCTATATTGTACAACAGGTCTAGCATGGACTGCTGCTCTGGGCTGGGTTGATCTCGATTTGAATCGGACAAAACTGTGTCATTAACAAGGAACATGCTGGAACCATGACGTGCTCTACCCCCAGAACTGGTTGCCAGCCGAGCTCTACCCCCTGGGGTAGACATCAGGGAAGATTGATACAGCTGAGATAATTCCCGTTCCATCTGTCTCGAATCTTGGGCTGCATTTTCTAAAATATGAATATGATATTCTTTAGTACTGACATACCCTGACACCCAAGGGCTAGCTAGTAAGGAAAACACCCTGACTACGATAGAGAATTATGCTGTTTTGATTCTGATGGGATCTTCATTACCTCCAAACAGCCTTTTAGTTGAATATGACATAAATTGTAGCTCATATACGATATTTAATTTTAATCCCTTTATGTGCAGAATATTTACCTTCAGATTTGTAGGTTGACTCTGATTTAGTGCCTCTCTTGTCTCTATGGAGATACCATAGGGTAGCACCAGATAGTGTTAACCCTACAACTGCACCCCCTAAGAACACACTCACTGTGTTGATTGTAGACCCACTCATCTGAAAAAACAAAAAGTGTATCCTTACTCAGTTTGTTTATTTCGTGGTATGAGGAAAGTAGTTCTATTAAAAACCTGTTTGGGGACTTCAATGGTATACTACAGCACCATCTTTGGATAGAATACTGTAACTTGCAGACATATAATGCCCAGAATAACTGGGAAATATTTGATCATATCAGTGAACGGTAAAATATTTGGGATTATTTTCTGTGGATGTATGAGCTTGGTAGTGGTGAATTGGTCAATGTACATAAATATGATGACTTTTTGGCACTATGTAAAACAGAAGAACTTTTGATTTACATGGGATATTTTTGTTGAAATTTTTTTGGACATGAAGGTGAGATGTTTTGTTGTACATCTCTGAAATTCTTTGAAAATCGCTGGGCTGCAATTAGAGAAATTCAAATTTGAACTTTGTCAATTTAACATGCATCTCAATGGTACAAAAAGTAAGGAGAGTTCTACCAAGAGCATAGATATTAAGATTTAAATCTGCAACATTTTAACAATCTCTTAGCATATAGTAGAGGGAGTAAATTATCAAAGAGGCACTATCATACCGTTAGGCCATTCAAAGTTTAATATATGTTTAATGCCCCCCAAATTTATGATTTAGGGAAACTTGCAGAAAACAAACAAGATATATATGTGTGTAATATATTCAAATGACAAAATAAATCTAAAATTTTGATCTTAGCTGATATTTTAGTGAAAGGAGTTCCAAGATTGAAAACTGCATGTTTTTCAGCTTCAGTGATGTCTTGATCAAAAAAGTTCATGTGAATTCAAGAAGTGTCACTTTATCAATAATTTGCTTCATATGAGCATGGGCTTTTGAAAGCCCATGATATGAGTTATGGTATTTTTACTCTTGAATAATATAAAATCCGAATAGAAATACAACAAAGAAAAGTTTGTTATTTATTTGTTTTTTTCACCTCTTAGGTCTCATCCTCCTAAGATTTGACACTTAATCAGGATGTTACAGGAATAATTAACTTTGAATGACCTTAGCTGCAGATATTGTCGTTGCATTGTATTGTATTGTATCATATCGTATGTATTGTATAGCTTTACGGCCCATATTTAAATGGAGATACAAGTTATTGTTTTTTACAAGATAGAAAATAAGTGTATAATATACAACAGGTGCACCATTCACAAATGTTTTTAATTACTTTTGAATAAATAGATGGCATTTATAGTCAACACATAGACCAAAAGTAAATGAATATCAAGTTATAAGAATATCTTCACCACTTGATGATTTGGAAAATAGCAAAAATGTAATGGCTTCCTTTAGTGGGGGCAGAGCTGTTTAACTTAAAAGTTGTCTAACTCATTCAGAGGTTGGTTCAAAATTAAACACTGAGCACAGGGTAAATCCCCACTGACACTTACATTGTCCAAAAAACATTAAAATCATAATCTTGTGAATGGTCAAATAAGCCCCAGGGTGAAGTAGCCCATGTCACAGTTAGACAAAAGATCATTAGATCTACTATTGTTTTTTCGTGCAATTATTATTTTGAGTTATAAATTAAAGATGATTTTTCACAATTGATAGCAATTGTTTATTCCAGAAATAATCTGTGCACTAAATACTAGCCAACTCCCCTCAGAAGAGCCCATCATGCAAAATAAGTTTCTTGGAAGGGCTCCTAGGCTGAACCCTCAGAAAATGATACCAAATGTCTTAAAAGTGGCCCAATGCCATACAAAATGACCAAATATAGGGCTATAGGGCTAATGCCATAAAAATGTCCAAATATAGGACCAATGCCATTCAAAATGTCCAAATTATTATAAGACAAATGTCATCCAAAATGTCCAAATATAGGACCAATACCATACTGAATGTCCTTATATAGAACCAAAACCATACTAAATGTCCAAATATAGAAGGGAATGCCATACAAAATGTCCAAATATAGAAATGTCCAAATATAGAACCAATGCCATACCAAATGTCCAAATATAGAACCAATGCAAAACTAAATGTCCAAATATAGAACCAATGGCATTTTCGAATCGAACATCCACTTTACTTAGAGCAAGTTTATACTAGTCACAAGAAGGGTTGCAAAACTTGATCTAAGCTTATGATTGGTCCAACCTTGGCTACTATCTGAGAAAGAGCTCATATTCAAAAGTTGAAGAAGACCTCGGAGAGACGTCAGATCTTTAAAAAAAAGATCCAAAACAACCTCAAATTTAGGACATGTGTGATGTATCTTCCATGACATACTGATGCTAGAAAGTAGAAAAAATATTTTAAACTTCAAGGGCTAGATTTTTCAAGGCATTCTCTACTCATACCAGATTCTAAAATTTGGGTGTATTGCCATACCGAATGTTAGAAAAGATACCCCATGTGTGCCAAGGATCTGCATCAAGGTTTATATACAGATGAAATGACCCTGGATGGCAAGTTGCTACTATGGCTTAAACCCACCGAGCCCTCCCCCTCCCTGCTATGAGGTGCCCATAAAGTCCATTTATAATTACAATACAAAAATCAGATGTGTTATTACTGTAGATTGGGTTAATTTGGCGCTACTTAATTTGGCGATTTTGCTATTTTTGGCATATTGGCGGCTATTTAATTTGGCGGATATGCAAAAAAAAATTTTAATTAACTTACGCGTTGTTTGCGAATTTTATGTTCATTTTTTCTTTTGAGGACCACTGGCAATATTCACCACGTTTGTACATTTTTGTGAGATCATCCTTTACATTTTGCACCTCGATTGATGCTGCTACTATACTGCACTTTTCCTTTCTAGTTTTTCCCTGAGTATTAATAAGTGACTGACCAGTTCTGAGCCAATTTATGAGAGACATTTTTTTCATATTTTTGGAAAAAACTAAACCGGAAGTGACCTAAATACACTCGACGAAATACCCTAGATAATTCCCGGGGATTCATTCTAAATTTTGGCGAAGATTTATGTTGGCGAATTTTTCAATTTCGCCAAATTCGCCAAATTAAAGCGGGCGCCAAATTAACCCAATCTACAGTATCCAACATCCAAAAAGCTCATTTCCATGTTTGTCCCGAAAGTATGCCCCCCCCCCACTAGGCAGACATATTCCATAGTAGTCCTCAAAGTATGTGTCATATATCATTTTAAAGCTTTTCCAAAGTTAATTTGATTTGCCAAGTATCATGGTTTAACTCCCAAATGGGAAAAAGTTACAGTCATTTTATAAGTTAGTGTTTTGTCAAAATAAAGTTCAATTTTACACCACATTACTAGTCAATGAGCCCCCCCCTTGGTCATGTTAACAGTAGCAATTATTTTCAGATATGACCTTAAAAGCCCTTCAAATAGGGGTGTGGAATTTTATAACCCTATTAAAAATTGATAAGGGACAAGAAGAGTTTCCTTAGAGTTTCTACCCTCACCATTCTCTTTTTCCAACTCAATATCCACTGACCCGAAAAGAATTGCTGCTGTTAAGATGGCCCGGGAAGACACATTGACTAGTGATTTGGTGTAAAATTGAACTTAATTTTGACCAAACACTAAATTTTGAAATGCCTGTAACTTTTTTCGATTTGGAAGTTAAACCATGATACTTGGCAAATCAATGTGACTTTGGATAAGCTTTAAAATTATATATGACACATACTATGAGGACACTGGAATATGTCTGCCTAGGGGGGGGGCATACTTTCGGGACACCCTGTATATCTTTTATTGACTCTTTATATGTCATGACCTGACATATTAGTCATTACAAAATGAAATTGTACAAAACTACACAACACTACACTACACTACCATCAAATGATTCCACATAACATTTTGTGCAAAATATTTCTTTATAATAGTTGAATGTTGCTAATTCTAACTAATTTCTGAAATGTATTTTCCAAATTGGCCATTTTTGGCTGAAATAAAACTTTTCGTGTGAAACGAAATTTTTGTCGAATAGATTAACGAACTCCCATGCAGTATAGGAATAGTATAATGAAGACTTTAACTGCCATGGAGTATGATAAATTGAAAGCCATCTTAGTAAATGTATTCACTGTAATATTAAATGGAGAATAGTATATGCCTTGTTTAGTGTACTTATCAACTGTGTTTCCTTCAGTGTTTCGACAGCTTAATATCGACATGATTTCGGATTTGCCATTTCGATGTAACTTCAAGCCGAGACCAACATTTCCCAAAAGCCATCTCCAATACTTTACATCATCGAGGACACAGGGGTATTTGGGATGATGTGTTCTTATTCATAAGGTATGTATGCTTGCTTCGATCTCATTATTTATTCAAGGAGTATCATCATAGATACATGAATTAATTACAAGCACTGGTCAAAATTGCACAACCATTTCATTTTCTGAGTAGCTGTCGGAATATGCATGGACGTAAACCTAATTGCGAGCCACAAGAAAGTGGCGTAGCCAGGATTTGACAGGAGGGGGTTCGAATATTTTCAGCAAAATTATTTTGGAGCCACCTAACGGTGAATTTGGTGAAAATTTGCTTACATTTTGCCAAATTTGCCAAATTTGGTCCAGTTTATTAATTTTTCCAGTTTGCTAGAATTTAAAAAATTTACTTTGCCAAACAATTGTAAAAGAAAGCAAAAACAGAAATATCCCAATTTTTTACCAGTTTCATTCATTTATTTAGAACATTTAAGGGCAAAAATCTACAGAACCTTTTTAAAAAAAGGCCTGATTTAAATCTCTTTAAAATTTATATTTAAAACTCTTTCTGGATAGGTCAGAAAAATAAATCCATAGAAAATAGCTTGAGGACATAACAGACCACAAAATTACAGAAATTATCAGACACAGAACCCCCCCCCAAAAAAAACACTTTCACATGTTCAAAATTCTCTGATTTATGTCATAAATGAGGGACCACTATATCCCAATCAGTTTCTTCTTGGTAAGTATATGCTTTATTTGTGCAATTGAACCCCCACCTCAAAAACAACTTTTCATGTACTTTTCATGTATGATTTAAAGAAATAACCCAAGAATAAAAACATGATTATCTACATACATGTTGATACTTTAATACAAAATGGAATTCATCATGATTATGGCAATAATGAAAGTGAACATTCCCCCACAAATTATATTTTTATTGGAATGTGTTCTTGAATAATTACCTACAATGCAATACTTGAATAGAACATTTTGATACCTCTTTTTCTTATTGGTCTTTTTTGTTTACTTTTACATGAGATTAAAAATGTTTATGCTTCAATAATATTGAAATTTGAGTTTTATTCAAGATAATATTAAAACATATACATTTATCTAATACCTTTTGAAATATTTTCATAAAAAGGGAAGCATGGCACTGCTCATTTGAAGTTCTCATGTTTATAACACAGAGTTGCATACTCTTCTCTTGAAAGCCCATGCTTATATCTCAAATATCTTAGGTAATCATAAAATGATAAATTACTGAAATACTGCAAAAATTAACTCAAAATTTGGGGGTTCACATTATTGCCAGAAAAGGTGGGTTCAATTTTTTTAGACAAGATGGGGGGGGGGGCTTCACACAAACCCTCCGAACCCCCTCTCCATACGGCCCTGCAAAACATGTCAAATAAGAAATAAGGCCCAGAGACTACTTTTAATACTTGCCTGTAATAGTCTGTGGTTCCTCAGAAAATATCATATTGACAATTGTTCATTTTGGATTATTACTTCATTAGGTTCTGGACAAACAAGATTTAGACCATTGGGATTTTGGAACATTGGCATTCGAAGATTGGGTTTCAGGCCAATGAGATTCGAACTGTTGTGTTCCATTCACATTGGATTACACATGAGTGCGATTTTCAATGCCGCACTACCGCTTTATTAAACATTTATGCAGTGTTGCAAAATGATAGATATGTATGATATTAAGTTATACAACAAGGCTTTTTGAACTATAATCCCCAAATCCGAAGAAATCTTTAGTTGGAAATGCCATCCAATTCCAGTGACGTCACTGATTTCCCACAAATTGCTCAGACGCCATTGAAGATCGAAAAAATATAAATAATGTAACTTTGAATCTCCGATTATCTTTCTGATTATTGAATAGAATGGATCGTGTAACTATGCTCGAGCGCTGGTGGAATATCAGAAGCTGAGAAACTGTCATTTTTGTCAAGATTCACGCTAGTTTTATAAGAATTTGTTGAAATTTTGTTCGAGCAATCTTCCGCCAATATGATGCTATACCACTGTGGTCCAAAACGTCATAAAAAAGTAACATTGAAATAAAGCCGATGCGTTTTAAAGATGTCACTGCGCTAGAGGATATATGCACTTTTCGTTCTGCGTAATCGTCATAACAACCATTGCCATGATGGGGAATTTATGAAAATTGGTAACTAATCTTCGTTTTTATGTTTAAACAACAATAGAATGCAAGAATTATATGTAGAATTATTTGAATGTAATCTAGTAATGTAGTTTGATTGGGAGATTGGTGGTTGATAATAAGTGTTTCCCGGAATACATAGAATTTTCACAATACATTTCTATCAGATCTAAAATTGTCAGTTTTCGTGCAAAAGTCCTGAAATGTTCGCAGAAGTTAAAAAAATATAAACAAAATTTCTCAGATTTTATTTTTTTCAAATAGACGCATTATCTTGAAGTTGTGGCAGGTTTAGTGCCAATGCATAACAAAGCGACAGTGGGCTTATTCAACTAGGGCCGTGCCATTCGACCGGAATCGGTCCGAACCGCGGACTTTTGTTAAAATACCGGAATTCGGAATTTTAATATCATGTTCCGAAGGGTTTCGGAACAATATCGGACCCTTACCTTAGTACTTGCTTTGAATCGTTAATATCCGTGACCATTGTTCCTCCAGTGATGTTTTCCTTCAAACTACATCCAATTTGCATGTGTATTACTCGCATAAACAAAATAAATAGCGGAGAAATCAACAGAAATCAAGTTTTGTTTTACGAACTTTGACCTTCGGATTTCATTGGAAGTAGGAATCGACGGGGCGAAAATACTCATAGATAAATGAATAAATTTACTTTTCCATGACGTCTTACAATCTAACAGCGTTAATTAATTACATTTTAACTCTTACAATATCAGATTAATTGATTTAGAAGAAATTATCTTCCCCATAATTATTTTCATTTGTGAACCAAAAGGGGTTCCGAAAGTTCCGATTCCGTGAGACCAAGTTCCGGTTCCGATTCCGAACCGTCCGAACCGGTTCCGGCACAGCCCTATATTCAACAAAGCCATAATAAAATTATATTGTCACAAACTGGCCAAGATACACAGCAAAATGCACAAGAAACTCACCTTTTTACGATAATTCCAAAAAGTTTGAGCAATCCGTAATTTGTTTTTCACAAATTCACTCCTCTCTCGAAAAACAGTAGAACAACTCTCACGTTCATTCAAAGAGGGCGCCACGCTGCTAACCCCGTCAGACAAATCCCCGGACCACAGTGTACATTCACTATGATGTAATCCTCGACCAATGAAATTAGCGGATCGTGACCTTTGACTTTGCAGTCTCCGGACCATAGGCCCCGGGAACATGTATAAAATAGCGAGTCGACATCTGTATTACTACTTCTTCTTCTAGTAATACAGATGTCGACTCGCTATTTTATACATGTTCACGGGGCCTATGCTCCGGACGTTTCGTTCAGAGTAATCGACTCGTTCTGCTGGCCAATGAAAATTTGTCCCTTCCAAAGCGATGCATCATGTGAGACATTTATGTAAATTACCATCTGAACTCTTATCGCAAATATGTCTATTGAGTTTGGATCAATGTGATTCGGACCATTGGGATTCGGACAACGATTGGGTTTTGTACAAATGGGTAGTGTTGTCGCGATTAATCGATACATCGCGATATACATCGCCAAAGCTGATTCTGGCGATGCATCGATGTCTGAAACAAAACATCGATGTTTTTAAAAAAATTAATTTGCTAAAAATCACCCTTTTTTACTTATTTTGACGCAAATCGCTTACCTTTCTCATGTCTTATTTCATTTTCCAATGTTTTCTGATAATCTTTCGCTTTAAAACTGTTTTAGCTAGTCGAAATGAACCATTAATCTAAAAAATTACTTTACTTTCATTTCACCCTTACTAGAAGTTCCCGGATGTACCGGATGTTCGGTATTTTAGTGCATTATCGTTCGGTATTTCAGTGCACTTTTCTCGGACTTTTTCGCGATGTACATCGCGATGTGCATCGATGTTTACTACTGAAAATTGCCGATGCATCGATGTACGATTATGGCACATCGCGACAACACTACAAATGGGAATCCGACCATTGCGATTCGGACGACGATTGGGTTTTGGACCAATGGGATTCAACAAATTGAAATTTAAACCAATGGTGTGTGCTCCTTTCTTTTCTATTGCGTTATTCTCAGACTGAGTCTGAGATCTATCTGTGTGAGTCTGTCCCTGGGAGAATTCCGACCCAAGAAAATGCTCACGTCACGGTATGGGCAACACCTGCTAAACAAACAATATGCGAAGAATAAAGGCAATATCATCTGAGGAATATCATTATCTATTCTAATAAACAACACATATGCATGAATACTTACTTGGAATAAGATAAACACTAGATTATAAACTGTTGAATTTTGGCTCGTCCACTTGAATGACCTTGACAATAGGAAATCTACACTGGAGGAAAAGAATCAAATGCAATGCTTCAATCTAATTCCTCTAAAGTCAAAGGAAAGGAAATATACAGATAAATTTATGATAAGATGCAATCAAATTGAATTGTTTTAATTAATTGTATTAAAAACATGATATCATTCCCACTTATATATTGGAAACATCCCGGGAAAGGAGAGGGGAATCCCATTTTGTTGATTCTATTTGCAGGTGCCTCTGACGTCATGATTGAGCATAAGCAGAGCACAGCTAAAAATAACAAAATATAGTTCTTCCGCAATATTGTATATTATTTTCATAACCGGGAATATCTCTCAATATATCGATATAGGTATAATATTGACCCTAGTATCGAATCAGAATAATCAATTAGGATTCTAAGTTACATAGATTCATTTTTAATTTTATTTGTTTATCGCGTATTAATCTATTTTTATTTACGGCAGTGATTCGCTCTGTAAGTGTTGTCTTTCAGGCGAGAGGTTTTCCCTGATTTATTACTGAGGCCGTTTCCTCTCTTGGAATTCTGCAAGAAACGGTAGGTTATGAACTGTCTTCACTTTAGATTAAAATATATAACGTTATCTTCTTACATTACATGTTTATAATTATTTGAATCAGCATGTGATCGTGAATAGAAGATGAATAGAATTTGAAATGTTGACAAATGTTTGTTGTTGTTTGTGAGTTGACTGTGAATGAAGCTGAATACTGAAGCTCCATTTTCAAATCAATTTTTGCAGTATATCTTCATTCAATATGAATTGCTGGTCAGTATGGGGGTAGTTTGACATAGGAAACACATATTTTGTACACTGTTGAGTTGTTTTTGTGTAGATTCTATTATTGACATCTGTTTATAAATTCATAAAGTCGAGACAAGAGCTTGGAAACAAGAAAAGCCTGAAGCGAAGTTGTCAGTTGTCTTCTTCGACATGTACGAATATTCTCAAAGATTTTTTGTATCTTGCTATTTTCTCAGTACGGGGTTGGATTATTGTATACAGACTATTCTATCTAGCTGTATAATTTGATTAGAGAAGTTGCCCAAATTCCATGCAATAATCAGAAAAGCATAATTTTGATTGAGATCAAACATCCATTGATGTCGCCATGATTTAAAATTGACACTCATCAATTATAATTCAGAGAAGTAAGGTAATTGCAACTGAATGTACTCCAACTGTCATTCACATTTGCGAGGGATGTACATATATAATAGGCCATGAACCTTTTCACCCTGGAGAAATGAACTTGATCTTTTTCTAGGACAATTTCTATATTGACTTGATCATTGATTGTTATATTTTTCTGAACTAATTTTACATTGAGCCCTGACCCTTTTAAAACATAACATTTATTCAAGATAAAATTTGAATTAGTTCTATATTTATATCTAATAACTCTCTTGTGCCTAGATCTGAGTCATTTCGGTATTGTGTCATTTTAATGTGTCATAATCCGACCTGAGACGGGATAACAAGCATCAATATACTGTGTTAATCAAAAATCATTATTCTATTTATTACCACATGAATATTGTCGTTTGCATGTTAGATAAATAGCACATGTGCAAAATTATTGATTCGGATATACATGCTTTTTTCTGGATAAATGAAATGGCAACTTTCAGCATTGTATGAAAAGTTACCTTTAAATTTCACAAAAAGTCATGATTCGTATAAGTTGATTAGTTTTTTGATTACCTAATCTACCATGCATAAGTTTATTATTATGTCACCACCAAAATTGATGACATAGTGTAATAATCTCCAACTTTTTTGTGAACGGTGTTCATTAGTCAACATTCTGCAGTTGATGTTTGGAAGTCAGCATCTGTAACAAATGGCAAGTGGTGACATTTTGTTTGTTACTGTCTTGTATAATATTCAGAATGATCTTTTGTTATTTTAGGTCAATCATTCAGATAAAAAGTTGTTTATCCTTATCTAATTTTGTGATTTCAAAGACAATTCTTGCTTCCAAAGGAGTATATACTTTTTTATCTTAGATAATATCTTAGAAGGAGGTTTTAAATAATTTCTACTCTCACTTCCAAGGTTCACCTTTTTAAATTCTGAATAACTAAGACTTTTCTGTTTCTGAAATCTTTAACAACTTCCATTTTTATCAAATATCTCCCTTCTTTTTCAAATGTGTTATTTTAAAATTTGAACCAAATATGATTTATATAATATTCTCTCTAAAATGGTACAAGATTCATATGGATAGTTATATTCAAACTTTTACAACAGTCAAGTTGGTAATTTTGAAAAGAAATCCATGATGATAAAAACACAATGAAAACAGTTTTAAAATTTGAACTGAAACACAATGAATTTATTTCTTTGTACCATAATGTATGCTTCCTTAAGTATAACCACAATCGTGCAAGTGTTACCGATGTTTACATAATTTTAGTTTTTTAATTTGATCAATGTTTGAAGTGTTTGATATCATTGGGATAGAGAATTGAAATTGTTTCTATCAATTTCAAATAAATTTTAATGAGGCAACAAAAAACTTGATGATGCCAAACGTCAATTAATCCATATTCTGTTCGAGAATTCAATTATCATATTTTTAATTCACTCATTGATTCAACAAAGAGTTATATGTATTTATATATATGCAGTATATCTACAAGTTTGTCATTTTTCTTGTCAAAAATACAACATTGCGACAGTAAAAAATCAGAAATAAACCTCCACTGTTGACAGGTAATCAATGATGGTCAAAGAAGAATGTTTGCTTATGTGTCTATTCTCACCATATAAGAACATACAGTGTGTATTTAATGGGAACGATGTAGTAACATGTTTTCTTTTGTATTCCAAAATATCTTTCATTGACATTCTAACATTATTTTAATATGTTTATTAGAATTCATTTGTTGAATTGCGAAATATCGGAAAGTCAAAGCTAAATAAGCGCATCCTTTATTATTTTCATTTAAATAGTATATTCTACATATATGTGTATTGAACAATGCTAGAATTGTTTATGGAGATATGTTGTTTAACTGCTGGTATGAGAATATGCCATATAACGGAATGGTACATAAAATTAGAAAGTACAATAGGGATTTCAATATTCCATAAAACCTATTCAGACTAAAGATCAGTATTTTATAATGTTAATGAGGCCATGGTTTCAGAATGTTGTAATGGTTATGTTCATTTTAACCTTCCATTCTGTCGGTATTAAAACCCATTCAATAGACTATCAACAGACAGAGGGTAGCATGTATAGCCAATGGGGATTTAGAGTAAAGAACATTAATGACATATCTTGAAATCACTCCTAAATATTTAACCAAGAACACTCAAAGAGAAATCATTTTGAAGCTCATTGTCATCGAATTATATACCATGGATGTTCATTTTAGCCATGTGGTTTCATTGAGTGTGTTGCATTGCAAGAATCGGGTTAAATTATGTTGCACTCATTTCTTCATGGTTTGAAATAGCTGTAAAAGCTGAGGGCAAGCATTGGTGTTTTTCCTTCTTTGTCTGTGTTATCTATCAAGCCTGCATTCTGATGTGTTTACTTTGGCTAAAAAATATATGAGAACCCTCCCAGATATCAACCCATATGGCAACATTCATGTTACAGGGCTTAGAGTAATCCTACAACATGATGAAACATGGATCACTATAGATATACAGTCTTAGGGCTGGTATGCTTATTCATTTGGCCGGTTTGTCTGGATATTAAAGATGAAGCCTTCCATCTCATTTATTTACTGATGGTTATTTTTGTTTATTAATCCTTGTGTGGAGTTATAACCAGATGTGACTCTTAGCAGAATGAATGCTATTACGGCATGTATTGAACCATTAACATTAAACCAATTTCTTTTATGTCACGGTTTTTCATATTCATAATTCTCTATGTATATTTATCATGGGTTGATTGTCAATACACTTTGGTTGCATCCAATAGCTTCGCTCTGATTTTCTATTTATTTATCATGACCTGTTTGTTATTTTTGTTGACACTCAATCTTGGAGAACAAAGGAACTTCAATCCAATACCAGAGAAATATCGCAAATTTTCTCCTTTATCACTGATTGCATATCTCTTTATTTCAACTTTAATTATTTTTTCATCATGCCTGACTATTTATTATTTTGTATATTTGAAGAGTAGCTTATTATAGCAACTTCGGAGTAATATCCTGTTTTTTGCCTACGCTAATATTTACAGAGAAATCAAGCGGCTAGAGAAGAGGGCTGGTTGCTGGGTGAACGGAGGAAAGTAGGAACGAGACACATAAAGTGCCAGCTTCCCTCAGCTTAGAAAGCATGTCCAAGGTATTTACTTTTGTTTAATTCCTCTTAACACTTCTAGCCGTCAAAGAATGCTACGATGCTTGTCATCATCAAGGCCTGAGTCGAACTGAAACGATCTGTTCTGAATCTCACACGGTGATGTTAATATATTAGCATAAAGCAATACATCAGTGTACAAGTATAAATGATGCATCACTTTTGTGTGAACATACATTTCAAGCTCCGGCTCTTTGCTTTTTGTTTCTGAATCAATTAACATTCAAATCTGCATTTGAAGTTATTGTTTTTATACATTCTACTGCACAATCTTCATAGTCCGATTACGTGCTAATTCACGAACTCATAATCTCATACATAACAAAAATTCCTGATTTACATATACTTTGAACATGTTTTGATAAGTGCAATTTTATAATTACTACTTGACAAAATTTCTGTTCTAATAGGGAATAATCTTGTTATACTATTGATCAATCGAGTCTTACATATTGATCTTTAGAACATGCCGAGATTGCTATATGTGATGTTTATATTTTCTTAAATGTTGTTCTTCAGATTCTCTATGTTGCATTGTGTTATGTTTTGTATTAATGAATTTTCTTAAAGGATTAGGTTTAAGCTGGGCGAGCCCTGAAGCACATCTGTTGGCCAGTTGGTGACAGTATTAATGGAGACTGACTTGGTGATGGTAAAACATGTACATGCAATGGTGATGCATAAATGGTAATACCTGCAATGGTAGTGCATAAATGGTTATACATATAATGGTAAATTGGTAATACATAAATGGTACATATAATATGGTACTGTATAAATGGTTATACATGGAATGTTATGGTACTGCATAAATGGTTATACATGTAAGGGTGATGCATTTAAGGATAAACATAGGGCAATGTATATGTGGTTACAGTAAAATGGTAACGATAAGACGATAATCAGCCAATACATTTATTTCATAAAATTCTATAAACATCATTGAACTTTTAGCAAGGTTTCAGGGATTCAGTCTTATTTAGGATTGATTAAAGTTCATGTATAATATAGAATTGGAAAATTAATTTTGTATTCAGTTGGGGATTAAACACTGCATAGAAGAAATAGCAAACTAATCCTTTAGGAAAAACTCTATTGTTATTCATAATGACATAAACAAATTATATTTTGTACTATATGTGATCCTACATATTGGAAGTAAAGCGAACCCAAATGAAGGATTGAAGTTTGCACCTTTCACCCTTTTGATAATTCCTTTGCATCAAATTGAAAATTTAAAAATAATTAGGAATATTTTTCCAGTCTTGAGCATTTCATACCCAAATTTAAATAAGTCAAAATTTCATCAATTTGAGAAAATGTAGAACATGGCTATCTGCTTATATAAGAACCATGAGAATTGCTGAAGTTTCTGTGTGCCAGATATGTGTTTTATGTCTTAGAAGGATGTTTATATTTACAGCCCCGGGTTGGTCTGGCTGCCAATTTTTGTTTACCAAATCCTTAGTTCAAATAGCAAAACTTAATACCTGGTAAATGCAATATTTATTTTGCATAATACCAAACTAAGGCTTCTGAAACCAGTTGTTTAGGTGAAATTCCGCAAACACATTTACTTAATTTCTAAACATTTCTTAAAAGCTAGGTTTCCATGGCAACAGCAATTTATTAATGACAGTTGTTTATGTGAGAGGATTTTCACAAAACACTATTTGATATCTAATATTAGTTTTAGGCTCTCATTTCTATTTGCATTGCAGCCCTTGGAAATTAAAGATAAACACAAGACTGGTCGGCTATGATGTGTTTTAATTGGAAATTCGCAAATGTATTGGGGCATAAATATTTGTTGTTCATCTCCAAGGAATTATATTGAAAAGTATTAGGTCCTATGGGGTTGATGTACTGTTGATGTCCACGTTCATATTCTGTTTAAATAATATAGCAGATTGCAGTGAAACTTGTCTAATTCGAACACTACTAGGACTGTCCAAAAGTGTTCTATTTGGCAGGTGTTCACTTTTCCAGATTTTTATATCACCACTTCAAGTGATGACATGTTGTTATAGTCTCCAAATTTTTGTGGATGGTGTTCAGCGGTTGATGTTCACAAGTCAGTATCAGTAACAAATGGCAGGTAGTTATATGGTATGTTAATGCCTTGTTCAACATTAAAGTCAGATTAAAAAATGGGACCGAAAAGTGTTCACATTGAGATGTAGTCAGATTTGAGAGGTGTCCAGATATTCAGACTTTACAGACAGTATATTGGATTCCTTAGACATCAAAGACCAGCTGTAAATTGACTAGTTGTACATTAACTGTTTTCCTATATACGGTTGTTGTCACAATTGTTTTTATGTCTGCAGTTATATTCACTGGGCAACACTAGGCAGTGTTTATATGTCACCTTTGGAACAATTCCTGCATCGTCACATAAAATTAGGTAGAATCTCATCCATGTAGTTCAAAGAACTCAAACCAAGGGAGTATAAATTGAGGGTCATTGGCATATGTCATTGCCATGGTATTACTTCAATGAATTATAGATTTTCCAATGGCTCACAAAGCAGGAGTTTACTTTTTATCTATAAACAAAAATACAATTATTGGCTTCCTGTTGTGTCTATACTTCACCCAGGGGTATTTCTTATTGATTGTTGTTTAGCACAGGATTATGATGTATATTTATATCATTCTGGAATTGGCGTCTGCAGAAATATTCAATATTCGTCCGTGAAATAACCCCATGGCTTGCAATATTAATGATTTTTTGAAAATATGTATACATGTGTACTATTAATAAAGAATTGTCTGTTGCCAGAGGGAGTGAGATGGATCAAGGTGGAAAGTGTTAGCTTTATTTAAATATCTTTAGGGGGCTCACTTTTCAAAAAATTCCAGGGGGGTTCACATCTTTACTTCATGGTTAAACGGTTAAATACTGCATGGTTTCATGGTTGTTGCATCTAGTGTGAGGTGAACTGGAAATACAATGTTGTTGAGAAAATTGGAGAAGAAATTTGGAAAATTGAAATGACAGTCATTTTTGAAATATCAGTATTTTCTGAAGTCAGGAGATTCAACATTATCACTTGGTTTGAGATTTAGAACAAATATCCAGTATTGATTTCATGTTCTATAAGTTGTTTTCTAAACAACGAGAAATGGGTGTGACAGTTTGAAAAGCTTTATATCGACAACAACATCGCTAAACATTGTCAATAATAACCTGTTTAGCTCAAACAAGTGAAGTTTATTTAGTATTTATCAAACTTGTTCATGTTTTTGGGAGAGTCAAATAGCAAACAAATTATGCTTCAAGTAGTACAGAGGAATCAGTCGCAGCCATTACAGTTAAAAGAAACATATTCCGTTATTGTAATTTATTGATTGGGAATGGCGTGTCATGTTACTGAAAAAGCAATTAAATTGAAAGTGTCATATTGTCTTGAATGGTCTAATGTAATTCTAGAGATATGCCATCCTCCGATCACAGGGCTTCAAAATCCAGAATATATTCTTTCTTTTTACCCCCTGCAATAAGCAGTTAGCATTTCCCCGATTAAGAATTCGCAATCTGATTTGCTGTCGCAACACTGCGACAGAAATCATGTATAAGTCATTGCGCATAATTAGATCACGTGATTCAGTTTAATCGGGCACTTCCAAATCGGTTATAGCAGGGGGAAGAAGGAGGTAAGGATTCTGGATACCTGCTTAGGAGGATGGAGATATGCAGGATGATTTGATTTTCATGTATTCTGTGTGATGAGTCCAATGAGCTGACACCATTGAATGATGACACCGTAGTAAGTAAGATGACATCATTTTGATATGACACTGTTGTAGGATGACACCATTTTGACTGTTGCAAGGTGACACCATTTGATATGACACTGTTGTTAACGGACACCATTTTGAGATGACACTGTATTAAGATGACATTATTTTGATATGACACCATTTTGAAATGTCACCATCATAATATGACACCACTTTGAAATGACACTGTTGTAAGAAAACATCATTCTGAAATGACACTGTTGTAAGATGATACAAATGTTGTCCAGGTGTTCAATTCCAACTCCTCACCTGTATTGTGATGATAACTGTAAGGATTAAAACAGCAAAAATTCAAACTTTTTAATTCATGAAACATCAAACAATTTTGATAGTCATTTCATCATAAAGATTCCCATTGTTTCTTAGTGGTGGCCCTAGGGTGGCCATAACTTCACAAAATCTATATAAAAAATCTATATCGTTCAGTACTGCTTATCCCTATATTTAATGCTGCATATTTCTCTCGATTTGGGAAGCTACAGACACTGTATGGTTGCCGTAGTTCAAATGTGACTAGGCATTAGGTTCCAAAGGATAAACCAGGGAGGAAATTGTTCATGCCTTCGTGTTCTGAACCTTCTTGTAATTCAAATCAATTCAATTAAACTGGACATCCCTACTCTAAACCTATTTAACATTATATAATATTAAACCAGTTCTTTCATTTGATTGTCTTTTTAGTCTTTGTACCAAACATATCACTTTGTTGTTGCCTAAAAATCAATCTTTTTCATGTATTTGATTAATAAAACAAATACTTTCCAGAGGAAAACAACAATACCAAACTGAGGCTCTGACCCGATAACTATCTCATTAAATTTTTCGCCTTACGTCTGTTTACCTAGCTGCTGCAATGTTTGGGCACTTTCTTAATTCAACTTTTAATCTTTCCTTTTGTTTGTTTGTTCGTACATTTGTTTTGTTTATTTTGTGTGAAATTGAACTGGTGTACCAGTTACACTATATTGAGCTAAATAAAGTTTGTTGATACATCTGCATGTATACAGCCCACCAAGAAATGAATTGTTCATTTCTTTGCTTGAAGTATCTGGATATAATAACATGTTATATCTTGTCACTAATTTGCTCATGTTATGTTATGGTGGGGATCACTTGTGTTGTTTAGTCAGGGGATGTTTCACCTAAACAACTTGCAAAGGCCCCCTCAGTTCAGTGTG